ACAAGATAAGGGCAGATCTGAACTCCTAGAGCTTTGGTCCACAATACTAAATGAAAATATCCACAACTTTTTTCCTAACCCTTACCCCCATTTGCCCCTTCATTTGAGCCCGGACTACAGGTACTAATCGTAGGTGAAGACTGAGGATGGCAAAGACTGCAGGTTGGTAGATAAGTTGCGAAGACAGCATTGAGTGACTGCTTAGTATATCGATGCTGTTTCGACCACCACCGACATAATCTTAAATTTGCTCTGCACCCTCCCGATCAGCCTAACTCCCACTTTTACATGACGTTACAGGCTATGGCGGCGGCAAGCTGCGCAACGGCTAAACCAGTTCCTGCGATACCAATTGTTGTAGTACGTCCATGGGCAATGTGCCTTCGGTCCAATTTATGTCTTCGTCTGTACACAACGACTTCCTGTTGAAGCCTTAAGGACTCACACTTCGACTCCTGGTCTACCCAGCTATTAACCTGTGTTCGCTTGGGGTGGTTGCTGAGTATCTCTGAGGCAGCTGACGTGGAGGAGGACCCTTGCGAGCTTCGAGCTGCTGACGATAATCCGACCAAGCACGAGCAGTGGCATGGTAGATGCCATAGTGATGCATGCTCTTCGGATTTTTGCTGAATGCATTCTAAGGCGGCGTCCTCTTGCCTGATTCGTGCGCTCCAGGCAGCCCGTACTTCTTGTCGAGTGGCATGTAAGGGCTCAAGAACCTTCGCCGTATTGCTTCCAGCTTCGTCAGCCGAGAGTTTCTCCAGATCGAGAAACGTGCGAAAGTTGTCATAAATAATCCTCCCGGCTTCTGTCCTATGTAGTTGAAGGCCTTGATCGACATGCTCGGTTTGAAGCGCCAGTGTCATCCTTACGTTCTTTGTCATTATATGTCCAACGATTTTGCGAACGTTGACTGCTCCTGCCGAGCGTGTGCTTTCTGGATTTCATAACCGACGAGTCCGTCCCACATCGTTGTTGCTACAACAACCCCTCGAAAGCCCTGCGCTCCACAGATGGCCTTGAAAGTCTCAAGGGCTCTGTGAGCTGAGCCATGCATGCGTGTGTCTGTGATTCGATGGAGATAGACGATTCCGCTCAACTTCAGCTTATTCTCATGAGCCGCTGCAAGCCAGTATGCAAGTTCTTGGAATGTTTCTCCATCGGACCGCAACGAGTCGTTGAAGCCAGGAGTGTCAATTAGATGCACTGTCCGTTCTGCCATCTGAATCGTATGAACGGAAACTTGCGTAGTACCTACTCCTTACGGTCCGTCAGTAACTTCTCGTCATACCTCAACCGAAACATACACGAACGTAGTTCTTGCCTGAGGTATGGAGGATTATATTGAGTGCAGTGTGCAATAAAGGATGATTTCCCCGCTCCCGTCATACCCATAATGACAATGATCACGTCGTCAGGGCTATAGAAACTGATTTTAGTCGTTTTCACACATGTTCCGGGCGATCACCTACCTTATTGATTGTTGCGCCTCACGTTCAGCCTGGTCACCAATCGAGTCTACCGCCATAATTGCAGGTGATGTTGAAGAACCCAAACAATTGACTGTGAAGATATCTCCAATGAGATCCAAATCATGCGGCCTGAAGCCAAAATATATGGACGCTATAGGTAGACATGTACACATCGAGAGTGTATCACGGTTCAGCCTGGTGTGGGTGGAGTTTATGCAGGCAGCTGAGCTTTGGTGTATTGAGCGGCATGTCAGCTCGGCTCGCTGCATGCACACAACCAATCAAGCACGCATACACACACACACACACACACACACACAAAACTCACCGGTCCGTGCTGCGCCTGCAACACTGCATTGTAAGCTTATGTACCCTTGCTGGACCTCTGAAGGACCTCTCCTGCATAGCCCAAGACGAAGTGGCTCCGTTACACACCATAGCTCACGTTTTGGTTCGACAGCTCTTCGCACCTAGCTCGATAGGTAGTATGTTAGCATACAAACTTCCGTCACTGTTGGTTTCTGCGTCTGGCCTTTAAGTAAACATTTGAGGATCATCTGTGGACAGCATCTGACAAACGGCCGGTCATGTCTGAACAAGTCTCAATTTCGACGTATGATAGGTATCTCCAGAACAGAAACCTGCTCATTCGTTCGCAGTTCGAAGGAAGTCGGAATTATTGTGATGGGACTCACGGGTGCGGGTAAAAGTGCATACATCTCTCGACTTACGGAGCAAAATGTAGCGATCGGTCACACTCTGCAATCATGTAAGTAATTACCGGTCGTCAGAGCGAGACACTCACATCATATCAGGCACGACCAAAGTCAATGGCTATCCGTATCAACGGCCCAATGGTCAGAGGATCTGGCTTATTGATACACCAGGTTTCGACGACACAGACAAGGCTAACCCGGCCATTCTTCGCGAGATCGTTTCGTTTCTCTGCGCGTTCTGCAATGAAGAAAATCTGATAATTGGTGGATTACTATACATTCACAGAATCACAGACATACGAATGGCTGGATCTTCTCTGGCCGCTCTACGAATATTTGAGGCACTGTGCGGAGAGGCCTGTTTTGGAGACGTTACTGTTATCACAACAATGTGGGATACACTTCAGACTCAAGCTGCAAGGGACCTGGCCCAAGACCGCGAGTTGGCCCTTCAACATGAACAGAATTTTTTTGGTCGCCTCAGAAGCAAAGGTGCCGAGTTCAGAAGGTCTTCCGAAGACGGGCCAAGCGGTACTGCCGTCATCGACGCGATAGCAGGTCGGACAAAACCAGTTACACTCGCAGTACAGACGGAGATGATGTCAAACGCGAACATCAAACTCGCAGATACAACAGTAGGTAGATATCTGGATGGTAACCTCAAGCTGGCTCGTCGAAAGTTGGAGAAAAGACTGAACCAAGTTGAAGTTTATAGCAGAGAAGACCTGGATGACAATGATGATCTGATTTCAGATATCCGGGAACAGATACGTCTTCTGGATAAGACCACAGGTAACCCAGAGTACTTGAATGTCACATACGAGGAGTTGAGAAAAGAACGCAGGATTAAGCTTGAGGCAGATATGGCGCAAGACGTTGGGCGCGAACTCTATACTGCGAAGACCGCTGGAGAACTCAAGCTGGAACACGAGGTTGAACGGTTGAAGCAAGACAATAAAGAATTACAACAAGGTCAGAAACAGTTGAACAAAGTCAGGGAAAGGGAGCTTGCACAGCAACACACACAGATACAGAGCCTCGAAGATGCACTTGCACATGAAAAAGCTCAGAGAGACAACAAGTACAAAATCCCTGGGTTTTTCGATTTCCTCCTTGGCCGTACTGCTAAGGTTGCTATAACGAAGAATGAGGTTATCTCAGTTGCCCACGGAGGAATCAGAGAATCTTGGCAGCGAGAGTCTCGACCAAGCCGGTCCAAAAAACCCTCGCAACAAGATCGAAGAGCTCTTGATGCAGCAGTTAGAGCTTCAATGTCGCAGAACGCAATTGATTACGCGAGCCCAGCAGACTCCGGAATATCACAGACCTCTATGAACGGTGGTCTACCGGCATACGAAAATTCAGCAATCACGACAGCCAGGTCAACCTCTCCAGAGAACCTCACTCGTAACAGAGAGTTCCCTGCGAATGTCATTATTGATCCGAGTGGCATCAGACGAAATTACTCGATGCCTTCATCGCCTGCCATTCCTCGCACAATACCGGTCTATGAGGAGCAACAGAACAACTCGCCGTTTTGGGCGTACCAGCATCGTTCATAATGGCCTGCGGATTGAGCTTTATGCCACTGGCATTGCATAGCCGGGGGGTCGCATCACCGTAGCCTCTGCTCTACGATCGTGAATTGAGGACAAAATGTGCACCAATCAAATTTCTCATAGCAAACAAATTGCATACTGTATATGTAGAAATGATTCATCCGAGAAACAATTCAGACGAGTCACTGGAATTCCAGATGACTAGTAGAGGCGACTGAGCAAGAGGGTGTCCTGGTCCTTCCGGTGAGCGCTTAGCCTCGTCGATTTGCGTGAACGAGGCAGGGGCTGGTTGTGCGAACAACCTGTTGCTCTATGCATTATGCGCTGGACCAATTACGACATCGAGGTGCATGCAGATTCATGCAGGACGCAGTGGGGCCGAGCGTCAGCAGAGGGACTTTGCATAGCCTTCCTCATGCATTCCAAAGAACATATGATAAGCGTCCACGGGCGCGTCGTCCATCAGATGAAGTCTTGCTCGTTCACGCCATTAATCCTGTGGTTTTCGATCTTTGTTGTCTTCTTGCAACTTCTTTTGGGTATACCTAAGTGCTTTGCGAGTATTTCAGCTCGATTAAAAGCTGGCGTCGTGTAGGAGGCCTCTTCATTCGTTATGGCAGATATAGACTCTACAGCGCGTGGCCGTACAGACAGTGTCTTGTCTACTAAACGAGGTGTCACTGACTTAGGGTGAGTCTAGCAGCAGAACAACCAGAAATCGTCTTGAATTTGGGTTAATGTTGTGATCAGGCCTGAGGATGTCATAATCGCGGTCATGGGTATTACCGGATGCGGCAAAACCAGTTTTGTAAATTTATTCACTGATCCTGACCAAAAATTGGTTGTAGGGCATGGTCTAGAGTCATGTAAGTCTTCGGTTTTCGCATCAACTGTCAAATTGTGCTGATAATCGTATGCCAGGTACTCAAGTAGTGGATGTTGTTCCTTGCAACCTTGGACAAGGCGAGACTATCTACCTTGCTGATACTCCTGGTTTTGACGACATGTACCGTACAGATACAGACATACTTTGGGAAATCTCCGATTGGCTTTCCAAAGCCCACGAATCGGGTCTGAAGCTTGCCGGCATTATATACCTACACCGTATACCGGATATACGTGTTGGTGGATCTGGTTTAAGAAACCTCAAAATGTTTCGGAGACTCTGTGGCAAAGAAAACCTTGCGAATGTAGTTCTCGCTACAAACATGTGGGATCAAGTTGATCCTGAGACCGGCAACAAGCGTGAAGCTGCACTTAAGGACGACCCTGTGCTCTGGAAGGAGATGATCGACCATGGAAGTCAAGTTTTCCGTCAAGACAACGGAAGAACATCCGGACTTGGAATTCTTACATATCTGATCAGGCAGAGGTCACCAATGGTCTTAGATATACAGCGCGAGCTTGTCGATCAGAAGATGCAGCTGAAAGACACAAGAGCTGGTAAAGAGTTACTAACAGAAGTTGAACAAGAACAACAAGAGTGCTTGGAGAAGGTTCGAGACTTGGAGGCCAGAATGCAACAACTACAAGAAGCGTACAACAGAGGTAATCATTCACGGATACAGACAATGCAAGATCTTGAAGTTTGCACAGAAAAGAAAGAGCGGGCTGAGCGAAAGCTTGCTCAGACTAAACAAGATGCTATCAAGCTACAAGCTACCCATGATCAGCGAATGGCTGAGCAAAAGAGATGTTATGAGCGGCAACTCCGAGAGCAGGAGGGGAGGCAGTCACTGAGCTTGGACCAAGTTCGCGAAGAAGAGGGAAAGAAATTCAGGGAGAATTATCAACGAGAGATGCGTAGATTGTGCATCATGATGTAGTCAGCCTACAGTGAATGAAGGATATACTGAGCGCTGAGTTGTCAAACATCAGAAGGAAATAATTGAACCGCATCAATTGCAACTAGAACTCTGCGAATCATGCTGGAGCTAATAGTATTCCTAATAAGTTCCGAGGCTGAAGCACCTTTGCATTAGTAGTAAGAATAGATAAGGTTCAATATAACCTATTGCTGAAAGTATCTATAGTTATTTAAGTAATGTATGATTGTCAGATGGTATGATTAATGAGCGATAGCTTGATGATTTTAATGATTGCTGTTGTTCTCTCAACCGTGTTCGACTGGTTCAATCTCCTCGGCTAGCATGCTTGTGATGGTTTATGGAGTAAGGAAGTCATGTGTGCCACATGTTTTGGTGCAGTGTTCTTGCTCTTTCCAGCAAGCACTTTCTACCCCTGGCTACACAACAGATACGTCATGTAAACAGACCCTGCTCATAGCCCGGTGAGAGGCAGGGCACAGAACAAGACAACAGAAGAATAGAACAACACAATATACCATTTCTATTGCTTCGCGCGGTTCCCCCCTGACTTACTGCCTTGCGCGTAGGATTGTTATTGGCTGCAAGCCATGTCAGGATGACAATGTGGCCCATGGCCATCCAAAATAAGCAGGTGCCACCTGCCATGAGCTTTACGCTTGGTGTAGTAGTTGAACATCTGTTCAAGCCAGCCAAGGCTTGCATTGTCATTACTCCAGCCACTGGGTGAGACTGTAGTGAATACAGAGTGCCTTTGTAACCCAGCTCTCAGAAACATCCTCCTTAGCAATCTCGGACGCAAAATTCTGGATCATCAGCTTTGTAGGAGGTAGGTGTTGCTCTGTAAGACCTTCTATATACTTCACAAGCTCCTTCTCTTGTCATGGGGTGATCTTGCATTGTGCAATGGCTGCCTATTCATGCGGGCGCGTCTCACCTGTCACGTTGCATGTCAAAGTTGAGCGCACAACACCATGCTTTTCAGCTATTTTTGACCATGGGATTTTATCACCAGAAGGTACAAATTTGACCTCTGCCTTGCTTCCTTCATATCTGTCATTGTTGTTGTGCTGTGTTGGGATGAAAAGGTGGTGCATAGCGCGTTCGGCGCATCCCGCGAACGCGCGCATCCCGTGCACGGACACGGTATTGGATAGGCGCCTCAAACTCGAAAATCTGTCCCTTGACATTTCCTTACCGTACCCGCATAGCCTACCTTCAAGGCATCTTGCAAAGCTTGCTGTTCTGCCGAAGCTACCACAGTAAAGTTTGGAGAAAGCGGGCACCGCCGCTTTTATGGGTCTAAATCGGAAGCTCGCGCGGTAACCCCATCAGGAGTAAGTCGGAAGGCGACATCGGAACGGCTGAGGTTCCGATGTTTCCTGTTGTCCTTGTGGGTGTTGATGGTGTTGACATCCTTGAAAATTGCGGCAGCCATAACGGGTGCTATCAAGCAGTAGCACATTAATGTAGGTTAGACTTATTTCGACAGTATAACCTCAGGCAGTTGCGAGTGTCGAGAAGAGCGAACCAACGTTCATGAATTGAAGACTAATAAGATCACTAACGCGGTGATTACGTCGCCGCCCGAGCGCACCTGGCTCCACAAGCATCCCTCGCTTGTCTCTCCTTTTCCCCATCAATGACTCCAAATGTTATCATCCAGCATACATAGATTACGACATTCACCAGGCCCCTTGTTTGCAAGAACACTGCTGCGACATGCAACGATGCATCGGTTTGCCACAAAAGCGTAGTCATCGAACTGTCGCATCGTCGCAGTACTCGACTTCCTGATTTTGAAGCCGTCAATCATCAACGCTTCATGAAGCTGTCGCCGACTGCACATTTGGAGATAGCACATGTAAGTGTCATGTATTTACATGCGTGGCTCTGGGCTGTTTGCGATTCAAATCGTACTTGCGCGCCAGGTCCAGCCGATCTCGAAGGCATACAGTACATACATTTGGTGCGTCAATCACAACCATTTGCACTTCCTCATGGAAACAGCTGCGACGCAAAGTACCCCGACGGGAATGTTGACAGGCGGTGGACGGCTTTTGCCCTGTCCGCCAGCCGTAGAGCTAACGCGCATCCACACGGCAGGAAAGTTAAAAAGGTGGAACAGAAACTCGGATTAACCAAGCCGTTGGACCGAGCCACGCGACCCTCCAAGCTTGAGATGTGCATCACTCAACCTCAATTCAAAGCAGAGTCGCGAAGCGAATGCGACTCGTGTTCTCTCTTGGCGTGTCGTAGATGGCGCTGTACACCAGCAAGTCAAGCGAGCGCCCAGATAGGCCGCCTTGCTGCGACTAAGGTCATGGACTTTGTAAAGTTTTCAACCCTCAATACCAAGTATCTTCAAATACGAAGTGCCCTCGTACGAATTTCCGTATCTGCATTTAAGCACTCGTTCAAGCTCATGCATTGCGGATCTCCCGCCGGAGTGGTTCACCATGTTCCGCGAAAGCTTGCCGATATTACGAAATCCACAGACCACCTCAAAATGGCTGCCGGGTAAGGAATTTTCGCAGGCCCAAAGAGCGAATTCGCTTGTCCACATACTATGAAACGCTCAAAATATGGGGGTAACCTTCCCAAAAAGGCGCTCTAAGTCACCGGTTGGACCCTTCAGGCCAGCCATGACCCACTGCTTGCGCGGATCTAGGCACCGCCGCATCTCCCAGCCCTTGACTCGGAGCTCGCACCAGCTGCCCAAGTACTCGATCAGCATTCATTTGCCTCTTTCAAATCTCGACGTGACATTCGTCCCGTCCGCAGGAGGTCGACCTGGATCTTTTATACAACTTGGTCTTCCCTGCTTCAAAAGTCAGCTTCGACCCACACGCAGGATCCACGACCCACATGCAATTTTATGGCAGGTTGACATCTTGCCCCGGACCCATTTGGTCCCCATCTTTTGTACTCACACGTCTTGTTTCTTTCCATCGAACCTTTTCTCTATCGTTCGTCACGACTTCCCAGCATGACGTACTACGGCGACAATGCTACCCAACTTACTGGATCGGTAATCGCACTTGCGACTATAGCATACATTACGTTTGGCCTACGCATCTACACACGAATCCGTAATGGATCGTTTGGTGTGGACGATTGGTCTATGGCGGCTGCAACTGTGAGTGCCAATACACTACTGCTTTGACCTAACGTGAGGTACTAATAGTCCAGATTCCTTTCACAGCATTGACCGTTGCATGCATCGGCGGTGCATTTAACGGTATTGGCATTCATCAGTTCAGGTTGGACAAGGAGCACACGAAAACAGGCATGCAGGTAGGAACAGCCGCGTGTAGTTCTTGCGACTACTGACACGCAAACAGTACTTCTTTTTCTTCGAAGTCTTTTACTGCGCAGCCATCATCCCAATCAAACTAAGCATTTCGTTCATGTTGATCCGCATCGCATCCAACCAGGTCAAGTACACATACAGTCTGTATGCTGTCTCAGCGATGTTCACAACCATGAACTTGATCGCCATGCTCTACATCATCTTCCACTGCCTGCCAGTACAATACGCATGGGACACCTCGATCAAAGGCGGAAAGTGCAACCCCGCGCAGACACTTGCAGACATTTACTACGCAACAACAGCAGTCAACATTGTCACAGACTGGTTCTGCGCACTCCTACCAATACCGCTTCTCTGGAACGTTCAGCTCAATCGCAATGCAAAACTATCCGTAGGCGTAATCCTCGGTCTCGGAGCCCTGTAAGCCAGACCCCACACAACACTTACTAACAACCACTAATCTCGATGTGCCACAGAGCCAGCTTATCTGCCTGTATCCGCCTCGTGTACACCGTGAATATTACCAACACCAACGAATACCTCTACGGCATCTCGGACGTCGTCCTCTGGGGCTACGCCGAAAACGGCATCGGCATGATCGTCGGCTGCGTCGCAACACTGCGGCCTCTCTTCCGCCGCGTCTTTAGCCTCGGCGGCGACACAGCGCCCAATAATACCCCAGGTGCCAGTTACGCGAGACGACCCGCGAAGTTGAGGCCGAATGGTAGGGATGAGGAGTGGGTAGCGCTAAGCGATTCGAAGATGGCGAGTGTGGTGCAAGGGAGGACACTGCCAGATTCGAGTAGTGAGGAACATATTCTGGGGAACGGAATTAAGGTCACCAGTACGGTGGAGCAAGATGTTGAGGTTGCAAGTAAGCGGTAGGAAAACTAGATGGAGCTGTGTGACATGTTATGTTATAGAATATTTCTCGTGATAAAGTTTAGAGGTCGATCCAATCACCTGTCACTCAGTCTCTCCTTGTTCCTATACGATACTTAGTCGATGGTCCTTCATCAAACAAGCTATCACAGCTGTGAACTCGACCTCCGAAAACTTGCGCCCTTGGTAGTTCATTGGTTCATCAGACCAGGGAAAATACGTGCCCCTGGCCGGCTTGATATGGGTCTCAGGGCTATCAATTTTAGTTGAGTCTGAAGTAGTGATTCATCGCGAGGATCCCACTTCTCTGGGTCGGGCCAGTAGTGTGGGTGCATATGCACTGCGAGAATGCTGGACGTTTGCAGGGATTATAATTGGTCGGTCACCGGCATGGAGAGTTTGAGATGTGGGAGGCGCGTGTTTAGATAGTGAGAGGATGGCCGGGTACATGCGCAAAGTTTCGAACTGGAGTGATGTTACTGAGTACCCAGGAAGCCACCATCTGTATGGTCTGACTTGTTCCATCCAAACTCTATAAAAACTCTCGTTGAAATGTGTAGCAATGACTTTCCTGTGCCGTGGCCACTCCTGCAAGTTTGCTGAGGTGATGCATAGTCCATGGATCTCGAGAATTTCAGGAATACTTTAGTCCTGCATATCTCAGATCTGTTAAATGCTCACTGTAGTTTCCGTGCGGCCGAAAAAAATCCCGCTTACGTGCGAACCTGTTATATGCACCGTCGGCATTACTCACCTGCACCCATATATTTCTTGAGCTCACTGTTACCCATAGATGTCCATAGCGAAGGTGGGATTCAGCCTTGTCGTGCTAAACCCAGCCCCTGCGCATGTAGCGTAGCCATGTTGGAAATGGTCGAGAAGTGAATTCGTCAACAACCCTGAAAGCATGCGATTCCAGGACCTGCCACGGAATGTTGAGACTGTCGACAGATGTTATGATGACTGGGATGCCCATGGAAGATTCACGTTTGTAGTTGATTCGAAGAGTGATGATGCTCCATACTGCGTAGAACGCTATGGCAGCAAGTGCGTAGCCCCACATGTCTGATTCGATCGCTGGATGTGTATGGTAAGAAGTGGTGCAAGTGTGAAAATATTTGTTTCTTGATATTTGTGTAGGTATTCGTGTGGTGCAAACCCAGCAGTACCAGCCTTAGGGGGGCAGGCTGATCTGGTGGCTTGCAAGTTCACCAGTCCCTCGAGTCAAAACTGCCAAGAGGTGGGGCTGCCTGTCGTATAACCATCAGAAACCCTACAAATGAGGCAAGGGGTTAGCCTTGGAATTATCGCATAGTTGTGTCTAGTTCGGAGCCACGTATTCGTTGACGGTGGATGCTGTTGCAAGGTCGAGCTTAACCCCAAATTGCCCTGTCGCCTGCCCGAAACTCTCTTTGACCGCAGCGCCCCCATACTCACGCATCTCTTTTTCATATGCAGCCGTCACTCCCTCCCAGGTGTCACCTTTGCCCTGCGCCCAGGCCTCACCAATCAGCCTGCCCAGCAGATCTGAGTCTCGCACAGCGGTGTTTGCACCATTGCCTCCTGCGGGCGTCATGGCATGGACAGCGTCTCCAATGACCGTGATGCGAGGCTCGTTTTTCCAGTGTGGCACACCTTCTGGACTCGAACATGTTATCTTCCAGAACGCTGCTTCGTCCTCAACCATGTTGTCAAACAGCGGTTTTACCCGTTCGTGCCAATGCGAGGTCAGCGCCTTGGCGATGTCAGCTGCAGGCTTGCCGATGATGGTGTAATTGTCATTGGGTGCTTTGATGACGCCCGGGCTGCCTCCCATCGTCCACCCGAAGTTGATATCCGGGTTATCCATATCATTCGCTCTTACGTTCGTGATGATGAACACCTTGCCGCCGTTGGGCTGAGTGGTATCATCTACCAGACGGAAGACACCCTCGCCCAAACCCTTGAACGCGGTAGTGGGTGCCTGTCCATGAATACCCCTTGACCCAAGATCGTACACCTTGATGGCACCGTTGGATAGTTGCCCGGCAACTGCACTCTTAACGCCCTCACCTCCAATCAGCATACTGCCCTCCTCGCTCTTACTGCTGTCTCTAAAAACCAACCGCACACCGTTCTCCGTCTTCTCGTACCCTGTCACGTGGTGACTCCACCGCACATTATCCTCCAACCCCTCCATGAAGATCTTGCGCATGTCGCCTCGACTTATTCCCACAACCTTGCCTCCTCGGCTGGTCAACGGCTCCTTGCTTACTATCGGCGCATCAGTGCCTAACGTCTCTCCAGTCAAAGGATCGATGGCTGCGAATCCTGCTCCACCAGTCTTGCCGCAGGCATCATAAAATCTTTCGAAACCCTCAGGCCCGAGTACTGATTCTATGGCATCGAGGCCGACCGCCGAGAGACGCAGGCGGTAACCTTGAGCGCGAAATACGAGCGATGCATCGCGCTCATAGACAATGAAGGGTATATTTTGGCGGTGCAGCGAGCGCGCGAGTAGCAGTGATGCAATACCGGCGCCAGCTATGAGGATCGGCTTTTGTGCTGTGGAGTTCATAGTGGTAAAGCGTTTTGGGAGTGATGTTTACTACGTGGGGACACGGGCAGGATCAAAGGAAGACGCGTGGAAGAAATTACATGGAGGAAGGCGCGCCCGCTTTATGGCAAGCGCAATGGTGCTGCTGTAGCACGTTGCTGATGGCACGTTGCTGACGAATGTCGTCAACAACTGGACGTGGGGTAGTGGGGATGATTTGCAAGCCGTCGGAACCCAGCCGCCTTGAGCCGCCGAGCGTTTGTCATCAACCTCACCTTCCTCCCTTCAGCAACCTCCCGTCGTCAAACTCTTCGTCGGTTCATCCGTACTTTACGCGGCCTTTCCATTGCCTTCATTGCTTCCGCGCAGGGCACATAAAGAGATGGTCACAACGATCAACGAATGCTTATTAACACACCTCCAAGACAACCAACAGAAAAACTCGCAAGGGCTACAAAGAAATAGTGATGTCGACTCCTGGCACTTTAGTGAGACTTCACTAAAAAACTCACCTTATTGGAGGAGGGAACAACCCGACAATGTTATTAGCTTTGGGTCTGATCAAAGGCGTGGCTAGTATCACTTGATGCATCGAGTCTCGTTGAAGACTCTTAAACGACTGCTATCTCTGCTTTTCAGACTCTTGCTTGAATGGAGGAAGACGAGTCTATTCAAGACCTACTGGGGTTTGAACTCTATTGGAGCATTTTTAAGTCCTCGAGGTTTTCGCGATCCAAGTATCTGCCTCGTTTTATTGTCTCCTTCGATCTATCATTACTGAGCAGGCAGTTATTTGAAGCTGCGTTTTTACTAAAGAAGATTTTTCCATCGCTAAGCCATCCACCATGCTCACTGTCCACGACTGAGCTGCATTACTACATGGTAAATGCCCACCAATCTTCGCCGCTACCTCCAAGCATTCGTATCGTTCTAAGGTCACTCTTTCGATCGACCGCCTCCGGCAAGCTCAATACCAACGAAACCAACTGCGCCAGCGAGATTCGCTCGGATCAATGTTCCTAGAGCCATCTGTCCCGAATTGCAGGTATGGAGTGTTATACGCAGTACGATAATGGCTGTTTCCGGTACTCCGCGTTGGCAGAGTGTTCAAGGTATGGCACCGTGACGCATTCGGTCGGTCACCATAAAGATACTGATGAGCATCTACATAGTTGTCCTGGAAGGTGTAGGAGCTTCTGCGCCTACGGCCACGAGTGTTGTTCTGGCCGGATGGATCGTACCGCGAAGCAATGCACTCGGGGTGGCTCCGTCACGGGTCAGGGGGCTGGGGTACCTCGGGCATGTTTTCCTCGTGCTAGCGGACATTGTGGCCAGAGCTGTTGCGGCCGGGATGACGGGTACCCATATTCAGGCCTGCGTCGGTTAGGTCGTCGACCTGGTGGGTCGATGACGATGCCGGTGGTTACGCCTATCGGCATCGTTGGCAGCGTATGTTGTCTATGGTTGCTTTGAGCCCAGAACATTGACCTGGCGTCACATATGGATCGTGAAGTCGGTCGTAGGCACGGCGGTGGACTTCGTCGCGCTCACAACGGGACATGTTGAGGAGACCGCGGGTCGAGTTGAAGTCTCGGTTGTCCATGATGCGGCAGTCGGCGCGGTAGGGGGATTGACCGTTCCACTCAGAATGGGAGCGGAATGTACGGGACCAAGGCCAAGACATTACGAATTTTTTGGAAGTGTTGGTTGATGAGGAAGAAGGTAGTGGAGATGGAGATGATGGAGGAACACTTCGGCTGGCATGAGGTATGTATATGTATGAGGATGCTGGACGTTGCATGTTTCAAAGCATCCACGCAGAGAAGCAGTGGAAAAAATACTGGTAAAGTTAATATACTGGATGCACGTACACAGTACACATGGTAAGGTTCAGTTGCGCTTCTGACCATCGTTCTACTTAAGCAAGATTATCATTCGCTTGATTGTGCACAGTGCAACGCAACGATGGCTGTTTGGAGACGGGACAGACAAACTCTGGGACATATCTCCAATAGCGCTGCTCCCCAATTATGTTCGCTCTGTCTGATCAGCATACCGAAGTCACTGGCACTGACACTATACAGGGACAAGGACACCATTGCCAGTATGGTAGGGAAGCATTCAATAAGAGTTGACACGTCGAATTCATGCAATTCTGACAGGGATACTAGGCAACGACCACGAAGTTCATCCTCCTTTGTCAACCTCTTCTACTCGAAGCTAAAGCTGACAGGGACTTCCTACATTATTTATCAGGCGGTCGTAGTACTATTTTGAACACGACAAAGCCTGCCGGTATCCAGATCATACTCCCACGCATCGCTTCCTACGCCCGCCAACACGAACAAGCTCTCTTTCGGATCGTACTTCGCCTTGATGCTTCTTAGCCTCTCGTATCCTTCGCCGTAGTAGTCCTCTGCGAAGTTCTTGTTGAAAGGGTTAGCCTCATTCATATATGCACCACTTCCCGGTGCCCACTTCCTCCACATCGGTTCCCTCGTCTCTTCGTACCACTTCGCGGCGTCACCCAAAGCTTTCTTCGGTGAGCCAGCAGCCACAGAATCGGAAGTTGCGCCAGTGGAGATAAAGTGCAGGTAAGCTGTGCGCCAGGCGGGAAGCAGGGCTCCCCAGCGCTCTTCATGGGTGTTACGTACGCCAGGGCCGCCTTGCAGACCTATGGTGGCGTATGTACCCTCCGTGGAGTTTTGGCTTGCCATAGCGATTTTGAGGTACCTGACGATGTCTAATTGTGGCGTGTCTACGAGTTCACGGCGCCCGAGAAGGCGTGAGGATGTTACGCTCTCACCTCCGGCAGCGTTATCGCCTGAGATGACCGAGAAGAAGGCAGTGTAGTTGTCGAAAGTCGAAATGCTCAAGGAGATGGCAACGGAGCTGTTGGAGCTGTTCCCTGGGTTGAGTTCGGCGATGACTGGTCGCAGAAGCGCTTCTACTGCCGCAGGGGTGGTATTGAACGCCCAGAAGACCTGATTGAGTGCAACACCATGGAAAGGCTGCTGTGATGCAAGGTCCGGGAAGAACTTTGGCGCGGCGTTACCAGTGGAGACAGTCGCTGCGCCCGCAAGCTGTGCGTCCATAAGGTCTGGCAGGTGGCCAAGGAACGCGGCAGCGGTGGTCCAAGATGCTTCGTGGCTGACGTTGGTACTAAATCTAGGTTTGATCCCCAGAATACCCAGCGTGACGTTGCTAGGCGCCGGGTAGTGCTTAATGACATACTCGGTCACAACACCGTACTGTCCTGGTCCACCACCGCGAAGAGCCCAGAAGAGATCCTGATTCTGCATTGCGTTTGCAATGAGCACCTTCCCAGTGGCAGTAGCTACAGTCAGCTGGAGGACCTGATTCGATGCCAAACCGTAGGTGCGAGACAACGGTCCATGACCTCCACCCTGGATGTAACCACCTAGGCCAACACTCGGGTCTTGTCCGGTAGTCACGACTCGGCCTTGGCTCATTGCGAGGCTGAGAACGTTGCCCCACTGTTGGCCACTGCCGACAACAAAAACATCTTCGGCCGTTGAGTCATTGCTGTTCAAGGGCGTCCAAGCAGTGTCACGCTTGATGTCGTTGAAGTTTCGAGTCCAGATCGCCAGTGCGTACGCACCACTCGACCTGGTGCGAGTTCGTCAGTAATCGAATCGACGTTCGCGTAGGCAAACCTCTTCTTACCTTCCGTTCAAGTCATGCCCAGTACCCTTCACCACGACACGAATATCGCGATCAGATGCCCACTTCATGGCGTACGCCACGTGTGCTTCCTCTGTCGCATTGACAATGAACTGAGGGAAAGCGCGAATACTGCAGCCTCTCTCAGCCGAGTATCCAGCGGTGTCTTTTGGCAAACATGTGTTGTTTGCATAGATCTGGTAGTCGATAGACTCTGGTTGCTGAGAGTGCCAGGTGCCGTTGAACCACTTATCAGTCGCAGTCTCGCAAGAGATTGTTGAGCCGAACGGGTTACCGTGCCAACAGGCAGAAGCTGCGGGGATAGTGCGCAGCAATGACCCTTTGATGGTGGTGTTGAGTGACGCCCAGTCATCCTCAGAGGGCCATAAGGAGTCTAAAGGTGTTGACTTGCATGACGGAGTGGACTGATAGAGGATAGCACTTGCACCTGCAAGGGCAGGTGTGAGGAAGAGGAAGGAGCGCATGCGTGGCAACTGAGATGCAAGCAACGAAAGTGAAGACAGACGGAATTAAAGCGATTGACTGTGTGCGAAATCTTGGGTACTTTATACCCCCGGCGACAGAAGATTCGGTCTCTGTCTGCCGATATAATCCTAACGCCGGCCCAAGCAGCGTCATTGCGGCTCCTTGATGATGAAAGATCTGCCTCGGAGATATTGCAGTAGATCAAGGACTGCCAATCGAAGACTTTCCACTGACAGCATTGTGGGAAAATTCCATGGTTGTGGGTTTGTGCGGCGGTGCACGATGCCACTTTGCGCGCTCAGGAGCGTATCCGCGCGTATTTGAGCGTATTTGAGCGTATTCAGAACTAATGGAACAAGCCGCTCGTTCTCTAGCCACAAGTACTTACGTGTGCGACTATAGCGGTCACTGAGCCCTCAACCTCAATACACGACTTCTCAAAAAAAGCCCCCTTCCTACCAGACTACTCGGAATTTGATGGCGCGCGTCTGGGCATTGCATTGCAACAATACTCTTTTTAGGACTGGAACGCAAGTTCTCACTCATGCTTGCAATTCAAAACTCAATCCACTCCTTCAATTCACCTCAGCAACTCCTTCCTCAACTCACTCCTCACTGATCCTTTGTGGTATCCCCACACTTGATCCCTTCTTTATCACTTATCCTTTTTACCACTTGTGGTATCCCCACACTTGGTCTCCTCTACACCCTTATCTCCAACAAGCCTGAACCATCCTTCCACCAATCCTTCCATCTCAGAGAGCAGTTGGTATCCCCAGCTGGCCCCCTCTCACAAGGTGCCTTGCACTGTGCCTATATATTAGATGCAGAGCCCAATATCAGCAGTTCTGCTGATATTGATGTACTTTTTGGCCTTTTGGCGCAATGGGGCTCTGCATTGTTACAGTGTGTCTGCCTTACTCCTGTCAAACTCTTCCTGCAAAAGCGGCTGCTTATGATCGTCAGTGCCATTTGGTGGACACATGTACAACAAGCTTGGCTTGCCAGCAACAACATTTGGTCATTTGTTTTGCTTTTGGATTCAATGAGAATTCCAGGTCTCTACAAAGGCTTGGATCTTGCAACAAAGAACAGGGATGTAGATGGCTCCAAGAGCAATCATATCTGCAAAACTGGTCTTTGAGAACAGATTATGTGTCTGCAGGTCATGGAAGTAGAGCTTTAATAGCTGTATTAGTCTGTATTAGTCTAGGTTGGTGACGGGATAACTTACACTCCACCGGAACAGTATTGTGCCCGTGCGCCTTGTGCCTGGAGTCGGGTCGTGCCCCACCAACAACATGCTCACCACCACAAAGATGAGGTTCTTGTAACAGCTGCAATAGTTATTATCATGAGATTTTTTGGTATAGCAACTCCGTACATGCTTGCAATTAATTTGTACTATCTATATTTGGCTGAAACTCTGAGGTTGCAACCACAAGAGTTAACTTTGGGTGGAGCAGCCGGTGCAGCTTCTGGGGATGACGCAACAGCTGCAGAGCTGCCCTTAGGTCTCTTTGGCTTGTGCTTTGATGAGAGTGCTTTTGAGGCTTTGCGCTTGCCTATAGGGGCAGTTTGTATAGCTTTCTTGGTGTTTTGGGATTCAGTTCTGGCCATGCAAGCAGCAGCTTGTTCAGTCTTCATCTGATCTCTCACCTCTTTGGCCCTCTCTCTTGCCACACCTGTTGCTCTTGCTCTCGGAGTAGCTGTGCAGCAGCTTGAAGCTCCTTCCTGTTTGCCTTTGCAGCTATTTCCTCTTGCTCTTGTTGTTGGCGCAGTGCTCTTGCCCTTTCCAACAAGCGCTTTCTGCCTCTGTCGTTCAGACAGATACGTCATGTAAACAGACCCTGATGGTCCGGTGAGAGAGACAGAACACTGAACAAGAACAACAACAATATATACCGATTTTACTGCTTCGCGCGGTTACCCCTGACTTACTGCCCTGCGCGGTTACACCTTCACTTATTGCATTTACTGCAACAATAACTCTATAGACTCAGAACTCAAACAACGCGACATACTTATCGGTTTGCGCAACCTGATGGGTGACCACCGAAGATGTACACAAGGAGCTGTGGCTATCCAGGTCATGGATGAGTACAATATTACATCAAAACTCAACTGTTTGGTTGGCGACAACGCTACTAGTAATGACAAGGAGCTTATTGCTGGTCTTAACGAGTCCAACAACCTAGGGAAAGTCACCATGTCCAACCGAATACGTTGTACTGGCCATACAATCAGCCTCGTTGTCAAGGTTACTTTATATAGAGACGTTAGTAGGCTTGACGAGGAGCTTGCTGCCGCCGGCCCTAGGGAGCAGTTCGAGCTATAATGGAAGTATGGCGTTGTTGGCAAGCTTCACAACTTTATCAATTCAGTTTACATTTCCTACAAGCATTGGTTACTCTTCCAGGAGGCTCAGAAGCACGATGATAACAATAAACTATACACTTGTTCGACGCTCAGCTTACGTCAGGATGGAGGTGCACATTGACATTCCGTTTACTTTATCCTACTCCGTTGCTGGGAGCTCCGTGAGGCAATACAAAGCTTCCAGCTGGAGCTTTTCCAGCTCAATGACGCTCCTGATGACGACAATTGTCCTATCATCCCCTCATCAATCAACTGAGCTCTGAGGAATGGATAGAGGTCAAGGCGTTGATTGATGTTCTTGAGACTCCACATCAACTTACTAAGATGCTTGAAGGTAACGATGACAAGTCAGACTTTGGCTCCTTACGGCAAACGGTCACAAACTTGCAGACTTTGTGGAAGCAATATACAGAGAAGGAAGCCGAGCTTGCCTTATAGGGGACCAAGCTACCTCAAAACAGCAGTCGAATATGGTGTTGAGAAGCTTTAGACTTACTGGAAGTTGATTATTATAGACCCAGAGATCAGCTACTACTGCGTGGCAACAGCTCTCTACCCCAGCCTTTGTATGTTGTGGTTCAAAACTCATTCGAAGAAGTTCCACCATTGGCCCAAAAAGGCTCAGTCATGACTGCAACAAGTATTTGATGACTATCTACTTCTCGAGACTGCCGAAGATGACATTGAAGGTCAACTTTCTCAGCCTTTTCAACCATCTTGTCGAATGGTACTAAGTATTAACGCCCGAGGACAAGCCATATACAACTCTATTTGACGACGTTATGACTGTTGTTATCGACTACGACGACTGCAGCAGAAGCCTCAAACGTTCTAAACAATTAACTCCACTTCGCAAGTATTGTGAGAGTCTCCGAGATGATCTCAATAACCCCAATGCCAATTTTCAGTGGACAATGAAGCATGATCCTTGGCAGTGGTGGGTGAAGTATGGGTGTGGAAGGGTTGAGATGTTGATTGATCTTAAGAGCTATTGGCTAGAATCGATCAAGCCTATATAGTAGAAGGGGATAGCAGTGAAGGGTGGGGGAAGCAACCCGAGCTAACCGAATGAGCTGGACAATCAGTGCAGCGGACCGTTAGCAAACACTGCAACGCACCGCTAGCAAACAGATGGCGATCGGTGGATATCTTCACTTCCTCCGACAATGGGCAGCACAAGTACCCTATACTCTTCAAAATGGCTGACAATATACTCTTAATATCAGCAACCAGTTGTGAATATGAGCGCTGCTTTAGTCGGGCTCAGCGTGTTATATCAGATGGCAGAAATCTACTAAAACCTTCAACAATTGAATCTCTCCAACTACTCAAAAACTTGCCCTATAATGGGCTTGTGGAGAGCTTCTACAAGCGACTGGGGACACAAAGTACTAGTGAGGACGTTTTAGGGGTGAGAAAAGCGTTAGAAACATCCTCCCAGAGCTTCAATGCACCTATATCAATTAAAGACAGGGAGGACTAAACCCAATTGGCAACTACGTACCGTATTCTAGCTCAATTCAATCGTAGCTATGCAGCAGCAGCTACTTCCGTACTCTACTACTCCTTCACCGTAGCTGTACAATCGTAGTGGACTCCTACGGCTACCGAACAGTACAGTAGTACGGACCTTTGGAAAAGCTGAGTTTTCACGTGAAGACAAACCTCACACCGAGCTCGATGCCAGTGCCATACAGCAAGCTGGTGGTGCTTCTGGAACTCTTGGAGCCAACAGTTCGAACGTGAGAGTGGAGCTTGAAGGCGATTGGGCTGGGTGGGATGCTCCTGCTATAACTGAGGTCGAAATGCCAACAGATACACCGGATCGGGCAGATGTGTCGAATGATGAAGCAGAACAAAGAAATAGGTTGGGAAAGAATGTTCAAAAGACACCAGTAGACACGGATGCTATCAGATTGACATTATATAATGGCTCCTTTGCCGGCTTGATGCAGCCTGGCGCTTCGGCATTGCAACTCGTACACTCGCCCCAATTACAGTGTCTATATCTTCGTTTTCTCCTTCGGCGCCCTCGAACTACCCTGAGAATGCGCACGACCCTTACCATCCGTCTTGATGTATTCAGCAGACTGCCCATTCAACTTTACTGCCCGCTTGTCACCGGCCGGCAATATTAACACCAAATCCTTCCATGCTGGCTCAAAACCTGGCTGCAGCTTCTTCTCCAACTCAACTTCCACTGCGTCCTCAGTAGTCGCATATCGAAGCTCGAATGTCGAGATGCTCGCGGGCGGTGGACTGATACCATCATCTTCATACCACTTCGTCGTGAACACCTTTCCATTCGACGAGCCTTTTGGCGGAAAGATTTCGACAGCGCGATAGTCGTCAAGCGGTAAACTCGCAGGATTCGACTTCTCGCCCACACAGAGCGTCTGCTCCGGACGACCGACAGGGATAGCAGTGCCGACTTTCGCAAGAACGGGGATGCTCTTGTTCCATTTGGCGGAGACCTCAATCCACTGGCCGGCATTGTAATATGTTTGATGAGCGTTATTGAGATCCAGGAACTGGAGCTCAGGATCCGATGGATTCTTGGGAAGGTACACCTTCGCAGTCGAAGCACCAGGTTCGAAGACACCACCCACGAGCAGTGAGTCGCCGAGCCAGTACTGCGTTTCGCCATCAGTCAAAACCCTGTTGGTCCAGAGTTCAACGTCCTGCTCGTAGCCCCAGCCAACCCAGCGTTGTGGTGGTGTCGCGGTGAGATGGCTATCCAAAGCGAGCGAGTACAAATAGGGGATAAGTTCGTATCGACGCTTGATGATGTCGCGGACAAGCGATGTCGTTTCTTCGTACATCCATGGCTCGATGACGTCGCCGACACTGTTGTTCTCGGGAGAGGTCTTGAAGCAGTTAATAGCGAAGCGGGAAGAGTAGATGCCTTGCTGACACCAGCGCACGAGCAGCTCTGGTGTAGGCTGTGGTCCTTCGAAGCCGCCGATGTCGTGGCCATAGCATTGCATCAGGCACATGCCAGCACCTAGAGAAAGAGCGTTTGCGCCTTTCATACCCTCCCAGCTTGTGACATTATCGCCGCTCCATGCGCTAGCGCAGTATCTGAGGGTCCCGGCAGTGGCGCTCCGAGTCAAGATGAACGGTCTCTGGTCTGGCTCGGCTTCCAGTGTAGCTTCGTAAGAGCTTTTCCCCATCAGCTCGGTGTTCAACGAACGTCCCCAAAATCCCACCTCTTGCCCACAATTACTGCTACCATTTTGGTTCACGGAAGGCTCAGTCAGTGCACACCTCCATTGATCGTTGGGTATAGTGTACTCGTTGTTATCGTTCCAGATGCAATCGATACCAACCCGCTTGAGATCTCGAATGCCTTCGTACCACCATCGATACCCCGCTTCTGAAGTGAAGTCAATGTGACCTCCTACGCCGCTCTCACCACCACCCGCACTCCATAGCCGCGCTTGGGCGGAGTCATTGGTGACAGGATCCGTGAAGAGAGCGCCGGCTGCTTTCAGCTTTGGGTATTCAGGATGATTGGCCAGGACGTAAGGCTTGACGTTAGCGATCAAGCGTATGCCTTCCCTGTGGAATGCGTCCATGAAGCCTTTGGGATCAGGGAAGCGGTGTCGGTTCCAGGTAAAGACATTGCGCGTCTTCGGTTCTGTCTCTGCAACGGTGTAGCCTGAGCTCATCTGAAAGCCACTGCAAGGGATATCATACTTCTTCATCTTGCTTGCAAACTCTATAAGTGCATCTGACGCGCGCGGCTCATCAAGCATCGAGTACTTCATTCCTCCAGCGATATATCCAAATGCCCACCGTGGCACCAGCAGAGGATATCCTACTAAGTCGGCGTAGATGCGTACCACGTCTTTGATAGTGGCACCCATTATAATGTACTCCTCAAGTCCCCCATACTCTTGTCGGAAGACCTTGAAGCGGCCCCACATGCCGTCCATCTCAGATCCGACCGAGTAGGAGCCTCGAGCATGGGACGATGAGAAGATTCCCACACAACCTTGAGGCGTAGCATTGATGAGGAGTGGGATAAACTTGTACAGCGGATCCGTACGGTAGACATCGTAGCCGAAGCTGTCAGTTGCTGACAACACGAAGTGGCGATTCGAGAGATCCATTGGAGCTGCCTTCTCTCCCAGACCAACATGCAGCGTGCCTTTGTTGTATCGTGTGTAGTGCGCTATCCCCATGCCATCTGCAACATACGCACGATGAGGGAGATCTGAGTGGATGGGAGCATCTTGACCAGCGAAGCCGAGAGCAAGCAGTGGGGGCCCCGTCGTCCAGTCGATGCTTGCAGTTACTTCATCAACCTGGAAAGACTTCGTCGTGGCTGTGGAGGATCCATGCTGTATGTTGGCACCATGCAGATCTTTCGATGGTAGTGGCGCAGCTCGATGAGGTGGAAGCAGGTGCTTAGGGGAAGTGAAAGTTGTGCGGAACAGTCCTGGTCTCAGAGACTCGAAGCTGAAGTTGTACTCGCCTTGTGATGATTGAAGATGAATGGAGGTATCCGAGTCCTTCGCTGTTGGCTGGACCTTGAAGTCAAGGGGAACAATCTCGAGTTGAGGCATGGCGCAAGTAGCTCAACGATGCTCTGAACCTGTGGTGGTAGCCGGTCACGTTGGTGACAGGCCAGGTTGTTCTGTCTCGTAAAGCCATCGTGTACCTTTCACACTTTATGTTAGGAACTGGGGCAGTAGATGAACCGGGATCGGCCTTGACTCTCGGTATCGTCGGCGATCGACTGATGTTCCATCACGTGTGCTTCCCCTCTTTGCCCAACCCAAGCTTAGCGCGGCCTCACCGTTCGGTAACTTCGGCCGTGACACTGCCATGGTTCGGAGGAAAGTGGAATCTGGGGTCCCCGTGGGGATGCTGTATAAGTGGGACGATCAGCTCCACCGTTCTGATCTACACCGCAGTCTCCATTTTTCGCTGCACTTCTCTCATCATGGCGAACCCCAATCTTCCACCAGCTTCACCGCCAGACATCAGCAAGACTGAGGTCGAGACAGTCGAGTCCATCCACAAGCCATCACCTACGACGAAAGGCAAGGATAAGGCCGCAGAGCTGCTTGCTTCGAATGAACGCATCGTGGTTACATCAGCAGAGAACAAGCGAGTGCTGCGCAAGATCGACCTCATCATCCTGCCCATCCTGTTGTCTGTGTACTTTCTCCAAAGTTTGGATAAAACGACACTCTCATACGCCTCCGTCTTTGGTCTCATCGAAGATGCTAATCTCAATCCAAACTCCGATCAGTACTCGTGGCTGGGCAGCATCGTGTACATCGCACAGCTTGTTATGCAGCCGCTAGTCGCATTTTTCCTGGTCAAGTTCCCCATCGGCAAATTCGTGGGCATCACGGTGTTGACATGGGGCGCGATCCTGTGCGGCATGGCTGGAGCGACCAATTTCGCAGGACTTATGGCGACAAGGTTTTTGTTAGGCGCATTCGAGTCCGCAGTTGGTGAGTTTCACATGACTATTGTAGATCATCTGTATGCTGATATGTTCCAGCGCCCGCCTTCATCGCTGTGGTCCAGATGTGGTACAAGCGTTCCGAACAAACGAACCGCAATGCTGCATGGTACTCCATGCTAGGCATCGTCAACATCCTCGGCAGTCTGCTGTCGTACGGTCTTGGGCACATCCAGTCGGATCGCCTCCACTCATATCAAATCATCTTCCTGTTCTGCGGTCTCCTGAGCGTCGTCGTCTCGATAGCAGTCTACATCTTTATGCCCGACTCGCCCATGGAGGCAAAGTTCCTGAACGATACCGAAAAGTTGATCGCTGTTGAGCGTCTGCGCATGAATCAGATGGGCGTCGCCTCAAGGGTTTGGAAGTGGGATCACGTCTTGGAGGCCTTCTTGGACATCAAGACATGGCTATGGTTCTCCATGCTGACGGCTGTCAGTATTCCCAGTGGTGGCATCACTACCTTCGGCCCCTTGATCATCCAGTCCTTCGGGTTCGGAAAGTTCCAGACGATTCTCTTCAACATGCCGTTTGGTGCGGTCCAGATCATCGCTACGCTTGGTGGAGCTTGGTTGGCGACTAAGCTGAAGAAGAAGGCGCCCGTTCTCATCCTACTGTGCGTACCACCGATAGTCGGCATCATCATCCTCATGGTGGTTGGTCGAGGCAAAGAGAACCGCGGAGTACTACTGGTCGGGTATTACCTCACTTCCTTCTACCCTGGCATTTCGCCCTTGATCTACTCGTGGTCGGGACAAAACACTGGAGGCGACACCAAGAGGAAAGTGACTACGAGTATTCTGTTTGTGGGGGCCAGCGCTGGCAACATCATTGGTCCCCATCTCTTCAAGCCGTCCGAGAAGCCCCACTACTACCGAGGCTTACGATCAAACCTGGCTCTCTTCGTCGCTATCATCGTGCTCGTCATCCTGGCAGTCATATGGATCAAAGTGCTGAACCGTAAGCATGCGGCTACTCGTGAGAGCATGGGTAAAGCCGCAAACATTGTCGACCTGAGTATGGAGGGAAGCCGCAATACCGACACCGAAGGCGCAGAAGACATCCAGGCAAGCGGTGTAGGCGACAAAGCGTTTGATGATGTTACGGACATCAAGAACGAGGACTTCATATACGTCTATTAGATAGCGTCACGCTTGCTATGCGGTGTTGATGGAAGCGCATATGTTTGCAAGATCAAATAGCAACCAAATTACCATTTTGGACCCTTTCAGAACTTTTTGAGTACTCAATTGGTGTATAGTGTTGGTTTCCGATGGTGGCACTTCAACTTTCTTAGGTGCAGTGAAATTAATTTCGGGAAGTGAATTGTCTCAGAAGAGGTTGTCGATGTCGACGAACATATCTTGCCACCCGAGTGGCATGTGCTTGAGATTTAAGCCAGGGAAGTCCCACTCGAAGGTGAACTGATTCGGTGCATAGCCTTGGAAGTCGCTTTCAGCGGGACCGCTGACGGCCAAGGCTAGGTCTGAGATATCTTGTTGCGCAGAGTAGTCTACTAATGCAGCTTCGCACTTCTCGATGCTGGTTTGCAGTATCTGAAAATATGGGATGTAGCCAATCGTAACTTTTTTGAGTTCCTCGAGCACCCGGTGCGCGTCGCGGAGCAACGCGAGAATGTGAGGGACCGGATCGCGGAGTAGAATCGAAAGTCGAAGTACGAGCAGTACCGAGAAAGCTCCCTTCGCCCAGACATAGTCTATCGTCCATTTAAAGGTGTTAAGATAGGCGGGTGCTGATTCAGACGGTGACGTGGGTGAAGTGGAAGCTTCTAACAGATGACGGAAGTGTCTTATTGAAGCTTCTTTGGCTCTCTGGATCATCTCTTTCTGGAAGTCGGTCATAATCGCGATGTTTTCTATGCCTGAGGCGGAGACAGCTTTCAGATGGAGTGTAATCAGAGCCCAATCGTATTGGATATGGAGGTTCACAAGCGCGAGTTCGCGCTGGTGGGGGGCTGGCTCCCTAGACACAACATCGGTCCACTCGTTGAGCCAGAGTGAGAGCTCAGTGATTGTGTCGTTTGCTTTGGCTCGAATGAGGCCTTCGTCTTCTAGGAGCGATGAACCGCTATGCCTGAGGATGTCGCTATACGCATCTGTGCGAATTAGGTTGAGCTCTACTTGAGAGAGGAGTCGAATGTCGACCGCCGTACACTCTGCATGGTTGAGCAGGGCTCGAATCTTGCGCGGTGTTGTTCGTGGCGATACGCTTGGGACGTGACCACCATCGAGCGAGAAACTGTCCCATGGTTAGTCTTGCACAATATGTTGGCTACAGATCCATAGGTACTAGGGCTCACAAAAGTTCAAGATTGCAAATGCCGTGCCAGACACGCTGAAGGCGATAAAGCTCTCGTTCCGCAGTCCTCAGTTGGTCTCGATTGTGATGAAGAGTCAGTAGCTGATCGGTAGCTTTGTGTAGACCCAATTGGATGGCAAACCGCAGGGCAAGCGCGATTAACATGTAGCCATTCTCACTGTATGCTGCCATCAGGGTGATAGCCTGTATTGCCTCCAGACATGGCTGCTCGCAAGTAATGAGCAAATAGGTCAGATGCTCACATAGGCCGGACTGCAGCTGGCGAAATACAGGGGAGTTCAAGCCTTGCTCTGCGCGGCAGCCCACACTAACAATTGCATCGAACAAGAACGCACTGCGCGAAGCGACTGAGGTGATTACGTCGCTGCTTTCCGAGAAAATGGGAACCAGGTAGTGCTGCCAGGTATCAATGACGTTAGTTTCGATAGTGGTTACAACTTACGCTACCTGCAAAGAAGCTGGAGAACCACGCAAAAGCATCGTCGTACGCAATGATACCCTTTTCGACTGCGTTGGAGTCAACATGAGCCTGTCCATCCATCAAGCTCCCCCTTTGCACGAAGTCGCACCCAGCATTTGGTTGTCTACTCTCCAATTGTGGATTTGTCGGTACTTGGGGGTCAGTGTTGTCCAGCTGCATTCGCAGTCGTGCTACCTCTGCTTCCAGCTTCTCGATACGAAGAGCATTTGGGTCTTTGCCGGTTACATCGTGATATTGGCAAATTGTATCATTTTTGTCGCACCGCTCGCAGGGCCGCTTGCCATCACATCGTACTTTGGATGACCGACAAGAGATGCACGCGTTGATTGCACGACGTTTCCGAGGGCGCTCGACCGAAGTTGACGAATCCATTGCAGGCATCATTCAAGCAAAATGCATGGTTTCGGGATTGTCGTGCGAAGTCGATCATGAAATGTGCCGAGGAAAGTGCGGGGAAACAGGGCAGGGCAAGGGCCCTCGAGACGATGCATCACTCCGCCACGGCAGTTGTTAGCGCCGGCGTGGCCCTAGACAGAACACAGATTAGCATGAAGGATCTAACACACCAACGAATCTTCATCCGTTCACAACACAACACGAAGTACTTCGTACTGTGGTAATGAAAATCTTCCTCTTGCAGTATTCTGGTCCTTCCTCTACTTGGCGATCGCGGCTTCTGTCGCCTTCGGGCTGCACGTTGGGTATTCGAGACCCGAGCTTGAACGTTGCATTGAATTGGCTTAGCTAGGAAAGGCGCGTACGAACGCAGTAATCGAAGAGAAGCTCGTATCTGTCCTTGAGTGTTCCATTTGAACCCCTAGTTTGTTGCTTCGAGTGTCGTGACCTACTCTCCAGGGCGTCAAAGGCTTCCAGAGCCACCTTGAGGGCCCCCCCCCCTAGCAGCATCACGCTTCGACTTACTTGCAATGCTACGCTTAGCCAAGCAGCTCTCATCAACAACAGTCCCATTCGGAGGAGCAGTACCAGTCGTGGGAGCCATGCAGTTTGCCTTGCCTCCATTCTCCATCATTACGAGACTGGTCTCGTTATCACTAGTACCATTTTTTGGATCCGCATCCTCCAGGGTGCACTCACTCTCCTTAGGCTCTGTACCATGCTCACCAGTAACACGCTTGAACTTCTGCGTCCCATTGTTATCAGCTTTGAGCATGTTTTCCGCCGCATCGGCATACCAGCCGTTGACGAAGTCGCCGTGCATGCAGTATCCATCGCCGATGGTGTCGCTGCAGGACAGCTGGAGAGGAGCGGTGCCAGGCCAGCCATCAGGGAAGTGCCTTGCGGAGGTCATAGCGGACGGAGAAGCGAAGCTGGAGGATGCGCTCCATGCCAATCGGGCAGTAATTGTCGGTGCCCCATGCGGCGGTGGAGTATTCGTATTGAAAGGTCACGGAACTGTAGCAGTCGGGGAAGCGGAGTTGATCTTGGAGATACGCGGAGCAGGTTTTCGTGGGAAATTTGGCAAGGTCTTTCGACTCGCCTGAGTCGCCCTCGCACCACCGTTCTAGTTGGTGGTACTTGTGGTCGGTTTTGGTTTGAGTCTTGGCAGATGCGTTTCCAGCGATCAGACCGGTGTCTTCTGGGAAGCGGATCTCGGTATAGCCGCCATTTTGGTAGTATGATCTGAAGCGGAAGATGGGGAATTCAAAGGTTTAGGATCCCTTCGTCGTGTTAGTAACTTTGTCAGATGTCTTTTGAAGAGCTACTCACAGTACACAGATTTCGTTTGAATTTTCGCCTGAATTGCATCCCTTCTGCAGCTTAGCAGTGGTTGACTTGATGTTGGTAATGATATCGCTTCAAAGAAAGTATGCATATGGCTGGTGTATATTCCTGGCACGACCAAGCATCGACATTCTTGTTCATGAAAGCCTTGTGGTTGATAACTGTGTAGGCATATACAGCGCTTAGGCTGGCGAGGAAAGAAATCGCGGAGCGCCTATTTACAGCGGAAAAAAGATGTCTCGATCACAGGTCCATGGACGAAAGAGTGACTAAGTAAGGAACGGCAGTAAAGAACGACAGATTTGAATCAACAACGGGGAAGAGATAGGAACGAAAGAAGGTCTAAAGAACCCAACAGTACCAGATATCAGGATCTTTCTGCTCCCGCACTCTCCCCCGTAGCGCGACCGAAGACGAACGTTGCCGTTGACAGGGGTGTTGTTTGGGCTCGGGCCATTGGAGGAGTGCGTGTGTTTCAGAAATGAACAGGGTGATCGTTTCCTTCACTCCACAACGGCGCATCGCTCATGGCAGATTGGCGATATTCTGCACCTCAGGTAAATGGAACAGCATCTAGAGTTTGTAATGAACAGTTCGCATGTCCTCTCGCAAAATATGCTCGGCTGCATGCATGCGACTGAAACCCTTGAATGATCTCTGCTCAAAACAACGAAGCACTGAAGGAGAAGCGGTTCATCGTCTGTGGAGACATCCGCAAGAGTGTGTTAGTGATGGGCGTTCCTGAACTGTGCCGCTCTGAAGGTAGCTCAAACTCATCCTAACGCCCGAAAGAGAATGCTTTTCGTGAAGATCATCGAGAAATCCTGCACTTTTGGAGCGCGACTACTGAAGCATGGGGCACATTTGGACTGCTTCGGTGCCCCAAGGACAATGTCGCTCTGCGTCCTGCAAGGTCTTCATCATTCACCTGTCGAGGGGTATCGGTACGTCCGAGTCAGAGCCCCTTTTCGTATCGGGATGCGGGACAGTGTGAACGGCGCTGCGGTGAATATGTCGGCATTTTCTATATATCCCGAACACTACAAGTGAGAACGAGTGCGAGTGCGTGGAGAGCGTTGCGGAGCCATGCAGCCGCAAAGGGGGGTCCAACGCTCAGTTGAAATTGCCGCGGATGTCTTCACCTTCCGTCAAAACCTGCTTCCAGCGCTCTTCAACACTATGAATTAGTAGATACAATCCTTCATACACATGGCTGGTTCCCGTGCATACTGAAGCTTCACGCAGGCCGTAGTGCTCAGAAGGTTCAAGAACTTGCATTTTCGCGACAGGAATGTCAAACAAGTGAAGAGGGTCTCAAAGCAAGAAACCGTATGGAGGAAAGGAAGATGAAACAGCATGGTCACAGAGAAGGCGCGCTACCTTAGGAAGCAACACTTCTAACTATTCACCCACAACCTGCTTTTATGGTACAACGGAAAGGGGATGTCCCTGCCTTCGAATATTCTCCAGTCAGCTCTCACTAAAGCCATTTCTTTCTTTGTGCAGTCTCCCCTCAGAGCTTCCGCAGTCCAAGAAATCTACGTGATGCCAAGTTACAGTACATCAACAACCTTCCACCTTTTCTTCAACCTCCTCCTCCCCTGATACCCCTCAACCCCTTCCCAGCAAAGCTCCTCCTTCATCCCAGCTTCGACGCTCCAACACTTCCACCGGCACCTTCTGTGCCTGCAGCTTGGACATTTGTTGCCAACTTCTTCTGACGTCCATCGCTTGCCACAGCGATGGCAGCGCCATCTGATGAGGGAGGCTTGCGTGAGAATGGTGTGCTTGGTGCCCATGGTTGTGAGTTGTAGGGAGTTCGTGTTGAAAGCAATGTGAGGGCCAGCAGTGGGAGATAAGTTACCTTGTGGTGAGAAACCATTGGTGAGGTATGTCGTGGCGTGGGCGTACGATGAATGAAAAGTTTCCATTCACCAAGTGTGACTTGTTGAAAATGCAATCGACCTTAACCAGGGAATCCTGAGCACTCATGAGACCATGTCGTGGCGATTCTCTCTCGTATTCCGAAGCTGGACCAAGCCATTACCCATGCACAAGGGCTCAGCACTAAGCTCCACGGCTTCTTGCTGCGTGTTCAACTCCGTGACGCCATGTCTCCCTTCAACCTCGACGACCTCTTGATCCGGGTCGGCTTCCAGAAGCTTGCGTGGCCGAGCTGTGTTCCCGTCCAGCTCTGCTTTGTATCCAGGGTCCGCCCGAACTAGCTTGTTGTGAGTGCGCGTCCTGCGTAAACCAAGCCAGAAGGCACCGATTACTAGGAGTATGACAAGGCTCGCGGCGCCTATGCTCACACCAATTATAGCTGAGGTCCTGAGACTTATCGTTGGCTCTGGACCGCTCGCCGGAGTTGGTGTCACTCCCGATACGGACAACGTGGAGTACGATGCAGTCAGGATTGTCGAAGGTATAGAGGAGCGTCCATTGACGACCGATGATGTTTCCATAGGTCCATATGGGGCCCCAACAGTAGTTGAACGAGATGATGTGTCATCATTTGCTATCCAGTGTGGCATAGCTGACAACGAAGAGGTAGCAGTGACGCTCGAGAGCGGGAATTCAAATTCACCGGATGCAGAGGTAGATGTGACGAAGGAGAGCAGAGATTCAACTTGACGGTTCTGCAGGGGCTGAAATGAGTTGAGGTGGGGTAAGAGGTACAGATGGTAGTAGACGAGGGCCCCATTTCTGGACAATATAAGATTGACGAAATAATGGTTGTCGTTTCTGGGATGGCGAGTTACGGACTCGAGTTGGATTGGAAAGGAGCGAGGAGGCTAGAAGAGCTCAATATGAATAGATTGTGTGGCCCCCATAGTGGCGGTGTCGTGTTGTTCTGTTGTGGTACTTTCGATCCTGGAAAGCCGGCGTACATCTGACTTTAGACGATCGTTGAGTGGTCGGCCTGGAAAAGCAAGTGTAACCCCAGAGTCTGACCCCGGGTTCGTGTAAGTCTGAAACACTCATGCTTGCTGAACGTTCAGCCCTCGCCATTCTGGCTTCAAAGCCTCATCCACCCATAGGCATTCCGTCAGGCCCACGTGCTTCCTCACATACTCCTCTAATGCCTTTGCACTTGGTGCGCCTTCGTAAATGCCGACTGCGCCGACACGGGGTATGTGCACTGCGGCTGCAAACCGAGCGTCGTTGGAGGTAGGAAGAGCAACAAGGCGCGTGGGCTCCGATGATGCGGAACTCGAGGTTGGTCGTAGAGTGGCGAGGTGGAGCAACGTTGGTATGTGAGCGTGTGAGGGAGAGAGTGATGGCTGAGGGTGAGTGAGGATGACCATGCTTAGAGGTTTTAGTGCGGTCCCTGGCTGGTTCTCGGCACCTTTGTCCGGCGTGGAGCTATCTCGGCCATTGAGGTCGGTCTCCTCGACTGGTACAGTTGGTGGTGCGGTACTGGCTGCGAGAGCTTCGAGATGTCTCGTTACGCTGTTCAGGCCAATGAGAACATGAGATCCCATCGCTGGTGCTGGTGATGGAGGAGCATCATATGCATGAGCCTTTGTATCTCGCTTACGCTTCTTGCCCTTGGAAGGTTGAATATGTGTTCTGCGGTGCTCGCCGAGAGGTGTGAGTAGACTGGAGAAGTCAGTGTCAATACATTGATTCCAAAGCTTTCTGCAGAGAGATCTGAGATCCTCCACATCTGAACAACTGGTTGAAACAGCGTGACTTCAAGGAAGCGAAGGTCTTACCTACTTGCACAGTAATTCCGTTATGACTTCTTGGTCTTCGGGTGATACAGACGGCCTACACGTTTCAACATGTGCTGATGATCAATACCAGCTACATACGAACCACTTAGTTTCTGTGAAGGGCGAGGATGTTTTGAATATCGGCTTTGACGGCTTCTTTGTGGGTGGTACCATGTCGCGCGTAAACTTGCCCTGATGATTAGGGCAGGGTCCAGTGTAAAAATATTTGTAGACGAGGCAGCGTTTGAACGAGTAATGCTGGTGTCTCCTCGCGCAGACGTAAGTGATACAATATCTGATCTGAGGGAGGCTGAACAAGCCTAATGTTTGCACCGCCTGGCCAGTGAAGCTCCTGGTTGGCCAAAGAAAAGTGATGGTGGATTGCGGTTTCCTCGGAGGTGAGCACAGGCACCACGCTAAGAAATAACGTGAACTGGTCCTCCAATTGGCGATGACGTCCAGCACGCTGCCCCGCGAACTTCGTGAATTAACGACGCGTTCAATAGCTCTCTACTACGACAGCGCAATCGCAATTACATTCAATTTAACCTTTCCAAAGTGACCTGACGCAGCTACAGCTCATGTTGTCCCTCAGTCACGCGTACCCCACCTTTTCGCACGCGGTCCTTGCCCAGTAAGGCTGGACCTGCAGCTGCAACTGTTGCCTGTGCCTGCCATAGCGGACACGCCAAACTCGCCCGCGCAAACAACCCGCTGTCTCGCCAGCTCACTCAGTCATGAGTGCGCAGCATCAACACATAGAGCAGTCCCATGCTGCGGGTGAGCCAGCGATCTCCACCTCGCCGTCGCCGCCGCGCCGCGACCCTGTGGAAGACGTAGACGACAACTTTACCCGCAAACGCCAACGCCTGGATGACGGCGGCGCTGTTCTGCGCGCAACGTCGACCGACTCAGAATCTCCAAGCAAAGCAATCACCTCGCCGCACAAAGAGATGGTCGCCATGACCATACGAGAGCATTCACCTCCATCTCCGTCGCCTGCAGAGGACAACGAGCACGACCACATTGCTACTGGATCCTCTACCAATCGAACATCAACACCCACAAAGGTGCCCTCGATGCTAGATGGCGCAGATGACGACCCTACCAGTCCGCCTGTTATTGAGATCATCGACGACGATGAAGACGAGCTGTCAGCTGGATTTACAGTGCAGCTCAATGCCGAGGGTTACTTTAGACAGTTCCCTTACCATGATCGCTTCAGGAACGCCTTACAGGCACTACGTGAAATCACCAACCATGTGCAGAAGAGTAAGTTGGATCAGCGCTGCTTATTCCTGATATGCCCTTTGCTTATACAATCTAGACCTAGATATCCCTGCCGACCTCCTTCCATTGTTGGCCCAGTGGCTCCACGGTCTCCCTGACGACGTTTTGACCCATTTACAAAGCTTCTACATAAGCAAAGGAATGTTCTGGATCGACTTCGCGGACCTGGTTGAAAAGCTTCTGAAGCGGAGGTACCAATGGATGACTGCTCTTAATGCTGGCCAAGATGATGACATGAGCAGATACCCATTCGGTGAACACTTCGGCGATGACGCGGCGGTAGACGAGGCTTTCTCCGGATTCTTCAGCGCCTACATGCGACTATGTTCTCATTTGTTTCTCGTCGACGTAAATCTATTAAACCGGCCACGTCCCGGGGAACAATGTTCTTCATCTTTGCTGAGCGAAAAGCATCTGTGTCACCTTCACACGATTCTTCGCAGCGAAAAGGCTCCGTTGTTTCATTTACTGCGCAGAGAGTATGCTGTCGATGTACGCGATATGAGCAATCGCCTGCACACAGATTTTCTCACGGCCAACGGCGCTCAAAATCTACTGAGGCTAGCTGACGAAGCTTATCGTAACGTGTCGACGATCTTACAGACCCACATTGCTATGTACATGTGCCAGGTGTTGGGGACGCTGGGCTGGACCATCTGTCGATTCCCAACCGCCCGAAACGGCATCGATCCCGCAGAATACTACCGTGGAACCTTACTATTCTTTCGGAAGTACAGTGAAGACCTCCAAGATCCAGCAAAGATCACTGATGCTAGTGTGGCAAGGGACCTAGTCATTTACTTCTCCCATCTCGCACAAGAGCTTTGTCAGTGGGATGAGGAAAGCGCCAAAAGTCTGGCGGACGAATTACTGGACCTACAAGACCCTGACTCACCTACGAGCACGCAGGCTAGCGCAGATCTGGACGACTATCGCCAATACCCCGATATTCTCCCTGTTATGATTGCAAACGCCTGGAAATTCAAACTGATGCGCAAGTACATCGTGAAAGGAAGAATGGAACTGCGGGTTATGAGTATCGCCTTCATGGACGAAGCGCTTGTCAGCCTGCACAAGGAGTATCATGACTCGAACTCACCAGACAAACACCCTGTTCTGCGATACCTGGCCGATATTCTTCTTCGCGGACGGGTGGTGGACTACATCATAAGCGTAGATTCGCATCCGCAATTGATCTCTCGGAGCGGAAATATCGCGGGCTTTCTCGTCGTCACCGACCGATGGGTGGACAGCCAAGCCGATGCCGTCTGGAACATTGTGTCTCACAGCCCGGATCCTCGCGTGGTCACCGCCACAATGACCATGCTTAGAAACATCATTAATTTGATGAAGCCCGCAGATCATCTCTATCTGTGCATGAAGCTTCATGACTTGCCTATCGAAAGCTTTACATTGGACGTGTTGCGCTTCTTGCGAGAGTTGACCGAGAAACTTTTGGATCGATGTCCATCTGTGGACTGGAGCCTGAGAGGTGACTCTGCAAGACCTTGGAATGTCTGCGTCCGGTTGCTCCAAGATACTGCACCTAGAAACGGTGCGACCAAGCACGACCTAGATCTCAACACTGAAGCCGACGATCAGCTGCGCTCGCTGGCACGTAACATCCCAGATTCTGATCAACATTCCATCTACGAAAGATGCTTGAAGCAGATCATCGCACGATCTGATGCGGCTACAGGGTCGGTGAGGGTGATCTTCATCTTGATTTCTTTCGGAGATACGACATTTTTACAGCAAAACGGTGATATGGTGCGCCAGGTCCTTGAAGAGATACCATCTTTCGTCAAATCGGAGGCCGCGAGTACTCCTCATTGTTATCAACTACCGGCCTTGCAATATCGACTTGAGCTCCTTGCGTTCCTGGCCTGTAGAGTTGGCCAGCTGATTCCAGAAGATCTTTACGAAGGCTTGTGGGAACACATGGTCGGCCAGCATGCTTTATCAAGTCATGCTCGCGATGTGGCCTGGGCTCAACTTCTACAAGCGACCAAGGTTTCGCCCAACAACGACTTTTGCCGACAGCTGATCTTAACGTATGTGCCGGCTATGGACCCAGAGTACTACACGCCTGGCTTGTACGAGTTTGTGGCGAACTACAACTTCCCTATCGCACGAAAGACTGTTCAGGTCGACGGTGTGGAGCATTCACTCCTGCAGATTCCGGGTGGTGACCTCCTCTGGTCTCTGGCTCTGTCTAGCCCTCCTGGTACTATTGAAGAGCTCGCAGCTTGTGACCTTGCCGCTCGGTATACTCAGCTTTCTCCGAGTCGAGATGTCACTCTTTCGGAGGTTGAAGTCGCTCATATTGAGCTGGTCGAGCGGTGCATGAAAGAACTGAGAACCGCTTTTGGAGTGCTGTGCGAAGAGTCTGATGGAATTCAAGACAGTAGGCTTCGATTCAGTCGCGTTTTGATGTTCCAGAAACAATTGCTCGAACTGATAAGGCAGAAGCCTGAGTTCAATCGTGCGCGCCGAGCAGACTCGAAGGTTGAGTCAATGGATACTGGCATTCCAGTTGCGAACGCCATTACTATCAGGTATCAGATCGGCAATGAAAGGCAAAGCGTAGCAATTGCACCGGACCGCACAGTTGCAGATTTGTATCGTAGCTTGTGCCACGCGACTGAGTGCTCGAAGCTCAATCTCTTTGCAGGAGGTCAGAAGCTTGACGTAGCTCAGCGAGCCGACCAGAAGGTTTCCGATGCCAATATTGGCGGTCAACTACTTGTGCAAGCAGTTCAGAGAGACGAGACAGCACAGGCGATAAACGCACCGGCTGCGGGCTTCTCTGAGTTCGAGACTAATCTGGTCAAGCATTTTGACGAAATGTTCGGATGGATGGACGCGGATGACGCGACAAGTCAGCTGGTAAGCACACATCAACAATTCTCTCCGCATATGGCGCTTTCGCTAACCATCCAGCTCTTCGACTTGTTGACTATGTTTCCGTACCGCAGCACAATCACTAATAGTGTGGCTGCTGGTGAGGCAACACTCGAAAGTCTGTTTCCACCTGGCAAGTTTTTCCAGGCGAAATATGCCGCCCAGGCCATACACAGCAGGCTTAAAGATCAGCTACGTAGTGTGGGTCATTCTCATTACTCCTAGGGGATTCGTGTACTAATTACTACTAGTCAGCACTGGATGAGACTTTCTTGGTCAACGCTATTAAGCTTCTTGACCGTGCGTTACTCAGTGAAGAGCTTCTCGGGCACAACGTTCCTGCTTCTAGTGGACTGCCACTTGCAGCTGTTTTCATCAGCGCCATGTTGGATTTTCTCAGAGGTATGTCTACAAAAGCTACCCCAGTCATGTCAAGCCAACTCCTAATGTACAGCAGAGCGCCCTTCCTCCGACCTGTCGAAGGACTACTTTTCGGATGCACCCACTTTGGCAGATCGTCTTGTGAACATTCTTGTGACTGCCATTCGGACGACCGGTGCTACGAAAGTCACGCAAGAGTGCTATGCGGTAATCCTAGAAGCTTCGTTGTACTCTCCAGTTATCTGGCAGACGTTCTGGGGGCACTCCGAAGTTTCTCACATTCATCGAACGCTTCTGTTGACCGATAGGCGGGAGAACCTTCGGGAATATATCAAGCTGAAGGTCCTTTCAGTCTGCGGCGGCCACCTTCCATCCTCCTGTCCGTTGAGCACAGCCGATATTGCTTCACGCTATTGGATCGCCATTGCAAGCATCTTGGCCGGTGTTGCTCACGAAGCTGAGCAGTCAGTGCAGCTTTTCGAACTTGGTCAGCATGTCTTCCGAGTCTACGATGAACATCACCGTAGCGAGGATAATCTGCGCTCGCTCCTTCGCAATTGGAGCTCTTGGCTGTTGGCTTACAATCACACCGAACTCCCGGGCCGATACGAGATCGACAACGTTGTTTTGGGTTTCACCAAGCTACTCTTGTGTCTTGTACCCTCATTGAAGTCGTACAAACATCCTTTGAACGCTGGCGCGCTCATCTCATCTATCTTCCAAAGGTTCCTCTTCACCAGGTACGTTCCCTGTCATCGAGAATTTGTCTTTCATGCCGTCTGCTATACCCCTCGGCCTAACTATATCAAAAACTCTGTTTAACATCAAACAGCGCATCATCTGTCGAAGATGCAGCACAAGTAGACAGCTCTACCTCGGCTTCGCGTCCTATCCTTGAAAGTACCACACGAGGGGAGCTCTACGATCTCATGCTAGCTCTAGCCGACGACAGTCAATCCTATGAGCGCCTGCTTCGACTCTCTGGCGACGTTGAGAACAAAGCTGTCAATAACGTTTTGCCTAGTCTCTCAGTTGACCGTACCATCGAGGTTCGCTCTCGAACAGGATACGTCGGCTTACACAATCCTCGCGCTATCTGCTACATGAACTCTTTACTAGCGCAGCTGTTCATGAACCTGAACTTCAGACAGTTCATGCTTGGCCTCGAGGTGAAAGAGGGTGACGGGTCCCAACGACTGCTGCTGGAGACCCAGAAACTTTTCGCGACGATGCAGAATTCGTACCGCAAGGCTGCTGATCCACGGCCCTTTGCAGAATGTATAATGACTCTGGACAAGACGCCCATCGATATCGGAGTCCAAATGGACGCTGATGAATTCTACAACCTGCTTTTCGACCAATGGGAGGCACAGCTTGTGAACGAACAAGATAAGCGACGATTTCGCAATTTCTACGGCGGACAGATGCTGCAACAGGTCAAGTCGAAAGAGTGTGAGCATGTGTCGGAACGCGCGGATTCATTCTTTGCCTTGCAATGTGATGTGCAAGGCAAGGCCAATCTGCAGGAAAGCCTGCAAGCCTTTGTCCAAGGCGACGTCATGGAGGGAGACAACAAGTACAAGTGCGAATTGTGTGGCGGTAAATTCGTCGACGCCGTGAAACGGTAACCAACGCCTCGAACGAAAGGAGAGCAAAGCTGACTGTGGTAGGACATGCCTCAAATCTGCGCCGGACAATCTGATCTTCCATCTGAAACGATTCGATTTTGATCTAACCGACTTCAGCCGGAAGAAGGTTCATGAACATTTCGGCTTCCCGGAGACGATCGACATCGGACTATACAACGTCGATCACCTCAGTGACCCTTTGAAGCCGCATATAGAAGATATCTTTGACCTCGTTGGCGTTGTCGTACACTTTGGCAATTGTGAGAATGGTCATTACTATTCTTACATCCGAAAGCGGCCCTGCCCAACCAGCGATGCCTCACCTACCTGGCTCAATTTTAACGATGAGGCGGTAGATCCATTCGATCCAGCAGAAATACCCCAGAAGGCATTTGGCGGGCCTGTAGAGGATGCTTACACCCGTCAGTACAAGTTGTACTCTGCTTACATGCTGTTCTATCAGCGGAGGACAGCCATCGCAAAAGACCAACAGCAATGGACCGTCTCGTCACAAGCACAGCCGCCAAAGGTCGAAGTTCCTCGGGCTATTGAACATGACATCGACCTCAAAAATGAGCTCTTCATCCGAGAGTACTGTCTCTTTGATCCGTATCATTCAGCGTTTGTGCGACAGCTGCACGGCGCTTCACGCAGGATCAACAATGGGACCTGTTCAGAGAACCATGAACAGGAGACGCGCGCTCTTGACGTCTTCCTAGCGCACCTCGGCCGTGTAGTCTGGCGCCAACAGACTACTGGAATATTCGAAGAGGCTCTTTTTCACCTTCGTCAATCAGTTCTGTCGTGCGAGGTGTGCTGCAGTGTAACCCTTCAGTGGCTTGCACGGGACGATGAGGTACTGCACAATTTGCTTTTGCGGTGTCCTTCCCCAAGCATCAGGTCACAGACGAGATCATTTATAGTCGACAGCCTCAGGTACCTTCGCGACAAAGACGTTTTTCTGTACGGTACGACCACAGACAGCGACATGGTCTTAGACTCTGCAGAAGTTGATGGAACAATTATCCCGATCGCAAAGCGATTAGCGATACTCGCTGAAAGTTCATCGAGGAACTCCAGGGCCTGGGACGATCTGTACCTGACGTTGACGCAAGTAGCTGAGATGGGCCATGTTGAGACGGCCGCATTATTGGATACTGGCATCTTGAACTTCTGCCTACAACTCTTCTGCATGCACGTCCGTCCCAGGAATGTCGGGGAACATGACGACTTTTCTCGAGTCTTTGACAAAAGGACGGGCGTCTACAATAGGCTCATAGGCTTTGTGTCTACCATGCTCTCGCGCATGGACATGAATCTACCGATCTGCGATACGTCGGATCGAATGGCCGAGATCGATCACGAGCGGATGGTTTTCCCGCTCACCCCATACGAAAAAAGCTCACTGCTGTGTTGGCAGGGCGAGCTGAAGGCATATGCAGTCGTGGACAAGATGGTGGAGTTGTTCGATCAGGCCAAAACGGAATCTTTCTACCCTGGGGAGGTAGTCAAGTGGATGACCGGATCACTCGACAATCGCGTACACCGCAACATACTCAACATGATTGTGCAAGGCATTAGTGAGCTTAACAATCCTTACTGCGACGCATATCTACGAGTCGCCTCGTGCTACTGCGAGGCAATTACCACTCTGGAGGCACTCGGCAAAGTCTGCAGCACCGTCGTTGACGCCATTGCGACGATCGAACAACCCTCTGATGAGAAGAATTCCCCTAGTGGTGGAATTGCCTTGCGCTTCTTCAAGGACGTGTTCAGATTGAGCAACCCACATCTATCAGCAGCAGATATCCACTGGCATCTCATCGCCAAGAGCGACAGATTCGCCAACCCGTTGCTCCTGTATTCTGACGAGAGTGTTCGCAACGGCGCGCATGAGTTCATCCGCGATCTTTACACCAAGTACATGGAGGATCCGCAAAACTTGGACGAGGCATACAAGTGTGCCAGAGCCACCGCTGCTGAGATTGTCAAGAGGATTGCATATGAATCCAGCTCCGGCATGCCGCGCAGGCATCTCAAACCATTGGTCGAGTCGGGTAACTTCCTCGTCGCTTTGCTCTATAACTTAGATCAAAGCGAAGATCCAGGCCTGGCCGCCTTCAAAAATGAGAACGACAAAGCCCTGGTCTACCAGTGGCAAGTCGAAGTCGAATCGCGGGTGCGCATGCTGCCCGAGGTCAGCCTCCCGAGCCCGGGTGAGGGGGCATTTGATGCATCTGACTACGGCAGTGAGTCTGATGATATCGGGCTTCTTGATCCGTGAGCTGTTCATTGACCGCGTCAATCCTTACAGATTTCCCGAGTTCGACCAATGCGGTCTTTAGCTCTGATGGTAGTTCGGATAGCTCTGGGGACTTGGAAGAGATTATACGAAGGCGAAGAGTGACTCGACACCGATGAGGAGGTGGGATATGGCAGGCGGGTGCTGAGCTTACGGCGTTACGAGTTTATGGTATCGGTTCTTGATTTGGGAACGCGGAGGCATTCGATGGAGTTTCTTGGTGTACGAGAAGCCTGATGACCACTCGGTGAGGTGCATTGGTTGGAGGGGTTACGAACATTCATAGCATAGCGTTGGCGATTGGCAACTGGCGACTGGGGACTGGGGACTGGGGACTGGAGACTGGGGACTGGGGTCTCGGGATGTGTTACGATCAATCATGAACACGAGCATGGAGCTTCGGCGTTTCAGCGTTTATGAGCATAGAATTCAAATACCCATCTTCCATTCTTTAATTGACCTCCAATATGTACTATCGTGGTTTGCTTGTAATTCCTTTCCCCAGTCTTGGTTCAACTATGATCGTATACGTCTTCCGCTCCTCACGTTGTAAGATCAATCATCCTGTAGCGCTGAGTGGCGGTTCTGACGATTCCATCGTACTTCGTACGCGCCAATCTACAAAATAAATCACAGCACAACAACGCACTTCCCAACCCATCCAAAACATCTACACCATCAGGAAAATACTCGAATTTGTCTGAATTGAAGAGTTCATTGCTCTATTCCACCGTCACAACCGCTCCGTCAGCACGTCGCTCCACGCCTACTTGGCCAGCCACACGCATCCTTCCCCAACAAACGTGCATCGCATTATCACACGGACCAACATGCAGCCATCAAGCCTTCTTCTCTCTCTCTCTCTCCGTGTTCCACGCGACTCCCAAGTCGTAGTCTTCAAAAACCTCCGTCCAGCTGACTGCCCACTTCCTTCCGACACCCGCCGCCAGCCTTGCCTCGCGCAGAGTCATCTTCGAACCATGACCAGGTGAATTGATGGAGGCGTTTCGGTCGAGTTGACAAGCTGGAGCGTGAGGTAGAGCTGTGGAGGCTGACGTTGTGGGGAAGGGGCGGAAGGCGCGTGGTGAGCGAGTGCGTGAGTTGTGTAGGGAAAAGGGAAGGGAGGGTGGGGAGTCAAGCAGCAAGCGCTGTGCAAGAGTTTGGGGCATGGATAGGTGGGTGCATGAGAGGTCTGGGATGGGTTCATTACTTGGTAGGTGGGGGTTGGGTGTGTGTAGCTCTACAGCTGTGATGTTTGGAATGGGATGGAAAATGTAAAAAAAGGGCGCAATGATGCAAAGGCGGAAGTTGTAGGACGGGAATCTGTTCGTCAGGATATTGATGCTGGAGACTTTGGAGGTTGGAAAAAGTGCGCAGCGAGCGGCTTGAGAGATGTGAAAGTATGAGAGAGAGAAGAAGAAGACTGAAGGCGAGCCGGTAACCGTAGCACACTCCTACTCCGTGTGAGATCCCGGAGACACAACTTGTGCGGCAATAGGAAGACAGAGAGGGATCATCCATGACGACCGCTTTTAATCGTTCAGTTCATGTCATTATGCACTTTTCTTTTTACCCCATCATGGGTCTGATCTAATCATCGTTGTCCCAGTTGCCCTGCTGCGCCTTCCCCGGCATCTTCGGTCCACCAGCTTGCCTAGCAACAATGATCTGGTCAACGCTCAACACCGTCCTCGCCGCCTCAGTAGCCAACTTGATAGCCCAGCTTTTGCTGACCCACAGATCCAGAATGCCCTCCTCCTTTGCATCAAGGGTGCCGGTGTTGTCGTCGTTCTCGATGTCGACACCGACGGTCCACTCGTCGTCCTTGCGGCCCTTCTGCGCGGCGTGGGCAACATACAGGCGTGCGAGGATCTCAGTTGCGTCGAGGCCGGCGGATTCGGCGAGAGTGCGGGGGATGACTTCGAAGGCTTCGGCGAACTTGCGGATCGAGTACTGTGCGAGACCTGGTGTCTTGTCGGCGATGGTCTTGATGCGCTCGATGAGCTGCATCTCTGTGGCGCCGGCGCCGGGGACTAGTCGTGCGTCGCGGGTGATGGCCTTTACTACGTTGACGCCGTCGTCGATGGCGCGCTCGACATCGTCGAGGTGGTTCTGGGTGGCGCCGCGCAGGACGAGGGTCGCTGTCCGTGTCTGCTCGTTCTCTTGTCTGAACACGGTGACGCGGTCTCCACCGATCTCCAGGGTCTCGACTACATCGATGTTACCCATTTCATCCGGCATAGGTGCTCCCAGACGCGCCAGAGGTGTGGCGCCCACAACGCGGCACAACCGGCGGAGTTCGAACTTGGAGAGAATCTTGATGGTGAGCATGTTGTAGCGGTTGAGGTAGTGCTGCGCGAGCTCTCCGATGGTGGACCCAGCAACAACGACGCGGATACCGGAGTCGTGCAGTTCCTTGATGGCCTGCTCGACCTGCTGCTCTTCGCCCTTTGTGAAATCCATCATCTCCTTTGCGTTGTGGAGCAGAACCGTGCCCTTGGTCTCGGTCTGCGAGATGTCGATCGGGCACGAGAACACGCCGACCTTGGCCTTGGTCGCCTTTGTGACGTTGCCCTCTGGTGATCTCGCGAAGACCATGCCCTTGACGACCTTGCTCTGCTCCAGCGCGCCTCCCATGATCTTGACGACCCGGACGTTATCGACGTTGAAGTTGACGGGGTTCTTGGGCAGCACGGCGAGGACAGCTTCTGCGACGAGGTCGGCGAGGAAGTCTTCGCTTCCTGACTGCTTGGCGGCGACGACGGTGCGGATGGCCTTTGCGAGCTCTTCTTGCGAGCGGATGTCTTCGACCTTGTCGCACACCAGTTCTGCGCTGCGGTTAGCCCTGAGTGCTCCTCGAACGGCTGCCGTGCATCACATACCCTCCAGAGTCTGCTGTGCCGCCTTCTGCGCCTTCTCGTACCCCAGGACGATGTCACTTGTCTTGAGACCCATGCGAATGAGCTCCTCTGCCTTCTTCAGCAGCTCGCCCGCAAGAACGATGACGAGGTTGGTCGCATCGCCCATCTCTGCCTCTTGCTGCTGACTGGCCATCACCAGCAGCTTCGCCGCGGGGTGCACGACCTCGAGCTCCCTCAGTATTGTCGCCGCGTCGGAGGTGAGGATCATCTTCTGGAGGTGGTTGATGACGATCTTGTTGCGACCATAGGGACCGAGGGAGGTCTGGACAGTCTGGGCAATCGTTCTGCAGGCATCGATGTTGCGAATGACGGCGCCATCCTCAGCGTCGTAGCTGTTGTGGGGTGGTTAGCAGCGTGCACATGGCGAGGGCGGGGTAGGTGAATTCCCACTTCTGGTAGCCCTGCTTGAACAGCCCAGCGTTCGGGGCGTTGGGTATCGAGAGAGACATGTTGGGCGGTATGTGAGGGGTATCTGGGGCTTGGGGTTGTGCCTGGGAGCTCAGCGCGAACGCGTTACGGTAAATTTACAGGATGCTTGGCGTTGGTCGGCGGGGAACACAGCAACCACCGACAAGAGACCCACGGCCACGGTGGGACGATTGAGTGACTGTCTCAACGTCCTAGCACGATGGGACGAGAGGCGCGTGAGAGTGCATAGCGGCAGAATCAGGTCGGAATGCATAGCGGCAGAAACGGGCTGGCAGTGCACTGCTATGCGCACAACACGGCAGAATGGCAGTGAGCCTCTTGCAAGCCGTAATCCAACACTGTTGCCATCCCAAATGCAGGGTCCAGCAGTACACCAGAGGACGTCTCGCAACGCAGCCTGTACGTCGTCCGCAGTGCTGCTTCGCGATATATGCGGCTCTGAGAACACGCAGACAGATTCACCGAGTTGCAGTTTCTCAACGTTCACCCAGTTGCAGTCTCTCAATCACCCGCTGCACAACTGCGCGAGATTTCACCAACAGGGAGACATGACACAAAAAGATGTGAGCAAAATCTATCTAGCCGTACGCCTTGGAACAATATGAAGGTACTGCTAGCGAAAAAAGACTGCTCGATCCCTCTAGGCACCATTAAATGACCAGCGTCTGGTAGAAGAAGAAAAGCGACACGCTGGAGATAAGGAGGGCCATGTAGAAGTGAAGAGCCGGTCTCCAGGCGTCGAAGTTTTTGTGAAGCGGGAAGAGAGCCATTATGTCAGCACGGCGCTAAGCCCAATGCACCTCCGCTCCAGCCCCGAAGTTTTCTGATGAGAGGCAGTGGACGTCTAGGTATCACCGTCGCCATTCGGAGGAGATGAACGCCGGACAGCAGACGACACGGCGGGTGGCCGCGAGAGCAGGTCAGTCCGCCATCTGTCTGACGGGCAGAGCCCATCGCTGACGGAACCAGGCCAGTCAATATGCCGCTCTTGTCGCAACACACCACGGACATACGCAACCGCAGCGGCCGCAGCTCCCACACCTGAGCACGCCCTCGGCCAGCACATCCCCCCCGTTGCTCACTCCTCCCCCTCCCCCTCCTACGCGGTCAACGCCGGGGTCCTGCTCTCGCGCCCGCCGCAGATAACACGCGACCTGCACCCCTTCGAAGCTGCCTTCTTCCTGTACCAGAAGCGCCTGAACGAGCGTCTCGCTCTCCCCTTCACACGGTACTTCTACTTCAAAGCGCGCACGCCCGCCGACCGCGAGTGGAAGCGGAAGATGGCACAGCGCCTGACGCCCGCACGAGACATTGGGCGGTACAAGGGGTACGGCGAGGAGGCGTGGAACGACGAGGTGCTTGTCGGCGCCAAGGAGAGCGAGCTCCAGTGGCAGGTCGACCGGCTGTTGGAGGATGCGGAGACGACGGGGGCCGAGGAGGACAGCGGTGTTGCTGCGGCCGCGGCGAATGCGGCCAAGGACGAGCGCGAGGCGTTTGAGCGGCCGCCGGGCAGGGAGACGGAGGCCGATCGGACCAACGACACGAGGAGTTTGGCGAGGGCGCTGCAGAGGACGCTGTATTTGCTGGTCAAGAACAAGGAGGGGAGGTGGGAGTTTCCGCAGGATAGGCTGAGGGATGAGAACTTGCACGGAGTATGTCATTCCCTTCCCATCTCTCAACTATACCCTTGGGTCCAGAACTGACATGGGACAGGCCGCGCAACGCATCATCACCGCCTCCGGTGGCCCCAACATGAACACCTGGCTCGTCGGCCACGTGCCCATCGGCCACTTCCAGCACACCTACAGCGCCCCCATTACTACCTCCACCGGCCTTTCAGAGCAAGGCTCCAAGACCTTCTTCCTCAAGGCGCGCATCATGGCCGGCCAGGCGAATCTCAAGGACAACAAGCTCGGGCTGCAGGACTTCAAGTGGCTGCACAAGGACGAGCTGAAGAGCGCAGTTGATGGCGATTACTGGCGCCAGATCAAGAACATGCTTGCTGAGCGGTAGTGAAAATGTACAGATTGGGACGGGGTGTGTAGATGTACAGATTGGGACGGGGTGTGTAGAATATGCATGTGGAAGACGTCATGTAGAATCATTGTACAGTAAATCGTGGAGCGAATGCGTTGTCGGAGCATGGCAAATATCAGCGAAGCCTCAAAGTTGATTTCTATAGTTCCTGGTGTTTGTAGTGATGCTCGAGATTGATGCTCGAGATTGATGCTCCTGGTTGATGCTCCTGATTGATGCTCCTGATTGATGCTCCTGATTGATGCAGCTATCTATCCTGGTCCTGATCCTGGTGGTCCTCCAGGTCCTGTTCCGCAGCGCTGGTTCTCGACCTCGGGGTATCGCTGTAATGCTCCAATCGCTGTCTATGCTCGTATTCAAACTCCCTTTGCTGATCCTAATTCGTCTCTTCGTCCTGTGATTCGCGCTTGCTCTTGCTGGATGAACCAGATGGCGTGTCCTACACTTGCCCCAGTGGTGCTCCGAAGTTCAGTGGGACGGTCTTCTTCAGCGTAACGCCATCGACCGGTCTGATCTCGGATGTACGCGAATCTGATGATCCCTGACGGCTGAGTGGCTGGCCGTCGTCTGTGGCGCCATCGAGTCGCTGCTGTTGCTGTGCAATCTTGGCAAGCTCCTCGTCCAGTGCAGTGAGCAAGATAGTATCTTGACTACCGTCGCCTGGGTTTGGTGCAAGAGTGAGTGGTCCACTCAATCCGATATCTTCCTCCGGTGTCGCAGACTGGCTCTCCTCTCCTAGTTGTGGCTCCGTGTCGGCGTCTTCGCTGGGTTCTTGCTCGACAATCAATTCATGTACTGGCAACGACTTGAGCTTCTCGGGCACGATAGGGTCCAGATGCTGTCCAGGAGGCGGTTTCTTAGGTGTGTCTGGAGATGGTGATCCTGGATACAGAGGCGTGTGGCCAGCAAACCGCTTGTTAGCCTCAGGTACTGGCGACAGAATAAGGGCAGAGGGTGGTGGTGAGACGGGTACTTCGTCGTCGAGGGCTTTAAGCGCTTGCATTTGTGGTGACGGCATGTCAATGTGAGCCACAAAGTTGGGACGGTTTTGGCGCCTGGACAGCAGTGGAGATGTTGACATGGTAGGGACTTCTTCCGTTGATGACTCTTTTGATCGGGGTGGCGTCTGCGGCTGTCCTCGTTGTTCTACCGGTGATAAAGATGGAAGGTCGGCAACACACTGCTCCTGTTCTGTTAATGGATCGTCCGGCGGCGTGCTGGTGTCAGGGTATGAGGATGGAGAGAAGAGGGCTTTTGGACGAACAATGTTCTTCTGCATCAGTCCCGCCCACTCTGTCTGCGAAGAAGCATCGACGTAGTTCGCCATGACGGGTGCACATAAACACTGCAAGCGGTTAGTCCCTGGCGCAAGAGCTGGGTCCAAGGGTACTTGTACCGACCTAGCGGAAGCTTGAACTTGATTGCCGAATAATGCCGTGGCTTGGTTTGAGATGTCGCGTGGTAATTGCTAGCTTGGTCGCGTGGATTGTCTGAGCGAACGACGTGAAGATGGTTGTTGTTTGAGGGCAACGGGAGTAAAACTGCGGGGGTGGAGAGTGTCTAGACGTGCTGGCGCGAATTGTTATCGTATTAAAAGGGCGATCAGCGCTGGGATCCACATGTGGTGGAAGGAAAGGAGCAGCGACCTGCATTGCAAAACACGTCATAGGCAGGAACAGCCGCATACCTGAGCCGAGCCACCGTTTTACAGCACCATCTGGCGGCCACGACAGCGGGAGCCATGCGCCTCCCGGAACATGGCGTATGTCTCGCGCCAGATGCACCCGCTGTTGTGACTTTGGTTGATACGGGCCTTGTTCAAGCCACAGCGCGGTACTGTGGATCTGCATGTCATCATGCAAGAGTGACCCTATCTTGGCCATGATGACCCCTCACGGCACAGAGCATTGCAAGATGCTTACCCTGCGTTTCTGGCAAGGCAACGCATTCTTCACTTATACACCCAACTACCAGGTCCGGCGACAGCGATCACTTCTGGGAACAATAGCCCATCGACGGCGCAGAAACGGTCCGAGAAGACCTCAGAACGTCTTGGAATCCTTCCCGCCTTGCCCGCCACAAGGAGGGGTATGACCAACTTTTGCAACTTTAAGGTCTTTTAAGTATATGAAGTTCTCCGGGAAACCAGACGTCGCTCGTCAACTCGATTTTGTGTAGACGCTTGCTGGACTTGAGTTACTCAACCCTTGCATTTAGTGCAGATCACGCCCATCGAATCCGGAAAGCTGGGGAAGATACGAACTTTCGAGTTAGGAAGACGATCCATTTCGAACGTTGGACATACCGGTTGGTGATTAGTAGTGCCCTTCTCGTTGGAATCGAACATCGTTGGCCGTCGGTCTTGAAGGCCCGTTCCACGTCAGCAACCAAGAGCAGCCTCCAATATGGTCCACTTATTCCATAGGTCCAAGAACCATACCAGGCAACCGGATCCCAAACAACCGGAGCCAACACTGACACCGGTCCAAGAAAAGCCAGTGCCAGAGGATCGGGATTCGGTCTCGTCCGCAGAACGCGTTGTTCACGATGCCACAAGGCGATCCAACCCTGGAAACCCAGTGCTGGGCAGTATGCCTGCGTCTGAGGAAGACTTTCCAGACTTCCCAGAACCCGAGATCTCCGCGATATCACTCGAGGGCAAGCATGGCGCGAAGATCCACTACACGTACTACCCGGCTTCTTCTGCGTCCAAAATGGGTCACCCGAACCCTTTCGCGCAGTCGCTTATCGTCTTCCTCAATGGGCTGATGCTACCCCGAAGTTCCTGGGATCAGAGCATAAACGCCTTCTTGGAAAAGCGGGTTAAGGCAGGCCTTCCCTACCCTGCTCTGCTAAGCTATGACCGCTTCGGCCAAGGAGACTCAGACCGCGACCCCAACGACCAAGAACCTCCACCCAGCCATGGACACGACGCAATGTCTGCGGTTCGCGATCTGAAGCAATTCACTCTACAGATCTGGAAGGAGCATCTGGAAAGATCGAACCCATCCCAGTTTCCCTGCCTGGTCTTCGTATGCAACAGCATTGGATGCGCCATCGCACGACTGTTCGCCCAGACATACCCCGGGACTGTTGTTGGCATGTTGTTCCTCGATAGTATCATGGCCAATTCCGACTACACCAAAATGTGGCCAGATCCCGACGCTCCTGGTTTCGACCCACACTCTTTGCCTGGCGATGTGACAGCGGACGAAGTGCGAGACACGAGAGAAAAGTACAAGAAGATGTTTCATCCCGATGTAGCGAACATGGAGGGTTTGTCGAGACGAAATTTGGCAACATTGCTGCCACATGCCAACGGGCCTAGACTGGAAGGCTGGGGCGGCACGGGGCCGTACCTTACGATCGTAGGGCACGATTGGGAGACGTTTGCCGAGCAATCGTGTAAGTGTACTCCGCTCCCATACGACATGCAGATCGGATCACCTTCATGTGTACGGCTGCTAACGGTGCAAACATCAAGCTAACTTCCCCAACAAAGACCAAGGCTCCCTCCACATACCGAAGATCCTGACAATGACATATGCAAATCCAGTATGGCAAGCCTACAACTCAGACCTCACGCGCATCACCGACGAAGGGAAAGCCATCGGCCCGCTCATAGCAATCAACTGTGGGCACTTTATTCAAAAGGATAGTCCCAAGTTTGTGAGCGAGGAGCTGATCTCGTTACTTGATCGAGTCGTCAACCGAGTCGAGCAAGTCAGTGAACGGGTAAGTGCCTGTCCTGTAGTATCATCCCACAATGTACATGCTAATCAGCATGCAGACGCCTGAGATCAGGAGAGAGATGATCCGTCACAGCACAGACTATGGCTTCTACAAGCAGAACTCGAACGAGTATTCGTACTATGGCGGTGAGATATAATATTTGTGTGGGTAGTGGATCTCTATGGTTCCCCAGCGGTGCTGTCAGGATCAAGTTATTGTATACCCCAACGCCAAACGCAGACATGATGTACAAATGCCAGTAAGAAACATGCTGTGGTAGAGCATTGGTGTGGCGTCAGCTTGCAGACGATCGATATTATAACCGCGCTAAATTAGCGTCATGTCCGAGCTCCCCCGGATTATCAACCAACATGGAACTTTCTTTCCGTTGCGCCAAGATACATGAACCCAGCATTCTTTCCATACGATATCTAAAGACGCGCCTGACTCCAACTTTGCTCCCGACTTTTTCTTTATACAGAAAACCATGACAGACGCGCCGGTCGTGAAATTCAAGAAGCGAGGCGCAAAAGCCGCTCCCCGCAAGGTCGCACCGCCACCGCCGCGCTCAGATTCAGACGACTTCTCCTCGGGATCAGAAGCAGAAGGCGAAGACGGTCGCGTGGTAAAACGTCGCAAGATCAACAGCAACGCACTGAAGGCATCGACTGCCGACCAGAAACCTAGCACAGCAGCTCTGGAGGGCACAACACAGTACGAAGCGAACCGCTCCACGACAATAGAAGCCAGCAACGATGCCACCAAGCAATCAAACTGGTTCGAAGGCGACGACGAACTGAACTCGAAGAATCTCCTTGGCACCACACGTGCGAAACTCAACACGTTCATCGAGAAGAATCCCGATGCCCCCACACGAAAAGTTGGGCCCCAAAAATCCTCATCCAACGTCCGCACAATCACAGTCACCGACTACACGCCCGATGTCTGCAAAGACTACAAACAAACAGGCTTCTGTGGCTTCGGCGACAATTGCAAGTTCCTGCACGCTCGAGAAGACTACGCTGCAGGCTGGAAGCTCGATCGCGAATGGGAAATGTCGACAAAAGGCAAGAAGCCAGGCGGCACAATCGTCGCATCAGCTAATCGCGACGAGACGGAGAAGGACGAAGACGGTGTGGATTTGGCGCTGCTGGAGAAGATACCGTTTGCGTGCATCATTTGCAAGAAGCCTTACAAGAGTCCGATTGTGACAAAGTGCGGGCATTACTTTTGCGAAGGGTGCGCGCTGAAGCGGTATAGGAAGGATCCGACGTGTGCGGCGTGTAACGCGAAGACATATGGCGTGTTCAATGGGGCGAAGAATCTGCAGAGATTGTTGGAGAAGAAGCAGAAGTGGGAAGACAAGAAGAAGGCTGAGGCTGAGGCGGCGGAGAAGGAAAATGAGGATTCATAGCAGGTGCCTCAGTCATGGAAGGAGCTCAGAGTTGTTCTCAATCAAATTATGTGATACCCACCAATTTATTGATTTTACACATGTCTAGGAACTTGGAACCGAATATGTACTCCGCGCCTGATCTGTGTGACGAGCGATATCATCCAAGCACATCCATCCTACGATAAGAGTCAGGCACTATGAGATCACAGGCAACGGTACCGTCTACACATCACGAGAACACGCGTTTAGAGTTGACGCTAGCGCTCCGTCTAGTGCGCGGGGTTCTGCAGTACGCATCAAGTTCAACACGACTCAATAGTCCATCTTGACCAACATCATCGTTCGCTGATTATTATTCGGGTGTCATCATGGCACCCATTTGTCGTGCGCGGCTGCTGTCCGATCTTAGTGGACAGGCCGCTTGTGACAAGGAGGCAACATCCTCCGACGGACGGTTGTGCGCGTTCCATTCTCGTCAATGTCAAGGTAGGCATTCCGTCAGCTTTAGGTTGAACACTGTAAACTCCTTAGCAACATGCATTCTCTAGTCAATCAATGATATACTCTCTTACAACGCACAGCTCTATATCGAGGATACAAAAAACGTAATGCAGAACTCGACATACTGTCCAGCAAACCGCCATCCTATCTTGCAGGCAAGAAGGGCTCCGTAGCGTCCAATGACTTCGCAGATGCCGATGATGAAGCAACGCTCAAGATAGTGTATGACTATCTATTCAAAACCTATCAACTACTAGACCGGGTCATCCGAGCCCGCAAGTTGCATCACAGCCATTTCTTCGCCATCGACAATGACTATGGCCATCAGAAGTATCTTGACAAGCTTCTCAACGACAAACAGACCATGGCCAAGGCTCTCGAGAAGCTCGGAAAACGTGCCGCTACCGTCATGTATGAGCAAAAGCAGTGGTTCAACTGGGTCAAAGAGGCTCAAGCCAAGGAAGAGAAGGAGGGCGAGACCGAGTCCAAGAAGGTCAAGCTTGAGTCGTTGTTGTTTCAGCGCCACCAGAAGGAGCTTAAGCGCCAGCAACGCGAGATGAAAACGAAGGAAGATCAGAAGCAGCAAGAGCAGTATCTAGACGAGACGTACGAGCAACGTCTCTCCGACATGTCCGAAGAAGAGCAAGACGACTGGGACCCGATCAAGGACGTCTATGGTTATGAGCGAGACAACTACATTGAGCTCATCAAGTACTTCCTTATGCTGCAGGATCAGGAGCTCGACGGTGCAACCGAGGATGGGTCTGCTGAAGCCAATATTCCCCAGGTCAACGACGCTTCCGGATCGGCTGCTCCTGCGAAGGCACTTTCTAAGAGCGCTAAGAAGCGAGCGAAGAAGGCCAATGCGGAGACCAAGAAGCTGGCAGATCCCACGTTGCAGACTGAGGATGGTAGGGGGGCGAATGTGATCGAAATGGAGACGAAGGAGCAGATGCGAGAACGTCTTCGCAAGCCTGTCAGGTTCGAGCGTGCGACAGGTTGGTACGTGCAGGGTATTGGCCCGAACGGCTACAACGCTCAGACGCCAGTCATCCCAGATGATGAGATCGAACAGCTCTTGGATGAGGTTGCTGAGATCAAGAACTTCCTCTTTTGTCGACTACTACTTACGCAATCAACTCTACTCCCAGTCGCACTCAAGGCTGAGAGCATCGAAGAGTTCACTGGAAAAGAAGAGGTCACGCGTGAGCATCTCCGCGATCTCTGCCTGAAGCTAGAGCGACCGGTGCTGCAAGATGTCCGCGATGCGTGCGCTGACTTTATCCGTGAAAGAGATGGAGTGGAGGACATTGAGGAACCTACAGAAAAGAAAGAACCGGATGATTACGCCGACACTTACAAGACACCTGACAAATACCGACTCAGGTTCAAGAAAGGCAAAGTTCCCGACAACTTCAAGACAAAGCGTGAGAGGTCTGCAAAGAATGCTAGCAAGAAGCAAAATGACCTGTATCAGGAAGAGAATGACGGCGTACTGGACTTTGGCAAGGTCACAGACGAGAGCCAGTACACTCGCAAACGAACCCGCATCAAGATCTGCGGGCGCAACATGTATAACTACCCCAGCGAGAAGGCTCTTACTCGCGGTGGTTGGTTCCACTTTTCGATCATCGCCAAAGACTCTGACCTCTTCGATGCTGTGGAGCTTTGCCGCAACTGGAACGAGTTCTTTGAGCTGAACATTCTCTGCTTGTATCACTACTTTCCGGCTCCAAAGTGGACCAAGTTCATTGGCGATCTAGCGCGCCAACAGCTGCTCCAGCTAGGATTTATACCATACTTCCATGGAGACAAGGCAGAGAAAGTCACGAACTACTTCCAGACAGGAAGTCGCGGAATGACTCGTCGAGCACATCAGCATACCGAGATGAGGAACTTTGTCTGTGGTCATATCAAGCGTGACGATCCCGTCAGCCGACGCTTCATCCAGTATCTTGCCATGGAATCTTGGGAACTACGTGCTCTGGTACGAGATGCGAAGACTGGTCGCGTCCTCATCTCGCCGCCTGAAGACGAGCTTTGGCTGCTTCGAGAAAAGAGCGGTTGGGGCAGGGCCAGCAGGAACGAGTACGAGGTCCTTGGAGAAGTTGGTCCCACTTTCTTCGAGGCGATGGACAAGTCTCGGAAATGGCATTTTGGCTTTGAGGAGTTCTATGATGTTTACATCTGGGACTCGAGTCCGGGCCGCTCCTTCTTCATCTTGCAGAGGAAGATTGAGGAGGTACTCACCCGTGCGATGAGAGTGCGGGAGCTCAAAGACATGTTCTCTACCGCTGGTCCGATTCTCAAGACCTTGACCAAAGATCCCGTCACAGAGCGTGTACGAAGCATCAAGCCAGATGAAATGGTAGAAAGTATCTGGGACGGCCTCGACAAGAACGCTCGAGCCTGGTCATGGTCACCACAAGATGGCTTTGGCAAAGAAGGTTTCGAAGACAGTTACAAGTACACCGAAGCCGATGAGCTGGAAGACGCGATCTTGTTCCCACTCGAGAACACCGGGCTGCTGCCTAACGACCTCTACTATCACATTCCCAGCGCCATGGAGATGTTCGAGACGAACCCAATCGACATTCGCAGGTTCGCCGCAGACCTAGATACCGACGATGAGGTCGAGTCTTCAGATGGCACTGATCTCGGCGAAGCTGAAGACGACGGCGATTCCGACTGGGCCGATGAGAGCGAGGCTGGCTCCGAGTATGTCCTGGAAAGCGAGCTTCGACCTGGGGAAAGCGACGACGCTCACGAAGCGAACCAAATTCTCAGCGAGCAGTTCAAATCACTAACGCTGAGGGAGCCTGACTACTTCATACCAATTCTGCGCGATCCAAACTCGAAGAGGGCCAAGAAGCTGCCAAAGTCAGTCAGGACCAATTCTGAGGAGCTCATGTGGGCCTGTCGGTTCGCCATGCGGTGTCAGCAGGAATATGATGACAGCCATGGAGGCATGGAGGCAGACTTCTACCGGCACATTGATCGTCAGAAGAGCAAGGGTAAGGGAATAGCATCATAAAGACATCTGGATCTAAAACTAACAAGATCAGTTTTCAAGCAGAGTTTCCATCTCGGAGATGCAGAGCCCTACGCTCTCGCACGCTACGTCGAGCATAAGTATATGGTCGATGCCATGGACGACTTCATCATGTCTCGATGCGTCAACCCCGAGCCCTTCGAGCTGTGCAAGACCATGCACATGGCCGACATGTTCCGCGAGGAGCGCCGCGTCGTCGACGATGCTTTTAGAGCTTACGCAGCCATTGCGGTCTTCTTCGAGAGCGACGCGTTCCTCGCTTCTGAGCATGGCGAACCGTGGAGAGACACGAAACTGCTCGATCAGGAGGAACGAGCGAAGCATGTCCCCGATCGACGGACGCATCAGAGCAACAAATCGATGCCGAAAGAGTTCTGGAAGGACTGGGATGAGCTCCTGAAGAGAAATGAGAGGACCTCTGAGGATGTCGTCGATGACATCTACCCAATGGAGTGGCGCAAGGCTCTGCGCCCCATCATTGTCAAGCGTAAGTTTGTTCTCTCTCATCTCCCTAATCTCTTTACCTACTCGAGCAGATTACGCGCCATAGTGGGTCCACCAGTACCACAGCGGACACCAAACTGTCATACGAGCTAGAGAATGCCCTACCCGGCTTCTAGCCTACCCGCTTCTTGCATCGCTGCCCACTAACAGATAACGCTAACAACACCCCAGTATTCAAAGCAGGCGTCATATGCAGTTCCTACGGCGGCCAAGCAGCCGGCATCGCAACCGCTAGAGCCGAACCCGGTCGCAACATGGACATGTACATCGACTACCGGATCGGCATCCCCCTCGCAAAAATAGTCTCGCATCTGCGCGACCCGACACCACTGGACCGCGACTTCATCATCAAAACGGCCACGGAGTTCAAAGCCGAACATGCGGGAGCCAAGTTCTCAGTGCTGAGGTTGTGGTCGAGTCCACACTTCTACCCGCTCATGCTCGGCATGGATAAGCGGTCCATGTGCTCGTTCCTCGACGACAGAGGACGGTGCTGGGAATGGAAGTTCATCCCCAAGGACATGCCGTATAGTGAGTGGAGTGTGCACCAGCAGCTGAGTCTGAGGCTGCAGCCGTATGAGCAGGTCTGGGGTAAGCAGGTCTGGGTTGCGAAGGATTTGGTGATTGTTATGGGGAGGGATGAGAAGGAGCTAAGGAGGTTTAGTGAGGGGGTTACGTGGATGGTGCAAACTAAGCCATGGAGGCTGGAGGTGGATTTTTGGAGGAGCTTTGTTAATGTGGATGTCAAGTTCCTGGAGGGATTGGATCCGAGGTGGTTGTCTTGAGCAGTGTCGAGGTGTGCGGGCTCATGGGAGTTTGGAGTGATGGTGTTGTTTGGATACAATGTACGCACAAAATCAACCAGTCATTACCAAACGTGCTGTTATTGCCTGATAACAGGACTCAAGGTGTCCTTATCTCAAGCAAACTGCTCTTCCCTGCCAAGTTCCGCAAGCCAATGTGCAAATAGTGACGCAACTTTGCTTCAGCCTGATAAATGTCCTCAGAGGCTCTCGATACACCACAGAACCTCTTTCACATGGAAATCGACTAGAGTTATCAGAACATCAACATCACACGCACATGCAAGTACTTTTGTACCTCGTCCACACGGGAACTTGTACTTCCTGTCCTTCTGCATGTGAAGTGCGGCTTGGCACGGCAGCCACGGCAGACTTCCGCCATGGCCGGCACCGTTGCAGATCCTTGCAGCGCCCTCGTGGCTAGACCGGGAAGCCAGATTAGGCAGTCCAGCCCAATCCAATCCCACTCTCATGTGACCGGCTCTCCTCCCTCCTTCATTCGCTCCTTTCCACTCACTAGAGGAAGCACCGTAAGGCACGGGGACATGGACAGAGTGGTTACACGCGAGGATGAACGCGTGTAAGTGCAACCTGGCGCGAGCAGATCTATGGAGACGTGTAGGTAGTGGGTGGCTTCTGGAACAACGAGCAGTATGCCGCCCCACCACCGGCTACTTAGCGAAGCTGCAAGCGGGATGGCGCGCATCAAGATAGATGATTATGACCGCAACTTGAGCGAGCCCCTCCGTAAGAGAGGGAGGAAAGTTTTTTGCTTTGTTCGGGCGAGATCACCGCTTCGACACTGCTTCGACACTGCTTCGACGCTGCTTGTTCCCGAGTCTTGTTCGCTCGCTCTACTCCGGAGTAGTTCACGTGCACACCATCGCCGTGTTCAGCTGCCGAAGATTGCCAGCGTCGAGCGCCGCAGTCCTGTGACTCGACTCCTCCAATCGGCCGCGTCGAGTTCCGAATGCGTCACTCTGCGCCAGGTACGCTCGACAGAACAATGCTCGCAGCCTGCGCTGCTGCTCCACCATGGGCACGAGACAACTGACAGGCTACGTCCAGGCGTCGCAAAGTATATTCCCAATTCATCCACAGCCACCTGAAGCCGGAGCTGGCTCGCTTTGGTTGCCGGGTGCGCGCTGAATACGGAATCGGCCGGTTTGACGGTTCCACGGCAGAGGCTGTCTCCAGACGTCCCACCGCCCATGCACCTTCACGCGACTCCGAGTCTGGCGGCCGAGGTCCCAGGCTTCTCCCAGGAGCAATTGGACAGGCTAGCCCGCAGCGTCGAGGCCAGGCGGCAGCAGCTCGAGGAGGACATCAACGCCTACATACAGCGCAAGCAGGACGAGCTGCGCCAGTATGAGACCGAGGTATGCACTGTTCCGCACTGCGCGCATTCCTGCACCCACGCTTCCGGGCGCTGGACGACCATGGCAGCGACTAACCGGGCCTAGCTTGTAGAGCAGCACCGTTCCATGGAGCGCGACGAGGACCCGGGGGCTGCTTCAAGACGCTCCAGCGCGGCGTCGGAGAGAACTGAAGATAGCGCCGAGCAGCCCGAGCAGCCCGAGCAATCGCAGCAACCAGCGCAGTCGCAAGCATCGCGCGAGGAGCAGAAGAAGCAGAAGAAGCACGGCCGCGTGCACAAGCGCGAGAAGGAGCTGTATGGCCTAGTCACGCCTGTGTTTCTGCCGCTGCTCGACGCGCGCGAGTCGACGTCGCCCACCAAGAAAGAGAGGAAGCCCGCAAAGCAAGAGAAGCCCACAGACGCCAGCAGCGCGCCCGCCGCCGAGCAGTCGACGCGCGCGAGAGAGGCGGAGAGCGGCAGAGAGGGCCGCACGTCGCAGAAAGAGAACAAGGACACGGGCAGCGACATGGCCGGGGAGACAGCGGTGAAAGAGAGGTCCGCTTCCGACCCAGTCAAGAAGTCGCGGCGCTCCTCAATCAAGAAGAAATCCGCCCTCCGCCACAGCAGCACGCCGCGAAACCGCAAGCGAGTCAGCCTCGTCATCGACGACCAAGTCGTGCTCCCCTCGGACATGATCCAAGAGCCCGCCCTCACCTCGCCCAGCAGCGACACCACGAGCGCCACAAACTCCAGCGCCAGTCTCGACGAAATGATCGACCCCCGACTTACCTCCCCCGACGCGCCCGTCTACATCGAACACCACGAGGCCGTGCACCACAGTCTGCCGCTCACGGTGAGCCAGCCCAAGCCATTGCCTGTGAAAGCCTCGGCCCCGTCGTTCTCGAATCCAGCGCCCGTGGTGGCGGAAGCTGCGCATGCCCCGCCCACATCACCGGGTATTCGTTCGCCGACGATGGCCTACGCGCCCCCCTCGTACGCGACACGCTCGTTCCTCGACCCCCCTCCAGAGTGCATGCACATCGAAGACATCCCCGCCACCGCAGGCCCCGACCCCATACACCCCGACGAAAAAGATCCCGAAGACCAGCAACTCCCCTCAGTGGAAGCCACGGAAGAGAACTTCTCAACGTATGTGGGCGGAATTTCAGGGAGGGGTGTGGATGACGTGAATCAAGTCGGCAGCGTCGGATATCCGAGCAGTCTGGGCGCGAGCTATCTGGAGAGTTATATGCAGGGACGGCCGCTGAGTGTGAGGATGGCGGCTGCGGAGAGGGAGGGGAATGAGGGGGAAATAAGACGACTCAGAAGTATGGAAGCACGACGGAAGAAGAGAGAGAATGATGAGCGGAAAGAAAAGGAGAAGATTGATGAAGACGACTGGGATGCAGGCGTTGGGAGAGGGGGGGCCGGGGATGACGATGGTTTTATGGGGAGTATGGACGACTTCTGAGGAGATGCATCACGGACACGACCCGTGAAGAAGTCTCGGATAGGCACGATTTGGATACTTGTATTGCTTGCGCGCAAGCGTTTTGTATACTGAGGCGTTCAGGCGACGCACGATTAGATCTTGGTCGGCTACGGCTATGAATGGCGACAAGACGGCTACGGCTCTGTATATAGTAGGGACTGTATGTACGGGCGGTGTACTGAGCGAGCATACGTTTGACGCATCTGTAGTACTGGGCCTCAAACCTCAGGCTTCTGACCATCAGGGACGTAAACACTTAATCATAAGTTTGCAGGTTTGAAGCGTTCTTTTGTCTAATCTGCCGTGCATCAGAGCGTGACATCCAACTAGTGTGGAGCGCTGCTTCTTTTTGGTTGAGTCAGGATCCGTGCCAAGGTTGTCCTGTCACCTTTTGTTTGCGACTGCACAACATTGATTGCTTCGACAAATCACACCACGGCAGCGACTGTTCCCAATCGACAAAAAACTGCACTGATAGGTTCCTTGTATGACGCTGAAGCTATCTCGAGAGTGAGACACGCACACAGTGTATACATGGGGCGAGTACACCGTGGCACAGACGTTGAGATAGACCCTCGTGGCACCAACTCGTGGCGTCAACCAATGCTGCACCCAATTGCAAAGACGACATTGGACTGGCAGCAGTGTGTTCGTAACTCAAGTCTGTCCTTGCCTGAGGTGCGAGTTGCCATACCAGATATGTCAGCTGACGCTTTGCTGCATCCACGTGCTGCTGTCGCAAAGGAGACTCCTTGTGCAGCAGGCATCATGTCTGTTTCTGCTGCTGTTGTTGTTGTTGTTGTTGTTGTTGACATGGTGGGGTGCCTCACTTGCAGCCATCGCCAGCCCAATTGCGTTCACACCCGTGCCTCTCGGCATATCAGAACTGCGGGGCAAGACGCATGAGATGACGGCTGTCGACGTAGTTCTTGTTTATCGATGGTTTAGATGCACCTGGATGGAGATCCTTGACCAATTGGAAAGAAACAACGCGCCTTCACCCGTTGTCAGATGTTTGGGCCTAGCACCACCCACGCCGGGCACGGACGCCTCCCAATCTCGTTCCTGCACAACACTCCCGCTGCCAGCTGCTGCGCATCCGCCCACCTCCCCTCTCGTCATTCACTTCGCGCCCCCAGTGGCCTCTCTCTTTCTTTTGTTGTTCTCTCCCCTGTGCACTTGTTAGGCGCTGGCGACGGCGATGCACCCCTGTAACGCTGTAGTGTGCCAGTAGCCGCTGCGTGGCCCCCCTACCTTCACGCATCGCCGAACAGTCAAGAACCCCCCTTTCTGGGCGCGCATTCTGGCCACGGCCCCGACAGAGTGAACTGCACAATCGCTTTGTTCGCGCGTCGGCTGCCTTGACGAGCGTGCTCTGACGGACTCCCTTTCAACCTTTATACTTTCTAATACCACAATCCGGCGATGGAACAGTGAGCGCCGAGCCTGCGGAACACACCATGGCGACAACCGCAAACCCACCGCCAGGCGCGCTGGTGGTGGACGACTACAGCACCATTCTCGACCCGTTTACAACGCAGGACGGCCACAGGCAGCGATACTCGGCCTTCGACAACTCGCAGTTCTCCCTCTACCTCAACGGCTCCCCAGTGCAGGCCAAGCGGGCCCTGGAGGCACATCTCGCAGAAACCACCCGCCGACTGCAGGAAACGTCACACCTGGGCAATGCGCTCGTCCAGCAGCGCAAGGAGCTGGAGGAGCGGCTGAAAGAGGTTGAGGGGCAGCAGGCAGACAACGACATCGGTCCAGAGTTGCGCTCGCGGCTGGCCGAGCTCGAGAAGGAGTTCAACGAGGTCGGGCGCGAAACGGCTCGCGCGTTCCTTCCCAAGTCTCGCGTCCCCAGTGGCGAGTCAGATTCCAATGGAGGCTCCGTCTATGCCAGCGAGGCAATGCACTCGCCCACCAAAGTCAGCGTCCCGTCTCGCAAGCAAAGAAACCAGCAGCCCAACCGGATTCAGGACATCCATCTAGCTACTGAGATCTCCACTTCCTTGTTGTCGCAACTCAAGGAGCTACAGGCGGTTTTGCTGGAGAAAGACGAGGCCCTCAAGGCTGCCGATCTGGACAGGTCGAACCTGGAGATTGAGGTGGAAGGCCTCTCGCAGCGTCTCCGGACTCTGGACGAGAGCGACTCGCGCCTGAAGGATGTCAACTGGAGTCTGGAGACCCAAGTGCGCGAGTTCGAGGCACAATCGAAGTCAGCGGCTGACAAGGAGAACCGTCTCACCCATACCTTGAATCTGGCCAAATCCGAGAAGTCGACTTTGGAGCGAGAGTTCGAGGAGCTCAAGGGCATGTACGCAAAACTCAACGACGACCACATCAACATAATAAAGCAGCACGAAGCGGAACTATTTGGTCTGCGACGAAATGTGACCATGGGAGAGTCTGAGAGAAACGCGCTTCAGCGCAAGGTGGAGGATTTGTCCACACAAAACCAGGAGCTTGCAAAGGCAGTCGCTTATCGAATGAGAGGCGATGAGCACAACTCGCCTGAGGAAGCATCTCCGGACGAAAGCTTCAACGAGGGAGAAAGTCTGACCCCTGAGCATTCTCCTCCACCTTCTCCAAGCAAGGCAACGCCACGTCACGGCCAGCTGGAATCAGAGACTCTCAAACACTCGCTCCAGCACGCTCATCGCATGATCCAGCAGCTCAAGAACAACATCCACCGCGAGAAGACCGAAAAGATCGAACTGAAGCGCATGCTCCAGGACGCTCGCGATGAGATCGAGACCGGCCGTAATGAGTCCAAGGGTCCTGCAAGTGCAAGCAAGCGCAAGAAGGCCGACAAGGATGTGTTTAAGAAACCAGCCCGACCCGACCGTCTCGGAGCACTGAGGCAAGGCAAGCAAGAAGTCGTCATGGAACTCGATGACGATGAGTGGGAGGAGCAGGACATCATTCCTTCGCCCAGCAAGCCCCAAAGGCCTCATCAATCGGTTCCGGGAGCGTTCAACAATGGCTACACCTCCATGGCCGAAACCAGCGCTTACGAGGGATTCGAGACTGCTCACGAGGTTTCTGATGCCGATTTCGAGACAGCGAACGATGATGGTACCACCACGGAGACGGATGCCTTCCAGACTGGTGCTGAAACTCTTGATGGTGACAGCAGCGACGATTTGACTGAGACTGAGATAGGGTCGACTCAAGGAACTATCAGGAATAGATCGCCAGTCGTGAGACGCAGCCAGAGCGGCCAAAGCTACAGGGACATGTATGAAAGTACTGCCTCGAACTCTGACTACGACTCTGAGAGGGATACACAAACACCAGGAAGCCACAAACGCAACTCATCTTCCAGGTTCCTGCGACCAACTAGCTCTCGCAAGTCTGTCGCGACACCGAGAGGGAGTCTTCAGGATATCTTCCATCATGGCACACCGCCTATGGCAAGGGATTCTCCGACCAGTAACAGCAACCACAGCACCCCGGCCCAAGGCAGGAGTCTGTTCGCTGAGCTGGATGGCCTGAGTGGAGGTGAGGAGACAGATAGTGCTGCCGAGGGCACACCCAGTCGATCAAGTGTTTTGTCTCCTGAGTCTTCGCCTGAAAAGAGCGTTCTGGGAAGGTCAGCCCTGCAGCGAACCATACCCATGGTGGCCATGGTGGACTCAAGCACGATGACCGAGCCTGATGTGCCACAGCATGTGAGCGTTTCCTCCATCCACAACATCCACAATGTGCGACCTCAGGCTTCTACACCAACTGAGCTCCACCTGTCGCCGTTGATTAGCCAAGGTACAAGCCCGCAAGCGCCACTCCCGCAGCAGCTTCAGCTCTCGACGCACGCCTTCCACCACACCGAACCGAAGCCCGTGTCACGTCCGTCGCTCAACATTTCCAGCGTATCTGGGCATGAATCTTCTCCCAGTGCCCCTGCCATTGTACCCTTGGCCATCTCATCCATGTCCGCTCATGATACGTCACCACGGATCCCCACAGCACCGTCTCTTGGCATCTCGACCATGGAGACTCACCACAGTCAACACACCTCACCTCAGTCTCCACCTGCACCAGTGTTCGACTTCTCTTCGGTTGCAGGCCATGCCACGTCTCCACGTGCTGTTCTTCCACCCGCCCTAGGCGTTTCTTCAGTCTCTGGTCACACTACCGAGCCTCGTTCTGCGCCTGCGCTGACCTTTAATCTTTCTTCAGTATCGTGCCATGAGACTGAGCCAAGGGCTGTGCCTGCTCCTTCGTTCCATATGTCGAGTGTTTCCGGACACATGACTGAACCCAAAGATGTACCGAGACAGAACTTTGGTATGTCGGAGGTGTCTGGACATGCCAGTGAGCCGCGGGACGCTCCTCGTCAGACCTTCAACCTGTCCTCTGTCACTGGACATGCAAGCGAGCCTCGGGATGCTCCTCGCCAAGTTTTCGATATGTCTTCAGTGTCAGGCCATGCGACCGAGCCGCAGCATGCGCAAGCAACGCCCCTCAACATGTCGGGCTTCTCGTCGCACAGCACCGCACCTGTCGAGCCTACGGGTGAAAGAGCTGTACCTCAGTCGTTCGGCATGTCGTCCATGTCACACCAGAGTACTGAGCCCGCCGAGGGTCACAGCCATGGACTTGGTTTCAAGGCATTGGCTCCAGCCGCTCTGGTCGCATCTGGTATCGCTGCATCACAGATGACTGAGCCAAAGGAGGCGTCAAGGTCGATGGAAACACCTCACGAAACTGTATCGACTCCTAATGACCGAGAGATCAGTGAGAAGGAGGCAACAAGGCAAGTTGCATTGGGAATATCGAACTTTTCATCGCACTCGACTGAGCCTGCTGAGGTACCTCGCGCAACGCTGTCGACGTTTTCAACGATGTCTTCACAGGCAACGGAGCCATACCAGCCAAAACAGACTGTGCACCAATTCTCCATGCACTCTTCGCAGGTGACCGAGCCATTCGCGCCGAAGCCAGCGGCTCACCAATTGTCTCTCCACTCATCCCAAGCAACGGAGCCGGTCATTCCCAAGCAAGCTGTGCATGGATTCTCAATGCACTCTTCTCAGACAACAGAGCCATTCGCCCCGAAGCCGGTCGCTCACCAGCTCTCTGTGCACTCTGCTCAAACCACAGAACCTGTCACACCTTGCCAGCAGCCCTTGCAGTTGTCGACATTCGCCTCAAAGGCTACTGAACCGGTTATGCCCAAGCCACAGTCGCTGCAGATGTCGACGTTTGCTTCCAAGGCCACATCGCCTGTGATCCCCAAGCCGCAATCGTTGCAACTTTCATGGTTCGCTTCCGAGGCTACTAAGCCAGTGACACCCAAGCCAGCAGCTTCTCAGCTGTCCTCCTTGTTTTGCCAAGCGTCTGAGCCTGTGGATGCACCGAAGGCTGCACGCCCAGAATTCTCGGCTATGTCTTCACAGACCACTGAGCCCGTGGAGGCACCGAAGGCTGCACGCCCAGAATTCTCGGCTATGTCTTCACAGACCACTGAGCCCGTAGAGGCACCGAAGGCTGCACGCCCAGTTTTCTCGACTATGTCTTCACAGACCACTGAGCCTGTTCAGTCAAGGGCAGCACCCTCAAACTTCTCGATGTTCTCTTCGCAGACTACTGAGCCGCGTGGGCCTCCTAAGCAGGCTTCGCCTGGAGTATCGCTCGTGACAGCCCAACACACCGAGCCATTCCATCCTACTGTAGCCTCGCCAGGCTTCTCAGACGTCAGGACGCTACAAAGCCACGAGCCTGAGTCTCCTACCGTGCCTGCTTTCCTTCCCACCCCTAGCAGACCATCCACAGCGAATCGCGTCGTTGCTCCTGAGCTGTCGTTGTCGACTCTGTCAATTCAGCACACAGAACCTCAAATCTCCTCACGGCCTATTACCGCGCGTCGAACTGGGCCCACACCATGGACCCTTGACTTCTCGCAGTCAACACTGCCGTGGGATCAAGTCAAGCATGGAGAGTCTGATCAACCTTCTGTTAACAACAGTGCTGCTCGCAGTCCGCTTGCACCTATCAGCACCAACGCGGTGCAGAAGACCCCACGTTCGGCCATGACTGATGGTGGTACTCAGACTATGGTATCTGCGGAGCAAATCGACAAGCTATTGCTCGCTCGTAGCAGCAACAGACACTCCGGTACCGTTGCAACAGCTGGTATCGAAAAGTCGCTGTCGCCTCCCCCTTCGCCAAGCAAGGGACACTCCAACGAGCGCATTCCTCGACGCCCGGGCAGCTCTGGCAGCATCCGCTCTCGCGCGGCCTCTCCACCACCTTTGCCGGCCGACCACAAGCAAGTCATTGCTGCAGCGGCTCTCAAGCAGCCTCTCATGGCTACGACCCCTGGAACGATGGGCCCGCCACCCGTGCCGGCTTCGGCTTTCAAGAAGCCTTCGACACCTTCCCTCAGGACTGGTACAGCGACATTGACTCCCAAGACTGGTGGCACCACACCGCGTGCGCGTCGCCGATCCACCAACCGCAGCGATGCTCGTAGTGGAGCTTCGTCACCGATCAGCCGTCGCTCATCGATCTCCTCGTTCACCTCTGAGGTCGACCAACGCTTTAACATCGCAGGTGGGCCATCATTCGCTCCACCAGGTTTGCCACCAGGTGCCACTGATCCTCGCATGATCCAAGCCATCACACAGACGATGATTGGTGAGTACCTCTGGAAATACACCCGCAAGACAATGGGAGGTGGCATGTCTGATACTCGTCACCGCCGATTCTTCTGGATTCATCCTTACACAAGGACGTTGTACTGGAGTGATAGGGACCCCCAGACAGCAGGAAAAACAGAACTCAAGGCAAAGAGCGTGGCAATCGAGTCCGTCGAAGAGGTCGAAGATCCAAACCCGATGCCTCCTGGCCTCCACCAGAAGAGTTTGCTCGTCTCCACCCCCGGTCGCTCGATCAAGTTCACCGCAGCTACCGGCAAGCGTCACGAGACTTGGTACAACGCCCTCAACTATCTATGTCAAAGGGTAGAGGAGGGAAGCGAACAGCCCGAGCGGAAGCCTTCCGAGTCTCCAGCCTTGAATGAGATCCAAGATGAGTTCAACGCTGGATACCGGAGCGCGTCGCGAGCAACGGGTCGCTCGAAAGCTTCTGTGACGTCCCGTGCCAGCCGCTACACAAGCGCAAGCCGCGATGAAGTTCCTACGCTCCGACAACATCATGTTACGCCACAACGCGCAACTTCGATCGAGCCCGGTCAGACGGGATCCGTTAGCGGCCGCTTCAGCAGTATGCTGCGACCAAACTCTGCCATGCGAGGTTCTTTCTCAAGCCGCCGGAGCCGGATCAATGAGAATACGTTCGAAGAGCCGAGCGCCGCCACCATGGATCTTAGCCGCGAAATTCACGACCATGTTGAGCGTGATATTGAGGGCATGGTCAATGTTCGAGCTTGTTGCGATGGCAAACATGACGTGGGCCACCTGCACCTGCATTCGATGAAGAGTCGACACAACAGCAACAGCACTCTAAATAACAGGCCATCGTTCATCGGCTCGCTGACCTCACGATCTAGCTCACGCGCAGATACACGCGCTGAGTCGCGGACGGAGTCGCGAACCGAGTCCAGGACGGAATCACGCACAGAAGCTCGCAACGATCGGATACGGCATCAGACTGACATGGAAGCTGCCAACTTCAGCGCCGGTGGTTAACCTCTTCCCTCACACCTCAATACCTTCCTACAACACCTCTTAGTGTTTGTTGTACCAACATCCACACTTCCATAGTCGTTTAATCTAACTGACAGTCTCTGTTTCCTTAGTTATCAGTATCAGCAATCATCGCGAAATCCATTCTCTATTTTCTATGTGTCTCTTCGTCAACGTTTCTGCATTTGGACATTGTCTCTCGGCTTGGGTTCGCTTGAAGCAACAGGTCAAACTAGATTGTGGTTGGAAGAGTATCTGGACCTGGCGTTCGTCGATCAGGCAGCAAGTTGTTAACTGGAGGAGCAAGATCGATTGGGGATACGGATGGGATGCTGATGTGCCGAGGGAGCGCACGTAATGACTCTCCTTTGCCTAGACCGTACCTGTACTCTCAATTCCCCGCTTCGAAACTGTTACCTATCTGTCTTGTATGCGCTGTTGTTGCTAAGACGCGGGTTGTCTGGTCATGTCTTTCAGCGCGCATGGATCTGGCGCAAGTCGATTGTAGAAAGGAAATCAAGAAACGTCCAAATTGGAAGCATGAGGCTTGTGAAACGACGTGCTGTATATGCTACATGTTGAGGTGATCTAGACCTCTGCGCATGAAGCTTCCCCACAGCAACGCGAAGTGAAGGAGGGGGTCTCCATGCGCGCCTTGCGGGACGTGCCTGCCAAGACAATTCTGCCACGACGAGCGGTGACGTTGGAAACACCAAACTTTTGCTCAACGCGTCGCACATCAATCACCATACAACCAATAAAAACATACATGACGTCGATCTGACGAGAGAATTCCCGTTTCTGCGACTTCCGGCAGCTGCTATTTAATGACACTCGATACTATCCGCGCACGAACCACTTAGTAGCCCTCGTATACCACAAAACGCGACCTCAGCTCCCTTCACCCAGCGCACTTCGCGCAGCAGCCCCAACCACCACCACTTAACAAATCCCCCGCACATCCCTCACCATGGCGCGCAACTCTGAAAAAGCGCACTCTATGCTCTTCCGCTTCCGCGCCGCGCAAGCCGCCGAAGCAGGCATAATCGACATCTCGCGCACGAGACGGCCGAAACTCATAACCTCCGTCACATCCATCCCCGTTTGCGAAAAATGGCGTGGTCAAGTGCTCAAAGAGATCAGCCGCAAAGTGACGAAGATCCAGGACGAGGCGCTGTCAGATTATCAGATCAGGGATCTGAATGACGAGATTAATAAGGCGATGCGCGAGAAGTACATGTGGGAGAAGCAGATTCGCGATCTGGGTGGGCCGAATTATATGAGGGGGGGTAGGGTGCTGGATGAGGAGGGGAGAGAGGTGCCGGGCGGCGGGAAGGGGTATAGGTATTTTGGGAGGGCGAGGGAATTGCCGGGGGTCAAAGAGTTGTTTGAGAGGCAGGAGAGACCTGAAGACGACGATGGTGCACGCAAAGGTGGGGAGAAGAGGTCGGAACTTAGGCAACGTGTGGACGCTGGGTATTACGGCTACAACCTTGATGAGGAGGATGGTACACTGCTCAAGTATGAAGCGGCGAAAGAGAAGGAGGCGTGGGATCACTTCATGACGCTGGGCGACGACTTAAACGAGAAGCCGAGTAAGGTGCAGAGGGAGTGGATCGAGCTGCCAGGCGATGCAGGGGATGGTGTACGATGGCGTGTGCCGACGCTCGAGGAGGTCAACGATGAGCTGGTCGAGCGGAGGAGGAGGAAGTTGCTCGAAAAGCTAGGATAGGTGGCTCGAAATGATCTGCAGCCGGGGTACACCACCAAGGCCCCAGGAAACTCAGCACAAGCATGGCGAAGGACTCGTGATCATCACATGGAGTATGGCGAAATTGAGCATCGTATGAGAAGGAAAGCAAAAGGGAAACTAAAACTGATACCCTCGTCGAGCAGTCGACGGTCAGAGACTGGCAAGAGCCAGCACCGGACATCATCAAGTAAAACATCATATGGAACCGCTTGGTTACACCTGTCGCCCGTGTCCTCTTAAACACTACGTTTGTATCCAAACTCAACGTTTTCATCTTCATTCTCCATCGTACCTTGATATGTATTGTCCTAGGTCTGCAATGAAGGAAGACTTACATACCTACACGCTCCAGGCAACGCTTGTCAATAGTGACTCCGAAGGAACCAGTTCTGTAGCTGCACCAGACCGTTTCGATATATGATATAATTCGCGCTGATGTCAATATGGACTTGGTGGCTTCGCGATTCAGACCTATATAAGGTAGCAAAGGCAATTCGACAAGACCACAACGATATACTTAGACTTGAGGAAGATATGTGTCGCGATTATTTCAACGAGTACCAGCGACTCCGCTCTCTCTCCCTACACTCAAGTCTACTGGTTTACCGTTGGTCTTTGAAATTTATTCGGTGCTTGAAGGGTAAGTAAGGATCGATGGATTGATGGAGTTGGTCCGAGACCGCACATAAACCGCCGGCGCACCAATCACATCCCTCCGGAGCGCTGAGCGTAAGGCTGATGCGCTGACGACCTCGCTGACAATGCGCGCCGGGAGCGGGAGCGCTGCACATCCGTCTCAATTACTAACCTCTGAAGCTTACAAACACCAGCCACAACCTCCTTTTTGGCATGTTTGCGTTCCCTACACAGCCTGGAAACACATGTTTCTCACGAGAACTGTAAGCGTGCCAATTCCGTGACCTGATAGCGCCATTCCGCGCTCACGAAAGAATAAATATGTTTCGTCCGTGTAGCGGCGCGATAGGTATGGTTGAGGTGGTGGTACCCTGCGCCAGAGGTAGGTATATGAGTACTTTCCTGTCTCAGCTTTTTTGTCGCTTCACAACATCGTTCAGCACTTGCTTCGAGATACTCACTCTCTCTTCTTCGTCAATCTCTTTTTCACAGCATCAGCGATTTCATATCACACTTCCTTCACCATGACGGAACAACGCAACATTGTCGTGCTCGGCGCCTCAGCTGCCGGCCTCCAGAGCACGCACTACATCATGAACCACATCCTGCCCACACTTAAGCAGAGCAAGAAGGATGCCAAGTATCACGTCTACCTCATCAACCCCTCCTCAGACTGGTGGTTCAGAGTAGCATCGCCACGAGTCGCTGCTTCCACTTCCCGCATGGCTTCTGAGAAGATCTTGTTCGACATCCGCCCAGGCCTCAAACGGTACTCCAAAGACGACATCACCTTCATCGAGGGCACGGCTACCGGTCTCAGCGAGCCCACCCGCGCAGTCACCTACCGCCGCAGCGGCGCCTCAATCGAAGAAACCCTCTCCTATCACGCCCTGATCGTCGCAACTGGCAGCAGAACTTACCACCAAGCCTTCTCCATGAGCGCCGCTACCCAAACGACCCTGGACTCCATCAAATACACCAACGAGAAAGTCCGCACAGCAAAGGACATTGTCATTGTAGGTGGCGGCCCCACCGCCGTCGAATTCGCAGGTGAAGTCGCAGAGCACCGTAACGGCAAGCCAGGCTATTTCAGCAAGGTGTCGAAGAAGGCAAACATCACACTCATGACCGCGTCGGACAAACTCCTCCCCGCTCTGCGCCCCGCCATCGCCAAAGCCGCCGAGGCGAAGTTGAAAGCGCTCGGCGTGGAGGTGCTGTACAAGCAGCGCGTCGTCGACGCTTCAACCTCCGGCGACCGAACGCTCATCACGCTCGCCCAAGGCGACAGGATCGAAGCCGACCTATACGTGCCCGCATTCGGCGTCGAGCCCAACTCGTCGTTCCTGCCCTCGCACCTGCTCGACGACAAAAACTACCTCAGAGTCAACGAAAAGACTTTGAGAGTCGATGACGCCGGCCCGCGCGTATACTCCATCGGCGACGTCGCCTCCTACTCCCGCAACTCCATCCTCGACATCATGAACTCCTTCCCCGCCCTCTTCGTCAATTTGAAGCGCGATTTGCTGGCCTACAACGCTATGCTGCCGGACGAGAAGCCAAAGGGCAAGGATCGCTTGTATGTGAGGGATGATAAGGAGATGCAGATTGTGACAATTGGGAGCGGTGGTGGTGTGGGCGCGATTATGGGGTGGAAAGTGCCCAGTTTCTTTGTATGGATGATCAAGGGGAGAGATTTCATGGTTGGTATGTCAGGCGCGTCGACGGCGAATGGGGATAGTATGAAGAAGGAGATCGCGTGGACAAAGGAGGAGGCGGTCATTTGAGGAGGACGGGTGGGTGTGGATGTTTGCTAGCTTGGTATTCTGTGTGAGTTCCTACGTCTTAAGCTCGTTGAAACCTCTACCGTGATATTTATCTTTTGTCATACTCACTCAAGCCGCTGCGTGTAGTGTGTGAGGTACATTCGCCTTCCGCGATCTTTCCTTTTGCAGATGACCATGTAGCTTTCAATGTGGCGTAGGACATTCAGAGCATCAAACTTGGTATTTTGAGTCTATCAAAAACATGCTATATACACATACACACCACACTGGCCGTCCAGCGAAGTCCTTACAAAGCACCAAGCTCCTTCAGCTTGCCAATCATGCCATCCACATCTTCCACCTTGACACCCGCCTTCCTTGTCGGCGGCTCAGTAACCTTGACCGTCTTCAACCTAACCTCGCTATCCAACCCGTAGTCACCCAACGTCTTCTTATCCAGTTTCTTCTTCTTCGCCTTCATAATATTCGGCAGGCTCGCATACCTCGGCTCATTCAGCCTCAAATCCGTTGTAATAACCATCGGCAACTTCGTCTTCAGTGTCTCCACACCGCCGTCAACCTCCCTTATAATCGTAACGCTATCGCCCTCAATGCTAACTTTGCTAGCCTGCGTCGCCTGCGGCCAGTTCAGCAGCCCAGCAAGCATCTGCCCCGTCTGCCCCGCATCATCATCAATACTCTGCTTGCCGAGAATCACCAAATTGCTCTTCTGCTCATCGACCACTTTGCGCAGCAGCTTCGCCACGCCCAGCGGTTCCAGCGCATCCTTCTCCTCGACAACGACGTGGATGCCGCGGTCGGCGCCCATGGCCATGGCGGTGCGCAGGATGTCCTGCGCTTTAGGGGGCCCGGCGCTGAAGGCGACGATTTCCTCCACAGGAGTGGACTTCTTTTCGCGAAGGCGCACGGCTTCTTCGATGGAGAGCTCGTCGAAGGGGTTCATAGAGTGTTTTACGTTGGCGGTTTCGACCGCGGTTTGGGCGCGGTTTACGCGGGGTTTGACCTGGACTATGTTAGTATACAATCGTCACAGTGTGACAGTGTATCGAGGGTCGGTAATGAGTAGTTGTGCGGTACGCTTGAAGCATTGCGCGAGAGTACTGGACGGCAGGCGAATCTTTGAATGCGTCGTGAGAGGTTTGTATGGCTTACAGCGTAGTCAATGACCCGCTTGACGGGCACCAGTATCCTGAGACCAGGCATCTTGGCATGTACTGTCTTCTTGTTGCTTGCTGTGAAGAAGGATGAGCAATTGCTAGAGGAACAGTGCTGGCAAGAGTGGGGATAGCATCGGAGCTCATGTCAAACGTTAACCGACCTCGGCTTTGCGGCGGCCTTGGCGCGATGATGTCGCTCGCAGGCTCGTGTAAGCGAACCCTTGAGCATCACTCGTCCACCACAGCGCTTGGTCACATGTTTGCTATAGTTATGGATACTGAAGCCTGGCAGCAAAAATAATCATGAAATACGGGTTGTCCTCTCGGTGTACCATCTTCTGCTCATCCTCGCGTGATGCAGTGGACACCTTCACAGAGCTAGGGTAGGCGACAATGAATCTCTGATGAATTGTACAATTTAAAGACGGTCAGCTATTTTTCTTCTCCAGTTATGCTTGTCTATGCTTTAGTTTGTTGGGGAGATATTTGGTCTGAGGGATTTCATGCGTATGTTGTCTTACCCAAAATTCGTGGACATCAATTCACCGTTATCCTACTGAAGAAGAGATTCTTGCACCAACAACACTTCTTACGTCTCTCGAAAGGAAACAAATGTAGTCCGCAGGATAGGGATAAGATTACGAGACATCACAGGTAGATGCGGAGATACGCACATCGACCCCGCGACGGCAAACAACCGGTCTCCTTATCCGGGATCAGCTATCCTGTAAGGTGAGATATATGCTATGTATAAGAAAGGCAGCGCATGTCCCAGAGTTCAATTTGAGTGTTCGATACCAGTTCAATCAAGTGATCAGCAAAAGTCACTACCATCGGCGATGACGAACATCAACATGACTTTCCAAGTCCACCATCCCCCAGAACCACACCGCAAAGCCCTCATCGGCTCCAAATCCTCCTTCTGGCTTCACTCCTCCCGCTGCGGCTTCGACCTGATCCAGCCCTCCTCCGCCTCAACCCTCTCCTCCTCCCCCAAAATAAACCTACCCATAACAATGTTCCCCCCAAAATCCGCCCTTGTCATCATCGACATGCAGAACTTCTTCCTCTCGTCTGCCCTGGGTCGAAAAATCGACGGTGTTGGGCATAAAGCATGTAAACAGTTGATTGAGCACGCGATGTCGGCGGCGAGGAAAGCAAAGATGAGGGTAGTATGGGTGAACTGGGTATCAACAGACGAGGAAAGTGCGGGATATGCCACCGGGGGTTAAGAGGACGTTTGGGTTTACTCTATCCCTTCCTCTTCGTCACACTCCTTCTCCTTCGAAGGAGAAGAGGTTGTGGCGAGTGGAGAGGTAGCGGGCAGTGTGGGTGTTGACAAGCACGGGAAAGAGCGCAAGAATGGGATATACAAAGGTATAGGCTCATCCCTGGGTCCTATAAAACTTGAAAGCGGGGAGGAAGTCGATGGTGGTCGCCTACTAATGCGCTCCTCTTGGAACGCCTCCCTCTACCCACCCTTGCAGAGCCTCTTCGAAGAAGGCCAAAAGTTGGAAAACAGACCTGATGTTTGAATCCACAAGAACCGCATGTCCGGCCTTTGGGGGCGCTACAACACCGCTCCAGCAATTCTTCGAAAAAGAAGGCATCACAACACTATTGTTTGCGGGCGTGAACACGGATCAATGCGTCGGAGGTACGCTGACAGATGCGTTTAGCAAGGGGTACGATTGCATATTGTTGAGTGATGGGTGTGAGACAAGTAGTCCGGGGTTTGCGCAGGAGTTCTGGGAGTATAATGCTGCGCATATATTTGGGTTTTGTACGGGGTGTGAGGATTTGGCGAGGAGGGTGGCGGGTATAGAAAGCTGATTTGGATGATCGGAGAGCTACAGGGTGTAGGAGTACTGGCAGTGAGAGAGGGCTACCTGCCCCCTTGAGCAAACCGCTTCATCCGCTCTTCTGCTGCTCTTGCCCTCCTTTCCCTTTCGAGTCGTGCTTGGGCTTCTGGTGTCAGGCCGCGCGCTTGCTCTTCTCGTATCTCAGCGCCAGTCTTCGCAGGCAATGCACCAAGAGCCTTGCCCTTGCCCAGTCGCTGTGTCGTTCTTGCTGCCTCTGCTGCCTCGCTTTCTTTCCTTACACGCTCCGTCTCGGCTTTTCTGCGCTCGGCCTCTGCTTTGGACTCGGCCGCCTTTTCGGACTTGTCTTGTGCTTCGCGTTTATCGGCTTCTGCTTTCGTGAGAGCAGCTGGGATGCCGGCTTTTTCCCAATCCCATGCGGATTCGCCGAGTTCGGATCGTGCTACGCGGAAGGCATCGCGGGTTGCTCGGTCGCCAGCCAGAGTGAATGGTGTTCGCGCATCGTCGTTCATGATTGTAGGATCTGCGCCAGCCTTGGTGAGAAGCGCAGAGATGACAGGTGCGGAGTTGAGTGATGCGGCCAAATGGAGCGGGGTCGGTGTATGGTGGTTTTCTGGCAGAAAGGTGAATGTGGGTGGGACATTATTAGTCTTGATGTAGTTGAGCAACGCAGGTATTTTCGAGCGTTTGATCAACGGAACGATCTGAGATGTGTGAAGAGTTGCCGCCTCATCCTCTTTCGATGGCTTTTGGGGCTTGGGCTTCGCTACAGGCTTCCTCGACGCCTCCTCAGGCTGAGGCGCATTGAGTGCAGCGAGCGCTGCCTCATCGATAGTGCTCTGTTTCACGCGCGTCAGCTCGACAAATGCACGCATCAGCTCCTTCTGTGTAGCGCGCCGAGTGCTGAACGGAAATCCTCGATTCCTTGGGTCATTTGTGCGAAGCACCTGCCCCTCGTATGGCCCGAACAACGTGCGTCGATTCGTCGCACCCGTCGCGCGCACGAAGATCAAATCAGCAGTATCGATCATCGTCTTCCAACTTGTGAGCAGGTCGCGGACTTCCTGAATTAACGCGTTCTCGTTGTATCGTCGTATCGAAGAACCAGCAGAGTGCGCATTGCCCTTCGCGTTATCATTCGCCGATTGCGAGCCACCCTGTTTCCGTCGTGTTGTGTATCGGTGGAAAGTCTTATGCGCAATGACTGTAGCCGATCGCTCGTCAACTCCAGTGTGACTCTTACCCACCTTCGGTGCCAGGGCTACTATCATGGCGGCGAAATGGCCACCACCGATCATGCTGAGGAAGTAGTGCGGCCCAATGTCTGTCTGCGGAAGCGGTACGCCGCCCCCAGAAGGGTTGATCTTGGGTGGCTGCATTGGCGCCAGCTGCTTGTTCCGTATTGTCTCGACGACATGTGATTCCTCCTCCTGCTCCGCATTTGTGAGGATCGCACGGTATATCCCAAGCGACATGTTTTCGGGCAGCATCGGTGACGAAAACCAGAGCAAAGGCGCATTGCCGGGTCCACGCTGCTTTTTCTTCGATGCAAACTCGTCGAATTCGGGGTCTGAGATTTTCGCCTGCTTCTTCAACAGCGCGCTCAGCGTCGAGTCCTTTGGCCTGCCGGTCTCATCCTCCTCGTCTTCGTCCGATTCCGACGATTCCGAGCCTGATATGCTCTCGTCCAGCTCTCCAATGAGCTTCTCAAACGCGGCCTCTCCCACAGGCTTTTGGCCCTTGATCTTCTGCTTCAAGTTGTAGCCGTGCAAGTCCGATCGAATGTGTTTGCGCTGCTCAGCCAAGGAGCCGAAGTGCAGCGCGCAGAGGTTGCAAGACGTAGCTTTCGATGCGCCACCATCCTCCGTGTCCAGCTTCTCCGAGGACTCGTTTGAAGGTGTCTGCACTTCGGGTACTGGCGCTGCGATCGGCCGGCCAGACTGGTCTTTGTATGTGAGTGTGGCCAGCAGCTCGTTTGGCAGGTCAAACACTGCGGATGTCAGCAGGGATATCGAGGAATTTGGCGGAAAGACATACCATACAGCGGCCGCTGTAACAGATCCTCGCCTTTCTGCGCCATTTCGTCTCGAAGTCACGTGGTGGGAATGCTAGGTTGAGGTTGTGCAGTCGCGCAGGCGGCAGCTCGTGAATTTGGTGGAGAGTCAAAGGCGATGACGTGCAGACAGCGCGCTTAATCTTGTGCCGCGCTTATTCGCGTCCCACTTCGACTCTCACCATTAAACATGGCTCGGTCTGTTAGTCGGTACGCGAACCTTGTATCAGCGTACTAGTTGGATGTGCCCCCGCGTTTGTTGCTGCAAATGCTCCGTTGGGAAGTGATTCTACTTGGCTTACCGGTCCGAAATCGTCTAAGCCTTAGGTTTCCTCCACCCTTGTCTCTTCGACTTAAAGGTCACATAGCCGTATTCATCATCTACTCGTAGAATCAAGAAACTGGCTCCCGCTGGATTGAAGTCCTTGAACCATGGCGTCTGCAAAAGCTTCTCTGGACACACTCCCCGAGGAGCTAATCCTTACAATTATGGACTTCCTTGACGACATCCAACCCCTCCTCGCCCTCAATGCAACAACCCACCGCCTGCACCGCCTCACCCTCTCACGCCTCTACAACCGCTTCCCCGGCCGCAACTCCGAGCTCTTCCTACGCACAATCTCCCACTCACCACAACTTGCCAAATACACCAAGTCCACAGTATGGCACCAAGAGCGCAAGACGGTGCCGAGGATTGATATGCTCGAAAAACGGCATGTCGTCACGAGGCTGAATCAGCTCGCAGTCCCCCACGGTACAGATCTAGCCGAGCAGTTTGCCAAGTTCGGGAAGAGCGATGATTACTGGTACATGGAGGTTTTGCTTCTGTTTATGCCGAATTTGGAAAGTGTGGAGGTGAGAGAGAGTTGGCTGTGGGATGATCATCATTATTGGTTTAAGAGTGCGAGTCCGTTTTTTAATCCGTTGTGTGAGAGTAGGCTGAAGAGTGCAACACTGTATGGGCCGCTGAGGATCGAGAATGTGGTTCCGCTACTGACGATTCCAAGTTTGAGGAGGTTGAAGTGTAGCCAGGTGGTTGTTATGCGGAGAGAGGGGTTTAAGGTGTTTCAGTGGGGGGTGTGGCCTGTTGAGCGTGTGCTGCCTGAAGGGGCGTCGAATCTTGAGCACCTTGCGCTGGAGGAGAGTTGTATTGATTTGGAGAATCTGATGCCGATTATGAGCGGAATCAAGGCGCTGAAGTCGTTTGCGTACGAACACATGCCCAACGACCTCGCCGATGAGGCTTCGCGGGTCGACCACATCAACAGTGCAGCACTCTCGTCTTGCCTCAAGACACAGCGCGCGTCGCTCGAATACATCCGCATCCGAGACACGCAACAACACGAGTGGTCGATGACAAATTTCTTGTTTGGCCCCAATGCCAATGGTGAAGGGGGTCGAAATGACAGAACGGACTTCCCGAACCTGCACACCCTCGACATCGGCCCCCTTTTTTCAGAACGGTTCGAGCACAAAAGCAGTCTCGAGGAGGAAGTCAGGGCACTGGCAACTGAGTCGCTGCCCTCTTTGAAAACCATCAGGTTCATGATTGATGCGAACTTCTTTACGAATATCGCACTCGAAAACTTCCTGAGAGCCTTTGCACATACACTTGCGTCTGAGCGCCCCGGAATGGAGGTTGTTGAGCTTGTGGGCTGGGATCCAATGTTGGGCTGGTTTCCTGACAATCTGCCGGCACTGCAAGAGGTGTATGCCCATTCAGGCTTGCGGTTAGGTTCGGTGTGTGGAGACATACTCGACATTCATGGGGCAGAACCGCTGCTTATAAACGAAGACACTGAGCCAGACTGGGTTGTGGTTACGGATTTGAGGCTGAGTAGCAGAGATTGAAAGACCATCTACATCGACGATATCTACAGTTCAAATGCATTTACCATGTCTCCTGTCTATACCGTCCATCCTTCTCCAACGCCACCAGATACGCCTCTGCATCCCCCCTACTCAACTTGCCGTGTTCCTGGAACCCTTCGATCAGCGCCTCGCGCACGGCTTGCGGCATCTTGCCCGAGGAGCCGCAGATAAATACGATCCCGTTCTTGTTGGCGATAGCGTCGTGCACGAGAGCGCTTTGTTGCCGGATAAGGTCCTGGACGTAGACTTTCTTTCGCTGGTCTCGCGAGAACGCTGTGAGGACTTCCAGTGGTCCACCCTTGGCGATAAGATCTTGCCACTCGTCTTTGAAGAAGTAGTCTGATTCTGCGTTTCGACAGCCGAAGAATAGCAAGTCCTTTGATGCGACATCCTGAGATGGTGAAATTTGGGCGCGCCATTGTATTCTCTGCTGTATCAGGGCGCGCATGGGTGCTACGCCAGTGCCTGGGCCGATCATGACGACTGGCCTGCCGAGCTCCTTCTGCGTGACGCCGAGTCCACCGCGCGACAACGTGACGGTGATCCTTTGGTTTGGTGTGAAGCTGGCGATGTATCGTGTGGCTACACCTTGTCTGATCCTCTTAATCACCGTCTTGTACTTGACGATTGCAATGAGAAGCTCTACTCTTGTGCTTGACCCTTTGTCTCCTACAGTAGTAGGGATCTCAGTCATTGCACTCGCTATACTGAACTGTCTCCCGCGGAGAGTGGGGATGATGCTGCACACCCTCTGCCATGGGATCTTCACACTTTCAAACTCTTGCAGTACTTCCAGTATACTGCGACGTGGGCGTGTCGTGTAGTCGTACAGCTCGTCGAGATATTCTGGATTCGTGAACTCCAGGAGCCGATCTCGGTGAAACTCATCATTTGTGTAGTGGGCGAGTTGGGCGAAGAATGAGCGTCGTGGAATGGAAAGTATGTCAAGATGATTCGTAAGAAGTTGTCGGAGGGTTGTTGTACTGGTGGACGAGAGAGTGGGTACGGGAAGACGTGAGGTGGGAGAGACAGACGGAGAAGAAGGCGTGAACTTTATGCGCTTGTCGGCGATGGGCGTCCAGTCCATGATGGCAAGAAAGTGGTCAACATCTGAGGGGAAGTTTTTCGGATATATTGTCAAGACATCTCCTGGAACGTACGGGTGTAAGCCTTCGATATCCAGCTTGAGGTGGCGCACATCTTGCCAGTGCGTTGTGGGTGTCACTCTCTCGTTCAATTTGACATTAGCTATAAGACCACCAGGAATGTCGAGCAAATCCTGAGATGGGACTTCTGCTGCATCAACATTGGTCTCTGATACCGCATGAACATCTGCTGGTGCTGTACCTTCTGTCCCTGCGAAGTCAAGCAGCCATTTTGGATCTAGAAGGACGTTGTCCGGTATCGGCTCTGTGCCCTCAGGCAGAGGATACTCTTCAAGGAGACTGTTGCGCAAAGTCGTAGTCCATGGGAGAAACGAGCCATCAATACTGGAGGATCATGTCAGTGGTGGTCAACATTGACTCTCTGGAAAGCGTGGAAAAATTTGGACAAGAACTGTTATGGCGAGAATATATGTACGTAGAGCATGTGAAAAAAAAATGTTATGAGTTCAAGAATATGGAACTTGACATACCCCTCGGGATGCTGTTCATCAGACTCTCCACGGTCACATATTGGCTGAGCCCCAAGCTGGACGAGACGATTGTAGAGCTTACGATGCGCCCAGTTGTATCTTTCACGCAGACGTCAGAACACCGCATCCACACGTGAATTGATCAAACTCACTTGGGATACGATGTATCACCGAGTCCAAAGGACGCGAACCTCATTCGCTGCAGACATCCTGGTCGAAGTCGAGCACTGCGCAGCGCCTTCCAGAAGGCCTGGCTGTTCGGTGGCAGATCGCCCTGTCCGGTGGTGGATATTGAGATCAGAACGACATCGTGCTGCAGCAATTGCTTCTGCAAGGAGATCAACCACTACTCTCGCTAACTCTTATCGTGCCTGACATACTAGGCTGACTACATTCAGTGCTGCGACTTCCGTGTCGAAGCGCAGGCGCTCAGCGAGCCTTCCCATCTCTTCAGCAACATCCTGGGCATTTCCTGTTTCGGAGCCATAGAGAACAAGGGTCCGACGGAGGTTTTGCGTATCCCCCATGGTCGGTGCTGGGGTGACGCCAAACTCAGAATGCAATCTGCGGTGAGACTAGGCTGGAAAAGTTTGGAGAAATTGATGTCTGTGTGGCGCTTCCCCGGGCCCGTCGAGAGTGAAAAGCGGTGCGCTAGCGGACACGTCAAACGGGCGGGTCTCCATGGCAGCGGGCCCCGGAACGGACCCATCTGTGAAGCGCAGCGTCACCTCTCGAAGCTTCGAAGCGTGAGCGAACAATTGCATCAAATGTGAGTTTCTGGTTGTGGCGTCTACGGGTCGCTAAATTTCCCCCTTGCTTTCCAGCAGACATCGCGTGCCTGCATCTCCAAGGAGAGCACAGGACAGGTGAGAGAGGCGACGCCAAATTGCACTCACCAGCGTCTATTTGCCGGCCATGTTGGTCGCGACTCCTATCTATCCTCACCGCTCTGACGGCTGCCTGCCCTCGCCAGCGGAGCCCTTGCGCACTCGGATCGCAGGGCGGCTTCCTCTGTGGCTTTCTCGCTGCAAGTGCTCGTCTCCGGTGCCCGTTTAGGCCTAGCGCTATTAGTGCACCGTCGAATCGCTTGATTTATTTTGATGCCCTGGAGCTCCCGCCCTCCTTTCTCCCCATCAAGTCAACAACTGAGACACTTTCAACCCCATCAATCCGCCTCTCACCAACCTTCCGGGCTCGTAGCTTCCCACCCCCACCCCCCTCGTCAATAGTTCCACCCTCCAGGCGGTTCATCAACACACCACTGTTCACGGTTACCTTCATCGGTCTACTAGGACTCCAAGTTTACCTCCACACCCACACGCTTCGATCCAGTTCGTGTCCGTCAACCCCAAACTTAAGCAAAATGTCCGCCCCAGTCGAACAGGTCACCGCCCAGATGGCCAACACCACCCTCGACAACAACGCTCCTGCCACCACTGAGAGCAACGGCGCCCAGCAGCCCACCGCAGCCGAGGACGAGGCTGTCCGTGCCAGCGCCGCCGAGGGAAGGCGACTTTACATTGGAAACCTCGCGTATGCGACCACCGAGGGGGAGTTGAAGGACTTCTTCAAGGACTACCTCGTGTGAGTGACGTCTGAGTGCGCGCATGACGCGTAGTGGGTCCTGAGCTAACACGTTGCACAGCGAGTCCACCACCATCCCCACCAACCCCCGCACCTCGCGCCCTGTTGGCTACGCCTTCGTTGCCCTGTCGACACCCTCGGAGGCTGATCGTGCCATCGCTGAGCTGAACGGCAGGGCCATTCTTGATCGCAAGGTCTCGATCCAGCTTGCCCGCACCCCCGAGGCTCACGCTGAGGGCGCCGGCAGCGGTGCTGAGGGTACCAGTGGCACTGAGCAGCGCCGCCGTGCCTCCACCCGTGGTCGTGGTCGCGGACGTGGCCGTGGTGGCCGCGCTGGACGTGGTGGACGCGCTGTAAGCATCCCTGTCATAGCTATGAGGTCTGATGTTAACATGTCTGTAGAACGCCGACGGTGCTGAGGCCGAGCAAATCGAGCTCACCGATGCTGCTCCCGCCGAGAGCACACCCACAAATGTACCCGGCCAAGTTGCTCCCCTCACAGAGACCACGAACGAAGCGCTTACCAACAAGGACTCTGCCGCCAAGCAGCCCGCTGCTCCCCGCGAGCGCAAGCAGCGCGGTCCCCCTGAGGATGGTGTCCCCTCCAAGACCAAGGTCATGGTCGCCAACCTGCCTTACGACCTCAAGGAGGACAGAGTATGTCACTGCCAGCATCGCATACTTGTTTCATCGTACTGACAAATTGCAGCTCCTCGAGATCTTCAAGGACTACTCCCCCACCCAGGCCAAGATCGCCCTCCGCCCCATCCCCCGCTTCATGGTTAAAAAGCTCCAGGCTCGCGGTGAGCCTCGCAAGGGCCGTGGTTTCGGTTTCGTCACCCTCGGCTCTGAGGAGCTCCAGCAGAAGGCTTGCAACGAGATGAACGGCAAGGAGATCGAGGGCCGCGAGATCGCCGTTAAGGTCGCGATTGACTCCCCCGGCAAGGAGGACGACGCTCCTGAGGCCGCCACTGAGGGCGTCGCTGCCACCTCCACCGAGGCTGCCCCTGCCACCACCGAGTCCGCCGAGAAGCCCGCCGACACCCCTGCGGCTACCACGACTGCTGCTTAGGTGCCTCCAGTTGCTCAAGGCCACGTCAGACACCATCAGCAGCGCTCGATGGACTCCTTCACGATGCCTGATACACGAGTCATGACTTAGATGACACGACTCAGCGTTTGCTTCGCTGCGATTTGTTTACCGAGCTTCTGGTCTATCGATATTTATCATCTTTGCTAGATATTCTGGCCATCAGCTCTACCTACTTCGTTCGAGATAACCGGTCTGGAAAAGTGATTTCGGAGTCTGTCAGGCGCAAGCATTATGGTGGAAAAGATGGAGAAGCTTGTCTTAACTGCATCAAGCTTTGAGAGATATGAAATATATGAACATTGATCTACATGCCACATTGGCTGAAGAAACACCTCAGAGCTATTCTCCCATGCCCTTTACCATGCATTGATCCTCCTGGACATCAAACGCCGACAGGTGCATACTGGAGTGAGTGTCAAGTGGGACAGCTGATCGTTTGTCCAAAGCTGATTGAGGTTCGATCGAGACTTGAGTAGCAGTAAGAACCGGCTATATTCACATAAACTTCGAGATCATGAGAGGTACTTAATGCAGATTTGCAGGCTACTTACAATTCAATGAGCCTTTATAGGATTACGGCAGTTTCTAAAAGTCAAGTTTGACAATGCGCTAAAAGACTCTAGCATCGAACTTGAAGGGGTCCTCAGCAGTGCATTAGAGAGAGATGGGGTGATTGGGCTAGCGTGAGCGCTCGAACGCTCTTGCTCTGCTCTGAGGTCTAACTCCTGACACAACAACCAAAAAGAACATTTGATTTCTCACGAATGAAGATCGTCCCTCCTGTCGTCGTACTGTTCTTCCGAGTACGTGGCACGCTTTCCGTACGAGAGCACGCGCTAAACCGCACAGGCTGCCAATAAGAGTTTGCTATAGACTGCCAGTATCGCTGGCCTATGACACAAGGCTTCTCTCCGTAGATCTTCCGTTGTTCGGTGAACAAAAACGCAAGCATGCAGCACGAAGCTCAATCAATCAAACAACAGTAAGCAGGACCATCGAATAAAGACTTCAGTTGAAGAGGAGAACCTGGCAGCAGCGATTTGAGCCCAACTCAGCCTGATGCGGGGCCGCTTGGTTGTGTGATAAGGAATATCACAACGAGGCTACCGCGGGTATAAGATGTCGGTTTGACACCAATACTGAGTCTCTTTCATCATAATCTTCAACCTCTTCAATCTCTTCATTCTATGTCCCACAACTGGAAATCGTCCTTCAGTCAGTGAACAAGCCAAACAACACCTCACCGCTTCTTCCACTATGGGTTACTGCATCAAACCAGGCTGTGAGAACGACGCAGTCAAGGAGTCGGTCGGTAATACCCAACATCAATACTGCGTCGATCGTGTGTAATCCTTCAATGATCGAGTGCGACTCGTTACTAACCAGATACAGACAAGTGTAGCTATGGTGGATGCGGACAGGCTCGCAACGCTGGACGGAGTTACTGTGGCGCGCGTAAGTTGGTCAATGGCCTGGTCTGGGACGATATTGATGATGCGCAGATCTAAATCAGGGACAGTAAGATGATCGAGAGAGCTGTATGGGCTATGTCATCGGGGTTTTCAATGGAAACTTCTGCTACTTTCGCTGTGTTGGGGAGTTTCCTTGCAAGTACTCCTGATGTTAGCATACGTAGATGTATATCTTCATGCGTAACAGCTTCTATACTTCAGTATGGGCTTTGAGCGAAATCCGGGGAACGAACATTGTGTGATTCAGTCCAGTCCAAGTACTTGGTGTAAGTAACACGAAAATCAAGACGTTCGTAATAAGGTGATATCGACTATCAAACAGATTGAATGATTCACGAATCTTGATTCGTTATCCTGACAAAGATGCCTTTTCGACCGGAGGCCACAGTGGCCAAGCCTAGATTAGTGAAACGAAAAAAACCAATCAGACGATGCAAACCGGGATAAAGTATAGTGGGCGGTGGGGCAGGGGTTGCGGGGGAACCGGGGTATTTTGGTGGTTTTGGTGTAGTGGCTCACTTGGGCGTTGTGGAGGGGGAAGACGAGAGACGCTAGTGTGGAGAAGGGGGATTTGTCCTGGTTGGGGAATGGGCGTGTGGTCCATGAGGTCCATGTTGGTAGCGGGCGAGGGGTGGTGGGTTGGCTGAGGAGAGGAGATCCATTTTGATGTTTTTAACGGGATGGTGAAGTGTGTGCAAGTAATTGAAAGCTTTTGAAAATAGCAGGTCAGAGCAAGGGACCGTCTCGACAGAAGGATAAGGCGGAGGAACAATAAGTGTTGAGTCGGCACAGGTAAGGCGTACACATGGAACTGCGCTGAGGTAGGAGCGCCCTTAGTGAAGGGATGGCCAAAGATAAGCAAAAGATGGACGAAGGATGGGCTGCATATTCTACGCCTCACCACTGCTTTTGCTCTCATGCAGGACCACAATTCCCATCTTGAGACGGTTATTTGCTTGCCCTGACTCGATGCTTGCTTCTACGGGTGCGTACCTTGACTGTCCTTTTCTAGACTTGCTTTCAGCGAGGCGGAGTGTTGTGTGATTTGCCAGTTACTCACTCGAAGGACATAGGCTCGAACAACCCTTCTTACATCGATGAGATTGTGTGTGATATTGTCCAGGAAACGCAACCGCTGAGAGTAGTGGTCATGGACGTGATCGAGTCATGTCCGTTTCTGCCCGAATGGATCAGAAACCTTAACGGGCTCCTACGGAGATCAATATGAATACATTGTTATTCTACAACAAAAAAGGTGTGGTATCATTTAACGGTACTCCTAATCAGCAATCTTTACCCTACAACCAATAAGGCAGATCACTGATGCCAAACGCCAAGGTGAACACCTTTTCCTAATGAGCATGCGCGTGAGCGTGCCCGATTTGCGTGACGAGTGGGAGCAACATGCCGAAGATAACGATGAGGATGTCTGTCTTCGACATGGTCGTCTTTCCAAGTGGGGCGTCGAGGTATCCGTGGATGACAGGCTCTTCTTGAGGGTTTGTCGCCTCGCTCATGGAGTGCATAGCAACGTACCTATCAAAGTTAGTGAATGCAGCCATGAAGATACGATGCAGTTGCTTACAAAAATGTACCGCCAGAGAAACACAGCACCCAGCCGGTTGACCAGGTCAAGCCTTCGTCTCCACCAAGTGTGCTGCGTCCGAGCGCATGAACGATGGCCCAAGTTGCGAAAGCACCTGCGGGGGCGGCCAAGCTGAAGAAGGCCAGGTGAGTGCGGACCGTGCGCTTAGAGAGTCCTTGCTTCAGCAAGACTGAGGTAAGACCGAACGCAGCGGGTGCTTTGTGCAGCATAATAGCAAGAAAGACGATGAACGACAAAGAGCCAGAAGGCGCAGCTGAAGAAGCACCCAGCGCAATTCCATCTGCACAAGCATGAACCACCAGACCAATGGTGGTTGCAGAAGTCTTCTTCTTAGGAGGTGCCATAGGTGTGGGTGTCAACATTGGTGGTGAACCAGGAGTAGCCAGTCCATTCAGACTAAGACTGGACGAGTTGTGCGGCCCCCGGTGCAGGTTCGATAGCGAGATGTGCATGGGCTGATACTGCTGCTGGGACGAAGAGAGAGCTTCCGGGACGTGATCGACGAGAAACATAAGAATGTAACCTAGGATCAGAGCCACTCCAATGTAGGCGTGCGGGCTGGGGCCCTCCATCTGTTCAACATGTTTATGGTTGTTCTCGTCTTCTTCGGGCGCGTGCACACGTGTATGGCCTTCCTTATGGCCTTCTGTGGAGTCATCGTCGCCGCCCTTTTGTGCCTGATGGTGCTCCTCTTCCTCAACCTTCTGTTTCTCCTTGGTCTTTTCCTTCAGCTCTTGTGCCCGCTTGAATCGAGGCTCAATGGGTGTTCCTTTTCCGACAACATGGCTGCTGGGTGCCTTCACAGCGCCCGCCCTTAGGAAGTCGGTATTGAGGACCTCTGATCTAGCTCCAAGGTTGAAGTCTGAGGGGTGGTTGATGCCAGTTTGCAGCTTATGTATGTTGGGGATTGTGGGCACAACGCTCCGGGAGACATGCGAGTGGGTCTTGCCGGCACTGTACATTGTCTCAATGCCCTCCGGGACGATGACAATGAGCGATGTCCCTACTAGCACACCGGTGCCAAGGAGTGTGATGATGCGCAATTGTCGCGGTGAGAGGGTGAAGGAGAGCGGGAGGATGCCGGCAACGAAAGACCTGGTATTGTCAGCTACCGTCCTATGTGGTGATAGTCGGACAATGCTGGGAGATGCCTACGCAATTGCCATTATCGTGCTCAACGTGAGCAGCATGAAAAGACCGTCCCACATGTTGCGTGTCGTGTGCGGTTGTCCGCAGACGTCGCTGAATAAGGAATAATACGCCTGGTATGCAAAAGAAAAAGGTCGAAAATGTTACGTTACTCGGTGTTGCCCATTCCTTAGGAGCCGTAGTATCGAGGTGTTGTGGAGTCGAGTGTCGGTGTCTGTTGATCCACCACGGTCCTCCACAAATGTCTTGTCTCCGTGCAGGGGCTGCGTCACTAGCGCAAGTGCCATAGGGCTGAGATGGAAGTCGCGCCAAAATCGCGTCCGCTTCCTGCCTTCGCGACGCGCCTGCAAATCTGACGAATTCACCACGACACCTCTACACTGCTATAATCATGGATCTCGACGAGTGTACGCTCAGCTGTCACTTCAAGAATTATGCGCTGACCTGAAACAGGGGTAACAAACTCAAATGAGTGCTTCGACATCAACATGTACCGACCAGGCCCTACCGGCGACGAGCGCATCGGCGAGACATTCAACCCTAGCTTTACACACTCCGTGATTGACGAAAATGAGTCAATCGTTGGCTACAAGAATCCCAAGATCGAACTCGACTTTCGAACCAATGACCTCAAGCCCAAGCTCAAGATCTCATTTGATGCGCAGCTCGACTTGAAGAAGCTGTCGCCCGACCTGGACCAGGCGCAAGTCGACCTCTCACCTGAGCTGTTTAAAAAGTATCTGCCGGAGGAGGTGAAGGAGAGCAAGAAAGAGCGCGATACTGCGACCTCGAGAGACTGGAAGCCTCCAGGCCAGCTGATGCAGAGCTTCTCCAACCATGGCAAGCAGTATGAGATCTGGAAGGCACCTATGCTCGATCGTGCTGCGAGACAGATATGGATAAACCTGAGAATCCTGGTTCTGCTGTTTATCGACGGCGCTACTATAGAAGGGCTGGATGACGAGGAGACTCTGGACCGCTGGTCGTTGTATTTGCTATATGCAGTGGAGTCGTCAGGCATCCCTACTACACCATACGTCCTTGCCGGCTTCGCGACATCCTACAGAACATGGATCTTCCCAACCTTCAAGATCGCACGCTACACGAAAATGCTCCCAAGCCCACCTCCAGAGGGCTCGAACGGTGCTGCGGAGAAGTACACGCCCCCACGTCTAACGCAAGATCCAAAGACATTCCAGTTAAACGATAAGCTCGACAGACTCGAGACGTCTTCGCGAGAAAGAATAGCGCAGTTCTTGATCCTCCCTCCCTACCAAAACCAGTCTCTCGGATCCCGATTGTACAACCTCATCTTCTCAGACCTCGTAAATAAGCCTTTCATTTACGAGATCCCAGTCGAAGATCCCAGCGAAGACTTCGACGCCATGCGCGACTACTGCGACATTGTCTACCTGCGCAAACTGCCCGCCTTCAAGTCGCTCTCATTAGCATCAAACCTACCAGCAGAGTCACTCCGCAAAGACTCCCCAATCCCTCGCGATCAGATCCTAGGCAACGGCGTCGACTTGGAGGGACTTCGACACGAAGCCAAGATCGTCACAAGACAATTCTACAGGATGGTGGAACTCCACGCCCTCTCAACGATCCCACCAAACCACCGCAATCGGGCGCGCATCACACGTAAAGCAAAGAGCAGCAACGAGAATGACCGCAAATACTACTTCTGGCGTCTGGCGCTGAAGCACCGCATCTACATGCAGAACGCAGATGCGTTGGATCAGATGGAAGTAACAGAGAAGGTCGACAAGCTAGAAGCAGCTGTTGACAACCAACAAGAAGAGTTTGAGGAGAGACTTGAAGGGATTGAGAAGAGAGCGAGGTGGGAAAAGGGAGAGGGGTCGAGCAACGAAGCTAGGAGTAAGCGGAAGCGAGTCGTGGTCGAAGATGAGGAAGACGATGATTGGGAGGATATGGATACTGACCTTGTGGCTTCAAAGAAGCCGAAGGCATAAGGAAAAAAAAAGCATGAAAGGCGTATATGGCGTTGATTGGGCCTTCTTGGCATGGATACCATCAGTTTGCTTACTGGGCGTTATTGAATGGAGCGAAGTAGTTACGGTGGTTCGCGCAAGATGCATTATCCGTGCTCAGAGCACCAAGGTCTACGATGCCCCAATGCAGGGCAGAACATCCGTCGTGATGAGCGCGACATGTGGCGCAACGCACCGGATACAGGCAGCGGCTCAAAAGGCTCGAACACCACGGCTGCGCACACTTCTACTCGTATGATGCGACAGCAGTGAAGTGACAATCCGGACTTGTACGAGGTTGATGCTGTGACGGTTTATGGAGTAAGGAGGTCATGTGTGCCACGTGTTTGGTGCAGTGCTCTTGCTCTTTCCAACAAGCACTTTCTACCCCTGGATCAACGATAGATACGTCATGAAAACAGACCCTGATGACGGCTGCGTGAGGGACAATCACAGAAAAAGAACAACACAATATACCGATTTTACTGCCCTGCGTGGTTACACCTGCATTTGTTGCATTTACTGCAATAGATGCTGAGGCAAGAGGCACCATGGGAGAAGAAATGAGTGGAAAGATTACAACAATCGCGAAATCTTCATGGTTGGAGCGATATTGGTGATTTGTAGTGTTTGCTGACCCTCTCCGCTTTGTAAGTATGTGAGATCCCACGAAATGTTTGACTTGGGATCTGGGTGATATGGGTATCCCACTTACCGCGCAGGCAAGCAGGTTCTCATAGGGATGATAATGGTCTCCCTACTGGCGACAGCGTTGCTCAATACTATGTTAGAATGGTGGTAGTGAAGGAAGAGTAGCGGGTTGATGACGGTGATGCTATGCATGATAAGAGGCTTGGCAGAAGCAAAGGCTGTGAGTGGTGGTGAAGGTATGGGTCATGGTCTAGTACCTAGGAATACGCTCCCGGCAGTCTCAGACTCTTGCATTACCGTACTACTCTTCTCCCTTCAGCATGTAGTCTGTGCACAAGGGGGGTCAGCAACTACTACAAGTCATTATACAACATCGTGCTGCTGACTACTTGCGCAATCCGCAACCTTGGGGGTGGGAGAGGAAAATTGGACCGATGATGTCGCCAAGAAAACAGCAAGCCCTTGTCGCGACGACTTATAATTTCATGCAAGGTCGTAGGGCCCGAATGTGGCCTGATGGGGCGCAAAGATCTTGGAGTGTAATGTATAATATCGGGAATCTATGTGCTGACTTTGTTCTTACCAAGATGCTGCTCTTCCAAGGCTCGATATGAATGGAACTGCGAATCAAACATCATGATCTTGCCTTCAAAGAACTTCCCTGCCCCCGCGCACAATACGTCCAGACTACGACGCCTCTTCCGCTTACCGTCCCGCATCCGCACAACCTTCATGTCAACACCACATCCCAGCCCAGCCTTTTGTAAACTATCGCCCCGCATCTGGTGTTTGTCGTCACAGACTTGACAACCTCCATCATTTTCCGCACAATGAGCCGTTATAGTGGAGCCCGGAAGTTGTTCCATCAGTTGTGAAGCAGAACATGCTACTCACAGACCTCTCAGCAACATTACGAGTGACAGCCTTGAACGCTCAATCTCTCTTCCTTATATCTCCACCGTAATCCACTGTTTCCTTTTTGTTGTCCCTTCGTGACGCTACGTCTTACTCCACGCTGCTTCATCTTCCGTCGTCCACACTGCACTCATGCCTATAATTTGGCTCTGTCTGAAGTAGTCATTGAAGCATAGCAACTTGTGACAGAATTTGAAGGGTTCGGTGTCTGGATGTGTCCTTTTGTATGTCTGGATTGAAAATATGAACCAGCTTTGTGACTGGCGATCCACTTTGTTAGCTTATGTAGTAAGTGCAAATGTGGTGATGGAGGGCATGTGTAGTTGTGAGAAGCGGGCTCGGTAGCGGGGAAGGAAGAGGCCGGTATATAGAGCAGGTGCAAAGCTGCTTCTGTCTTTCAGAGCACTATCTAGCTGGAAGTCGTTACTAGGGGCTGATAAGCCGCATACCTGCTTCGTTTAACGGACTGGGTGGTGAGCTTTTTGTAGCATTTGATTATTGTAGCCCGTGGTAGACTGACCGGTGAGTATTCAGTGTTGGTCGACGCACCTTCTCCTTTAGCTTGGAGTAGTGTTCAAGTACGCAACCTTTTATCGTATCATGATTCGTATTCTGTCTTCTGTTCATGCCTCGTAGTTTTTTGGTATCACATCATAGCAAATCGTTTTCTTTCCAACTCTTTTGCTCTCTTCTTCCTCTCATGTCCTCAAGGCCCCTCCTCATTGCCTTCCAAGACCCTCCAACGCCCTCCTCGTCCCCTCAACAATCAGCCCATGTTCGACGGCATGCATTCTCTCCTCCAACTCCTCTAAACTCTCTCCATCTTTCAATTGCACCTCCCTTGTGCAAATCGCCGCCCCAGCATCCACCTCTGCAATAACCTCATGAATCATAACACCCGTCCTCGTCAACCCCTCTTCCTGCCCCGCCTTATGTGCCCTCTCAATTGCACCCGCGCCCGCAAACTCACCCGGTAGCGCAGGATGCAGATTGATGATCTTGATCCCCGCCTCGGCGATGGGATTGAGGAAGTGCGGCGTCACGATGTGCATCCAGCCCGCGCAAACAATAAGATCTGAGCGGGGCTCGAGGGCGAGGATCTTTTGGGCGAGATCGGCATCGTACTGTGCGCGGGCTTCGAGCAGGCCTTCGGGGGTGTCGGGGTGTTGCTTCTTGTACGCGACGAGGTTGTGGTAGGTCGTTGGAATTCCGGCTTTTGAGGCGCGCTGGAGGCCGTATGCTGCTTTGCGACTGGGGAACTCTTAGTGAGGGGTCTTGAGGACGTGGTGAGGAAAAAGTACTTTGAGACGACGTGTGTGATCTTCGCGTTGGGGAGATCGGCGGTGCCGCACGCGTCGATGAGGGCTTGGAGGTTCGAGCCGTTGCCTGAGATCAGGACTGTGAGGTTGTGTGGTTTCTGTGACATGGCCGCGATGACAGTGACTACAATGAGAAGAACGAGACAGGTAAGGAAAGGGTTTGATCTGCGTGAAGGTTACGACGTCAGTTGAGGCTCTGCGACTAAATTTTGGGAGACGTGGGGTAAAGTTCGTACCCCGCGCGATCTCGGAGGTGATGGACCAAGTCCGCAGTGCTCATTTTGGCCAACCTTCATACACGATCTGGTGGAGGTAAGTGAGTTACTTCGAAATAAATTGTTACGATTAATCAACTTCAAGTGCAAGCAATGGGGTTTTATGGACTCCTAGCAAAACCACTCTACAATAACGGCTCGGGTTGAGCAGTCGATGTTTTCGATGCTACCCATGGTACCGTTGTTCTTGGAATTCATGCTCAGGCTCCACGAGTGGTCAATGAGTATTGAGCCTTGTGTACCACGGTTCAATGTTTGATGCTGAGTCAGATTCGTAGAAAAATTCGGTGTTTCTCGCACCTGGAGCTCCTCGCAACTAGTCCTGGGACATTTATATTCTCCTCGCCGTCACTGAAGGTTGTCGCGACCTGATCCATTGCAGTGCGTGGACCATGCTTCCGTGCTGTAACTGCATTCTGGATGATCTGGGCAGGTGTATCGAGTCTGACATATAATGCACATGCTAAAAATTTTATTAGTCGCTTGCTTATCTGACTTTTTATATATTGTCTCGTTTCTAAAAGTTATAAAGAAACAGACTATTAATATCAAATCCTTGGTGGATGAGTGAACCATTGTTGATCTGTTACCCATCATGTGTAAGTAATACACAGCCAACTACACTTGCCATCCAGGCTGCACCTACTCGGTACCAGCTTGTAGCACGTACTGTGAACACCGAGGAAGAGACAACCAATAGGGAGCGTGCAATCATGTCACAGATGATGGAGTACGCCGCATAGCCGACCCTTGCTCAATTCACAGAGGTATGCGCGATCCATGGCTTGCCGTAGCTGACATCGGGAATCCTTGCTCCACACCTCGCGGAACGCGCATAACAGTGTCAGTTCCGCGACGACAGAGAATCGAGCAGAGAGCAGGCGCGGAGAGCAACGTATTTGAAATGAGTGGCGGTAAAATGAGACTCGGTATGAACGGGATCTCAGAGGGCGGCCAAACAATCCAAGAAGGGTAGGTGAGATGTATAACATTGATTGGCGACGTTACAACCAACGAGCGTTTGGTTCGCATTCTCGATAACCCGCGAGTGAGTATTGGAACAACTCGTAACCCTGGAGCTACATGAGGATCGGAGGAGCATTGAAAGGAGGTGAAGACCGTAGATAGGCATTTTGTTGTTGTTGTCATAATCGGGTGTACGAGTAGACAGGAAACCAGAAGAAGGCACGATGACACACTTCTGCACCTTCGGTTTGATAGCCAAGTAATCGACCATCTCCATGCTGTCCTCTGTTGTCTCTGGAGCCAGCATGACACCCGGGCACCCACGGAAGAGCGTCGACACTGAATGAGTTAGGCCCAGGAATGCGATATTCTGACCAAGGCATATCCCTGCTGGGCCACCAAACACCAGCATGTGCTCTCTCATTGCAGATGTGAGATTGTTCCATCGATCAGAGTCAAACCTGCGCGCTTGAGTCAGCAACATACGGGAACGTCAGAAGAGGTCAACATATTTGAGGGGATCCGCAAATACTGCCGGATCGCGTTGAAAAGTCCAAGCCTGTGGCGGGACTTGAGTACCTGCAGGAAATACATACTTGCCCAAACGACCACCACCCGCAGGCACAACCCGTGGCAAGCTTCCCGGAACTGCATGATGGAGCCTCATTACCTATTGGATAACGTTCTGCAGATAGGTCAGGTTTTCAACGCCTCAAACTTCGGGTTCGCTAGCAATGCAGCAAAGCTCCTCGTTCAGCTTGAGCTTGACTTCCTTGTGCTTCAGCACAGTATAGACCAGGTAGGTCAGGGTCATAGCTGTGGTATCAGTGCCGGCAGTGATGATGTTATCGGAAATCACCTGAGCGCTCTCCTTGTCCAATACCATGTGTGGAGAACAATGTCTTGTTGCTACCTGCTTCGGCAGCGCGAGTGGCTCGTACGGCTTCCTGTCCGTATACGGTGAAACGGTCCTATAACTAGTTTGGAGTTCTAGGGATCCAAGATGGCATAGCATCAAATATAGGTTTCGTCCAGGACAGATCGATTCGTATGCTAATGATTGGCACGACTGGTTCGACGTCTCATACCATTTGGTTCTTCTCCTCATTTTTGGTGTTGCCGAAAGACTGTCCGAACGCAAGACTACCCAGGATGACTCTGTGGTGATGAAATAGGTGGACCTCACTGCATTGGTGTACCCCAATGGGTGGCAGAAAAAGTACTGCAAAGTTGAGTCCCTATATGTTGAGGAGTTAGATCAACTTACTGCCTTGTACAAGGTGTTGGAGCTTATAAAAAACAGTGCTCTGTTCAACACAAGAAACTTATGAGCGTCAACATAGTCCGTATTCTCACTTCAGCCATAGCTCCCCTGGGTGGTACTTCAACTCAGCACCAATCACAGCAGCTTCCCAACCTGATGGCTGACCGGGTGGCAGGCGATGGACCTATGATGTTCATCCAGAACTACTGGAGATGTAGGTCAGAGTCCTGTGAGAATGAACATCAGGTGTGCTGGGTTGACTTGGAGGGTGAAGAGGAGCTTCCTGGCAGAGTAGAGAGGCACTACAAAGTGCCGGGAGCAATCATCAGCAATTTAAGTGGGGAGATCAACTTAGGAGGACTGATGGTAGTGGTGTGTGATTTTCATTGGCTGTTTCATTGTTTGAGACATTGTTCGAGATCGATCGTCCGACCAACCTTGATCATTCCGAAGATTTGCTGGTCCCAGAATATATAGATGAAGCTGTCTTTTCTGTCGGCATCTGTGAGTGGTTCGCAGACCTTGGACTTCAGTGCTTCAACCGTCGCACGGTCGCCACTGAGGCCTGCTCGAAAAGACGTGAACTTTGATGAAAAAATAATGTGCAGTGATGCCAGCATCAACTCTGACAGCATCAGGTCTGGACTGCACTGTAACTTCTCCGCTTGATAAAGATGTATTTGTCACGGCCTGTGGAAACGGAGGCAAGTCGCACCCTGCGATTGCTCTGACCCATGCACGGAAAACCGAAAGATACTGGCTTGAAAAGTAAGCCAGATTACGAACAATAACTCGTAGCATCTTCATCTTCGAGCTGGCAACGAGCTGGTGACTAGGACACATGACGACCTGCACGAGGCTATCGAGGTGACTAGGTAGAGTCATGTAGGTCGAATCCCTGATACACTTTGCAATGATCTCAATCCTTTCATTGACAAAGCAGCGCTGCTCTTCAAGATGGTCGTTGGCGTAACTCTTTGCGACGAGGTACAATAAATCGGTCTGGCCTTTTCCCGAATCTTGCCTGCATTCGGAAAGGCATAATATGGTCAAGATCCACGGAAAGGTTCATAGCCGCTGCAGATTCTTAGTGTGAATTTGCCGCTTCCACAGCGAAAGCAGGGACTTCGCTGTTCGTTATAGCTTCCCGGACTTGAGTTGTGCGGTGTATGCGTATCTGACAACACATGAGTCTCGACAGTTTTGCGGCAAGCGTGTGTTGTGTCGTTGAATTGAGCGATCGTGAATGCGTTATCGTACACTTTTTCGTTCTCGAAACAGCTGTCAATTGCCTTGCTGAATATCTCAACGGAATGATCCGATCGTGGGTGATCAGACGTCCTATCACTTAGAAGCATCTTCGGGCTAGCGAAGTTCGGAGCTCATGGTCAAGACTCGTGATGTCATAGCGGTGGATTGTCGAATAATTCGACTACGGTGGTGAAGCAGTGATGAAAACAAGGTGCCAGATAGGAAAGATGCTGGGTGCTAGTTGTCCAGAGCAGCTTCAGACGACAGGAAGGTATATGTATATTCTGCGCGCATGGTTGCTGCCAGTGAGATGCGCTCTCTCGGCCTTCTGGAAACCGAAGCTCACAATCATTGCTGAAACCGCCACTGCGTAGATCGAGATACAGTTCGAGGTGCTCCGGTCAGCTTATGTTCCAAGATCATATACCCAGAGCTGCAAGGCTGCGACAAACTAGTACCCCTGATGGGATTTGGCGGGAACTAACCCAGCTCCGGGGTTGGGGTATGCTTTGCGGCGAAGCGAGCTTATGGTGGTCTAAGCACCACCTCAGCCTCCAGTGTGATGATAGGTACAGCACGGCTCAGAAGCGAGTGCAATGATAGGAAGTTAATCCGGTTGTAGAATGCTCTGTATCAGTAATTCAGGCCTACCTGAAACGTGGGACCCTCGTTTTTATCTTAAGATACGACAGAATCCTGCTGGAACATGGACCCAGCTCTAACTCTGCATCGAATGGCTCGAACACAGGTTTGTCCGTTCGATGCTGCATGGCATCTCTATGCGCTCTCTGCAGCACCCAGCCTCTTTCGAGTGTGTTAACCCGAGCGACTGTACTTGATACGGGTAAAGTACTCGAAATGATGGGCACAGGTTCGCTGTCTACAATAGAAACAATGGTGCGCAGTCGAAGATGTCATCCCAGATCAAGTTGGTCTTGCTTGGAAGCTCGGCCACCCGTTTGATGTTCCTGTTCCAAAGCTCTCCAAGGAAGATGGCTGCTTCTCGCATGGACAGTGTACCAAGATCCATGGTTGTGCGTTCCAGTGACTCGCACAAAACCCGCAACTGCTGCTCGTCTTTTCGGACAATAGCTTCGACGCCGCAGATGACCATGGGCCACAGAATGTATTTGTAGAGAACTCCGCCGTGTTGCCTGAGATCGTAAAGCTCGCGTACTGCCTTGCTCAGTCGGCTGTAGAACAATGCGCAGTCGTCGTCAACAAGATCTTCATTATTCAAGGACACATTTGTGCCACAAGTCTGAACCAGGTAAAGGACTGCTGCTGCTTGGAAGCAAGTAGCGAGAAGCGCCCAACTTGTAACTTGGCTGAACGTGTGACGTGGACGTTGCAATGCCCAGTCTGTGGGATCGAAGGCCTGAAGGGACTCCAGGATGGCGGATGGTGATGAGGTGATGCCTTGCGCTTCTTTCATAGTATGCGCGTCCGAGATTGTTCCTGCAGCTCTCGACATGTTGATAGCAGTAGTAGCTCGTACAACAACCTCTGGAATAGGTACCATGGTGCTGCAAACATCCACAGTGAATCGTCCAAGCAAGGTCAAATACACTTTGTGTTGACTGACGTCTTCAGCTGAGATGTGCGAAGCCGGTGCCATCGTTGTCCCATACACATCAGCCAGCACGAGATGACAAAGGAAGAATTCAAAATCGGATCTTCCTATCAGGGCTTCGACGCCCCACAGGTTGAACAAAGTTTTTGCTGCATTCAGGTGAGCGCGCCATGCTCCATAAGCGCTTGCCTGTATCTGCGAGAAGAAGAACAAGCTGACGTCCTCAAACAGCTCTAGATCTGGTCCCGCTTGACCGAATGTCTTGATCTTGTGGCTCAAAATTTCAGCCGCACAAGCCTGGTGGTAATGGAATAGAGTTTGGTTTTCGTTAACGTTGCCTAATTCACGCACCGCTCGATGCAAGGTGATAAGGCATAATGTGAGATGCCGTTTTGACTTGTTGAACTCAGCCCACTTGGAGATATCGATGGTGTAGAGCGATGATGAGCCATCAGCTGCGAGATCCGGAACAACGACGGCGTTGTCTATACGCTCAGATTAGCAACAGTTGGGGGCATAGGCGATATTTGATAACGTACAGTAGGTCAATGCATCAAGGACCACATGTGAAGGCGCGACATCATCATTGACAGGAGCCTGAAAACCAAGTACCAGCAATGTCTGATCATTCGTTTCGTGTTTGATAACGCGGTGTCGCCATCGAAGTGGTTTCGTCGTGGAGTACCCTGGGCATGGTAGCCCTTTTTTGGTGCACTTCAAGCAGCTTGGCTGCTGTGAGTCGCACCGCACACGTCGCCATCGACAGCCCCAACACTGCTGCCCTAGAGACATACTTATCGCATTTCTTAAATCTCTGTCTGTTCTAGTTTGAGTAGAAAGGCATGCTCAAGCTGGTATGGTATGGAAGATAAGCCTTCGGCAAGCCCCCCTCATGTGGCCCCGCGCGGTCCGATAGGCGGCATTGTCGACCGTCAGGTGACTTGGGTACTTGAACGGCATGAGGCTGACTGGTGATCTCGCGAACCTCACATTTGCGAAGTTGATTGTGAAGGCTGTCTCTGCAAGGTGCGAATGTACGATAAGGAAGGTGAGGTCACCCGTAATCAGTTAGCGACCGACGTGAGCCATGCACCTCTTCGCTATTGGGGAATTGTTCACCTCTGATAAATTCAATCACTGTTCTCAGGTACCAGCATACTTTGCGCAAACCCTTACAGCATGTTCTGAACGCAGACCAAGTGCACAACAGTTGGATTAAATTGCTGATAAGGGAAGCTCGTGGTGATACAATTGGAATGAAGGTGCAGCAATGGAGGCCTATTTTAGGCATTGTGGTTAATTGATTCATTCCGTCTACTCTCCCATCCCAAGTTGACAGGACCAGACTGCTCCAATTTCAGCTAAACACATTATATCCATGATCTCGCAATGCCACAACCACACGCCCTTTCTCGCTTGAATTGAGTCGCGTGACGCCCACCGTACGGCACGGATTCTAGCTAGCGCTTATACACAATTGTTGCGGTGTATATAACCTTTAGGACCCGAGGGTCAGGAAGGTTGGCGTTTTTATATTGCTGCGGGGCCGCGACAACAATGCATGAATCAAATCCAGCCGCAAAGAACCACTTCGACCACGCTGCATGAACAAAACAAACCAAGCTGCATTCTACTTAGACACAGCCTCTCCCCCATATATATTGCCATACTAACCTTGCCTTTGACCCGACCAGATAATAAGGTTTCAACACCACACCTAAACAAGCACGACCCTGCGCGTGACGGATGTTGTATTGCCCTTGTCAATTGGAGTCTACGGCGACGAATAAAACCCTACTCATCGCTCACACTGGGTTTTCTTGATCTTCAGCCCGGGGAATGAGGTCGGAAACCTGCTATATGTACAATACTTTCTCTTTAAGGACTGGTATACCAGTTCGAGACTCAAACCGGCCAGCCACTAGAGAGCCAGACTTGTAAAGGAAGAGGGCTTTTAGGATATATCGATTCCATGAAGTATAATCAGGTCGTCAAGATCATATCAGAGGAACCAGTACCGAGAAACAATAGGGTAAGAACTAAGTTGCTAATGACTAAACATGAGCTGACTGTTTATAGGATCCGTATCAAGATTGGACGCTTGAGTGCGTGATAGCTCTTGAGGCTGAGGAGTTACTCCCTTCTGATACCTCGGTTTGAGTTGAACGGATCCTTGGAAAATCCTCCAAGGATGTTGCAGCGGTGGTAGGTGGAAGATGGGCCGCAGCTAGAAGATAGTGGATGAGAAATCTACTGGATCTGCGTTGGAAATCAACGTCACAGCCCACTATACCGTACGAGCTCTCGCTCGAGCTCTAACAGTAATGAGTAAACGTCGTCTGGTATCTTAGGGATGATGTGTTCGATCATGGAAGACCACACGGGGTTCCTTGCCCGGGATTTTGCTTCGAAGTACTCCCGCTCATGTATGCTGAACCCTGAAACACCCATGTCCACAATGCCAACCACGTTGAGTCGATCGTCAACGAGTATGTTATCCGGGGTCAAATCACCATGGCAGAATACAGCCCGTCCATTGCCAAGTCTTTGAATTCTTTCGATCAGGTGTACGTCGTTGTCGTCAAATTCTCCACCAGGCCTGGAGTTTCGAAGTGCATCAATAAGGCCATTGTAGTACTCTGCTCGGGATTTAAACGGACCATATCCCCGTTCCGGCATGTTTGTGGTGAAAGAATATGTCGCGACAGGGTTTAAAGCCTATAGATCCAAAGAAGTCACCATGTAAGTCCCTCCAGCTCCCAACGAATTGTGACAGTTGTTCAACCACTCTCCCCAACTGTACCTCGTTCAAAATGTGCAAGACGTCATGGAGCGGTGTTCCGTTGACCCTAGACATGAAGATGTGACCATAGCCATCCTTCTCGTAAGCCCCGAAGACTTCTGGAACAGGCACACGGGTTGACGAGGCAACAAATCGTAGCGCTTCCGCTTCCGTAACTCTCACGTTTGGCCCTCTTTTGAGGATCCGGTCAGAATCCTGCAAGTGCCATATTGATTTGTCAATCTTGTGTGGGGCGATGTTCTTGGCCCTTGTCATGTCAACAACAGTAGTAAGGTCCGTATCGAGAACGACAGGCATAACCATCCCCTGAGCATAGAGCGGGTCTCTGTCAAAACACCTGTTAGCACAAAGGCTCGTGTGGTAATGTCAAACATGAGCTTACTGTGGAGGAGGAGGAGGAGGAGGAGGCGGACAAACGGGAGTCATGTTTGGGAAAAGGCTCTTGAGAGTAACAACAGTTGAAGGATTATGATGTCGTGCTCTGCGAAAGTTTTGTGGGCTGAGCCTGTGACTTCCAAAAACTTGAGTGGCCAAACACGCCAGCCGCATCTAAGCATCGACAGGACACTGGCCCGGTAGAGTCGTAATTGGTGAATTGAGCGAATGAATCAGAATTATAACGGTGTTCGAAATACCATGTACATCACGTGCACTAGCGAAGGGTATTCTCAGAACTTCAACGCATCACCCATAGGCCAATTCTAAGTGTATTTTGATGATTGCAGCTGTTTTCTTGACCTTCTGTACACGCTTGATTTATTTGTGAAGCTCTATCGCGACTCTCGCAACTGTTTCCTGGTGTTGTTGGGGCAGAGACTCCGCGCGGCAACCCACCCACGATGCGCGTCAATGGCAAACGTTTACCCGCCACCACGCAGCAGGCTGTAATAGAGCATATAGCTGCTGGGGAGAAAGATTCTGAGGTTTCTGCTGCCTGCCGAGTCGATCGTCGCACTGTAGCAAAGCTGCGATTGAGCTTGGAGTACTGGGGACAGTGCTATCCTCCGCCTTCTGTCAGGCTCGGCCGCCCGCCTTTACTGCGGCAAGCGCAGCTAGAAGCACTCCAATTGTACCTCGATGGGCGACCCGGCGCCTATCTGGAGGAGATGCAGCAGTACTTATATGACGATTACGACGTGGAGTGCTCTCTATCGACGGTGTGGCGGGCTTTGGAGAAGCTTCACTATAGCAGGAAGCTGGCTACAAAGCGTGCGATTGAGCAAAGTGAGCCACTCCGGAGGGTGTACAGAGCGAGGATGCAACAGTACAAAGCGGAGCAAATCATTGCAATCGATGAGAGCGCTTGCAACAAGAGGACTGGCGACCGTACTTCAGGCATTAGAGTGAGCCGATTGTCAAGACTCAGCCAAGCAAGCCAAAAGGTATCACAGCTCACTCTAATGGTGAGCTCTAGCCGGAACAGTACTATATCATCAGCCAGGCCTGACAGCAGCCTCTCCATTGGTGTCACCAAAGGCCTCGGCATCCGCGTCAACCTCCGGGTTTGGATCGGCCTCATCATCTTGTCCGGCATTGTCATCATCCTCACCTGCAACGGGAGAGTCCTTGCACACAAATAACACCTCAGCCTTGCTGGCTTGGCTGGCGGAGGGTCGCTGTGAAGGTCGCCTCACTGTCGAGGGCAGAGTAATCGGGTTGACGCCTTGTTCGAACGGCTGAGTTGCAATGCGCTGACGCTTACTAGATGCTGCTGGTGTTGTAGGTGCGGGTGCATCCTGTGTCGATCCGGGTGCTGGCTCATCGATTTTCTGTCGATTTGACCTTCTTGTAGGCATCACAACACCACAAAAACTCGAGATACCAACAATATCGAGCTTCAATTATCCCAGAAGGAGCAGCAGCTAGCTCTGTCGTTGTTATACACCAAATTTGGCTGAGACAGCGACACTGACATCACCCGCATCCTCCGCGTGCTAAATCACATGATATACATGGTATTTCGAAAATCACCCATAGCGAAGGAAAGGGCAGAGGGCCTCGGCAAGGACCTGTCACAACAGAGCGCGATGTGCTTGAGAAGCAGGATGTGAACGACGCTTAGGCCGTTCCAGGCAGCGGCGTAAGATTTATTTATTTATTTATGGGTTGTTCTCAAAACCCTGCGATTGTAGGAAGTTCTTGCGCACGGACATTTTAGTATGGCAAACCAGCTTGGTGTTTATCTACACAGAAGATCTCCTGTAAGACCCAGACCCTACTGAAGTATCTCCGACTGAGCAAATTGCGAATTTGGTCTTGGAGTTTCTCAGTGGCGTAGTCACGCAAAGCAGTATGGTTCAGCCAATCCACACAGTCCGAGTAGTCATTCCAGGTATCGTGTATGTATATGAGCACTTGTGGAGCGCTTTCATAGATGAGGCCCATGAGAACGACTTGGTAATTGCGCTCTGATATGTTTCATTAGATGATACAAATCGAGTCGATCCAGATAGATCGATGGGTGCTTCGGTTTCGCAAATGTCGAAGTGCAGCTTCGCAATTCTGCGTGACTTCAATGAATTTTCCGTCTGTGGTATGTATCCGCTGCGACTTGGAATCATCTCCAGTCTCCGCAGTCCAATCATATGAGACTACTTCGTACGCTGGACAAGTTGCGAGACGCACGTGTCTGACGATGCAACGTATGGGATACAGGTAATGGCGTTCTAGAATGCGCGGAAGACATTGCCATCTGTGCAAGAAATACGATATGATAATGGCATTGGCGGGTTGTAAGAGTGACCATTAAGTCCTGAGGAAGCATCATCATAGGGAACCAACAGACTCATCCCGAAAGGATAGTAACCATCTATCTGCTACAAGGTAAACCCTCTGGTAGATACAATGTATATTGTCAACGACCACACACCACTCAATCACTTCACCAACACCCTGACACCCTTACTCTCCCTATCCACCCCCGGCAGGAACAAATCATGCACCAAGTCCACATCCCTCCTGCTACTCTCCCACAGCTCAAAATCAAACCGTCTCACCAGCGCCGTAAGCGTGATGTACATCTCCGCTTTGGCTAGATTCATTCCCGCGCATTGTCTCGCGCCTTTGCCGAATGACATGAGGAACCTATCCAAAGGTCGTCCGTCAGGCGTCTTCCCGCCAAATTCCCCATTACTGTCAAGCCAGCGTTCAGGAATGAAGGTGTAGCTGTCCGGGAAGACGCTTTCGTCGTGGTGAGTGAAGGGTGCGGACATGCTGACTGGTGTGAACGCGGGTATGACGTAGGATTCGTAGAGTAAGGGCGAGTGCGCGAGGCGCGCGTTGCGGCTTGATACACCGTAACTGAGTCTCAGTCCTTCGTTGATGACGGCGGAGAGGTAGGGCAGGTTCTCTAGCAAGGGGAGGGGGGTGTGGGTACGGCGGTCTGGCGTCGTTTTCCCCAGCTCTGCTTTCAGTTTTGCAAGTTTGGATGGGGTGGCGAGGAGGTGGAACAATGTCGTGTTGAGCGCATGGGCGGTGGTGTCTAAGGCTGCGCCGACGATGAGTTGGCTCTCTTGACTCAGCCTCTCGAGCGATTTCTCTTCGGACGGGAGCTCGCTGTCAAACAAATCATCAAAGATAGTACGTCGTCTTGATATCTTCGCATCCGCATCGCCATTGCCAGCTTTGCATTTCCGATCAAACACCTCCCGCACGCGCGCATTGTTCAAGTACCGAAACGCAAGCATAGCCCCATACTCCGGACTCGCCTTCGCAATCCAGTGTTGAGGGAGCGCACGCATGACGGTGTGTATCCAGGGGAGATGTTTGGTGAAGACGCCCATGGAAGCGAATTTCTTGGCTGCTTGGGTGAACAGCGGTGCAAAGTCGGGGTCGTCGAGGGCGTTTTGCTGGTGGCCCATGGAGTACTCGATGATCACGTCGGCTGTCAGACATCCGAAAGCGTTTCCACTGGGTAGCAGTCGTTCAGAGGCTTTGAACTCTTCGAGTCGACCACATAGTTTCTCGACGTGCGTCCATATTAGATCCTGCAGACCGAGCACGCGCTGCTTGGAGAAAAAGGGGTTGAGTGCTGCACGACGGATGCGGTGGTGGAAATGATCATCGGTACTGAAGGTTACTAGAGGATTGCCGAATTGTCCGGTCATGTAGGCATGTTTGTCGCGTGGGGCGGAGCGGGTGTAAAGCGTGTCGATGAAAGAGGGGTCTGAGACGTGCAGCTCGAAAGGGTTAATACGGACTATCGGGCCTACATGGACATCAGTTTCGAATCCTGTGAAGATAGCGGTGTTGCTATCGAGCATAGGCTTGATGCTCATAACTTACCATACTTCTCGTGCATTTCCTTGATCTTGACATAGTATCTGCCCCATTTGAACACATCGTAGTAGATCTCGTACCACAGCGTCACAGCGGCTAGCTTTGGGCCTGGGAGTTTAGATAATGGGCTGAAGTAGAGCTGATATATCACGTTGACTGTAAGGTACAGAAAGAACAAGACAAAAGCCTTAGCGGTTACTGCACGCCAGTCATAACTGAAGTCGAATGGAAAACCTGGTAGCAAGGATTCCATGATGAGTGTGCATGCAATTGAACACCCTAAGGAAGCTGAGAGTCAACAGTCTTGTAAGGCGGGCAGCCTCGTAAGGTGGGGTACTATGATATACCATCATGTAACATGCCGTGCTACAGTAAGCTTACGCATGATTGCTGCCTTGCTACGTTAGCGAAGGGCAGGATTTGGAATCCTTCACACCTCTGGCAAAACATGTGAGGGCACTGTGCTTGTCGCCATTAGATGTTCTTGTGAGTTTGCTCCGCCATGGTCGTATGGACAAAGCAAGACCTGTGTGATGGAACGACCTAGTACTTGCCTCTGCGTGACAATTATCTGCTCAACAGATCTGGCGACAGTCGGACGCCTTTATAAGACCATCAGTTCCTCCTCTTTATGACGTACCCTGGAAACCTCTTAACAGCCATGCCTACCGCGTACCTGTTCCTCCACCTACGCGACCACACCCACAACAAACCAAACATCACATTTTACCAACCCAGCACCCCTAATCCTCATGAGAAGCCCTAGTATCGGAACCGCACAACCGGTCCCTTGCCCTCGCAGCCAGACGAAACCATCGAAATCCGCGTTGGTAGCAAAAAGGACGTCATCCATGAATGCAAGGGCCGTTTCTGGACTTACGAGGCTGCGGAAGCAGCGGCCCAAGACAGCTGTCTCGAGTTCCTTACAGAGAAGTACGTACGCGGGAGAAGGGTGGACATCTCCTGGAAAAAGGCTGTCTGCGTGGAGTCGAAAAGAGTGAAGGAGGTGGCGTATGCTCGAACGTACGGTGCCGACCACATGTGGAGAGATTGGTGGGGGACTGTAAAGGTGGATGTCGTTGTCTAACGTGTTGATCGTAAAAGAACGGGCGCTGCAGGCGCCGATGATGTCTGGATGTGGTGTTGTCGTAAATACAAGTTCTTAGCCACGGACTCCTTTCAAATAGCCTGTGCGGCGAAGAAGCTCATGAAACTGCCCACTGTCAAACCGCCCACGAGACACAGTGACATGAAGCCACCTGCAGCCTCCGCCTCGTCGGCGTCGACCCACTCCACAAAGCCCATCATGCAGCTGCTGCCTAGATACCCGTTCGTCACTCCGAACAGCAGCTGCACGACAAACAGATAGAAGAAGTCGGAGCTGACGGCAGCTCCTTTGCCGCCGACATTGCAAAGAAGATACAGAGGAATGAACGCAACTCGTGCGATGGACAACAGGAAGAGGACCTTTGGGTAAGCTGTTAGGCGTATAGTGGGCAGAGCAGGGCCCATTCGTCCGAGCAAGTCTCCAACATTCCAGAACAGGAAACCAAGGGGAATAAATGTCGCTGGCTGAAAGAGACGGGGTGCTGATTCTGGGTCTCGCACGCTGAGAATCTTCTGCGTGAAGACTGGGAAGAACATAGTGACAACGAAAGTCAGGAATACCGCACTGGCCAGCCAATTGAGCTTCCTGAAGAGGTGAGTCAGGGGGATGCTCTTGCGTTCGGTAGGAGCCGAGGTAGCATCTACTTCACCGAGGCGGACTCTGGAGCTGTGTTTGCGTTGAAGGGAGAGGAAGGCCAACAACGCCACTGTAGAGATGACTGTGGCTGTGAGAAAGTAGGCAAAGGCAGAAGTGCTAGACTGCTGCGGTGTGCCATGGACATGCTCCTTCTTGGGTGGGATGGAAAGCACAGAGACAATCTGCGCGATGCAAGGCAACACTCCAGCGATGCCCTGGCCAGTCATGATGCCCTGTGTGTATTCTGCCTGACCGAAGCCTGCAACATATGCAAAGACGCCGTTCTGGCATAGTCCTGCTGCCAGACTTGCACTGAGCACCATGAGCATTAAGAAGGCAAAGTATACCCCAGCTGATACGCCGAGGAACAGCTTTGTGGACAGTGCCAGCAGGGTAAACACAACGATATTGAGCATCAGCGAGGTAACTATGCGGTGCGGGTAGTTGGCTCGCGCCTGGAGCTTGGTCAAGACCACCATGGAGCCGAGGTTGCCTACAGTCGATACAGACATGATGGCCGACTGGAAGTTACGGAGGAGGTTGTCGTTGCGCTCAAAGCGTCGCTGGAAGTATGGGTTTGCGGCTAGGAACATGTTCCTACAACAGGGTCAGCACGACCACGCATCCGTGATAGCAGCTATCCGCACCAGGCCCACAGCATAGCAACACCCAGCAGCAGGAAGACAGAGTAGGCGGTCCATGAGAAGGCAGTCTCCGAGGCCTCGATGCGCTCGCCATCTGGACGCTCAGAGCCACCCTCAAGAGGCTCATAGGATGCCTCTCGCTCCGTTTCGCGCTCGAATATCCGGCGTATCCGTTTCATCGACATGCTAGCTGTAGTAGTAGTAGTAGTAGTAGTAGTGGTTGTACCTCAAAGTGAGGCGGAGTTACGGGGGGTGAGGTTGGTGAAGTGGGTGAAGTGGGTGAAGTTGGTGAAGTTGGTGAGGTTGGTGAGGTTGGTGATAAGGAGCGGACGTCTTCAAGGACGGCTTTGTGGGTTGGGTAGAAGTGTTGCGCAGGCAGACATGTTTCATGTAGTCTCCGAGTTCATCTTGGACAACGCGCAGCTGACTGGTAGAGCGCACCATTCGATCTACCGCATCCATCGCGCGTACCCGCCTCGTCTTGGCGACGCTAGGTGAATTGACATCACTGAGCGATCCCCCGCGGATATGCCCCTCCCACTTGTGCATCTTCGAGCAAACATACAGCCGACTTGACGCGACACGACCAACAATTGGATATTCTTACCTCCTCCAATACCGCTGCAATGTCGCAACGAGCTCCACAGACGCTCTCTGTCAAGCGCAAACGCACCGAAGCGCCCGTCGACGCTTTGATATTCGACGACAGCGTGAAGAGACAGCGAAGCGAAGCAGACATCTTCTTCAGGCGACTCACCAAGCCCGGCGACACACCACGTGACTCAGAAGCATCAACGCCGACAACAGAGCGACGATTCCACCTCGACCCCGTCTCACGGGCCCGGTCAAAGCACGTCTTCATTGAGCGACGAGCAGCAACACAACCAGATGCGCCCACCAACGACCAGCACGCACCTGTCCAAGAACCCACACCGCAAGAAGCACCACGCCCTCGGAAACGGCCAGGTACCCGGGCGGCCTCAACAGCCATACCCGCGCAGCCTATTCAGCAAACAACCCACCGCACGCAGCCCTCAGAACACGACGTCCGCGAACTAGAAGCCCTCTCACACAAACTCGAGCATGAGGAAACGCATGCACACCTCTCGCCCTCAAAGTACAAGCCCAAAGCACCCATGCGCCGCTTCGCCGAACGCGAGCCCGAGAAAGCAGCCGCACTCGCCGCGCGGGATGGTGATGGCGACGGTGATGCTATGGACGTCGACAGCGACGAATACGTGATCGACACATACATCCGCGAGGCCCTTCTCCCCGACGCCTCAGGCAATCTGCCCACGGCAACCGGCACAGTGGGTTTTCTGGTGCTCAACGAGGAGGACGAGGATTGGTGGAACGGGTCGGATTCAGATGACAAGGAGTTTGATACAGATGACGACGATTCGAATGCGGAGGAGTACTACGCGAACGACTACCCGGAGGATGAGTTGAGTGAGGACGATGAATTCGACCGCGATCCATACAAGGCGAACCACCGCCATGGAAGTGATGACGAGGAGTTCAATGCGAACGATAGTGGCGACGACAACGTGATGGGCAGTGAAGAGGACGAAGATGATTTGCACTACAAGATGACGGTTCCGAAGGCGAAGAGGACGGGGTATTGGGGTATGACCGGGCAGTAGTTCGGCAGGAGAATGAGTTTTAGCGTGCGCATGGTTGGCGAAGTGGAGATACCCAGGCCTTGTTTGTGTGCAGTTGCACTCGCCCCGAACAACGCAGGACTGATGTATGACAGTGTATCGAAGAATGATGCATAACGTATGGCGCACGACGCGCCTGCAAAGCTTCACAGCAATTCTCTAATGTCCGACATCCTCATCTCGAGCGTGGCATAGCGATTTGTCACTTAAAAGCATATGTGTCGTACATACAGGATTGCGGAAGACTGCGGAAGTGCACTTCTATTGTCGTTGTATCCTGGACGACGTATGTTCCATTCTCATTTCCTGCCTGGACAATTGAATACCGGGTATCTTGCTAACTCCCAAACACCGAACCCAGCCCTATCCTGACCATACCCATGCGATGCCCTGAAAACCCACCCAAACACTCCTTCGGTCTGCAGCCTCACACCAACAACCCTCGATCTGGGCCAAACATCCGGGACAGAAGACAAACTCACTGCACCCACATCTCGCGCTTCACTTGTCCGAGGTGGAATCCCCACTATGCACCCCTATGATGCACCCGTGCGGACAGATCACCAGTTCGTCACGATTACATCCGCTGCCCCCTGACAGCCTCTCGGGGCCCTCCTAAGGCCCGCCAACACTCAGACTACTCTTCCTCTGCCCACCAGGCCCAGGCAACTGGCCGGGCAGAATCTGTCTTGGACCGTTGCCGCTGCTGGACGTTATACCGCTCTGTCTCCTGCTCATGCTCCCGTCCAGACCCGCACTCATCGGGAATCCGCCCATGCCCGCACTCCCGGGGAAGTTCTCGCTCGTTGCACTCGGCGGGGCGCCCATGAGTCCTAGTCTCAAGCCGCCCATGCCACTGCCATCCGTCGCGTTGGGTGGGTTGCCGAATGGCGAAGCGCCAGGTGGTGCGCCTAAGGCAGAACGGATCATGTCTTTCATGCGGATGTATTGGTATTTGGAGCGCTGGGAGACGTGGGTGTATGTTGCAATCGGACGGGGCTTGTGGCGAGCAAGGGCGGCCATGATGGCGTCTTTCTCTTCGTCTGAGTCGACAGCGCCTGGAGGCTCGATGTCTTCGGGGAGAGGGGCGTTTGCATCGATTGCGGCGCCTGCGGTGGGTGTTAGTCATGTCTCCAGCGAGATGACGGAAGGGTGCTTACGCTGCTGTTTGGCTTGGTTCTTCTTCTGGTACTGTGCAAGAAGCATGTCGTAAGGCAGACTGCGTCCTGGTACTGCACGCTTCAGACCCATGCTATGGGACTTGCACGTCAGGCTTCGTGCGCAGAAGCCACCGTTCGGGAGTGGAACACCGCATTGCCTCTCCACATCCACTGGTCCCTTGGGTTTCGCGCCCTTGGCTTTGGGCTCGTCTTTCTTCTTCTTCTTTGCGCCGGGCTTCTCAGCATCACCGTCGACCTTGCGTTTCTTGCCCTTCTTTGCGCCAGGCTCGAGACCTTTGATAGCAGACTTCCTGGCCCGAATATCGTCGTCGTCCTCGCCCTTCTCTTTCCTGAGTGCTGCATCTTTGGCTTCCTTGGCCTCTTTCTTCTTTCGCTGTTTGTCTGCTTTCTTGTTCAAGCAGTCGCGGATGTGGGTCGCTGATGCAGCGCGGAGTATGGGTCGGCGGCAGTGCTTGCATTGTATCGTGTCGACCTTGTCGTCAAGGGGGCGGCCGCTTTGGAATCCAGCGAGTGTCTTCTCGTCGAGAGGGTTCACGACAGGCGAGCCAGTCGCGGAGGGCTTACTGTCGGCATCTGCCATCGGTTAGACATTGCTCTCTTTCTGTGTAGCCAGAGTCGCTAGGTCGCGACATACTCTTTGCGTCGCTCTCTTTCCAGTTTCCAGCTTCCGTCGGCTTTGGCGCAGCCTTCTTGATCTTGAGAGTGAATTTCTTGTTTTCGAACTTGACAACATCTTTGATAGCGTCGCCGTTCAGCAGGCCAGATCTGGAGTCCATGGAGCCTGTTGTTGTGGCGGTCAGTCAGTGCATCGTGTGGGGGAGCTGCGGAGGTTACCCACCCTTCCGCGCGCCATTCGTAGCCATGGTGCAAGCGACTACCACAGGCGGCTATCGCATCCGGAGTGCGTCGGTGATGCCCAAAGTGGCAGATTCCTGTCTCTGGAGTCTGGGTGTAATATTGCAGATTGTGAAATTGCGTCCGGTGGTGGAGTGTGAACGGTCGCAATGCCCGTAGGCTGTCGTTTGAGACCCGTCACTGCACTCCTTGGCGCCAAGCCATCCTGTTAGCAGAAGTATCAAATGAAGAGTACCAAGTCTGGGGGTCAGTGAGAGGTTCCTGCTGTATGATTGAATGCTATGCTAAGGGATAAATATTGAAACCCGTTTCGATTGTTTGAATATTTCATTGCACAAAATCCAGTGCTCAGACCGCTTGCAGCAATGATACCCTGAACACCTTAGGTCAACTCCCAATGCCCGTACACTTTGCCCGTTAGGTACTAGACAGAGAGCACCGGTTACCCTCCTACCTGGACATCCCGTAACACTAGAACCTCTATATACAGCAGCGCAGTGTTGTGACAATGCCCGCCATGTGCAAACTCCTGAAAATGCCCAGTGCACATGCTGATGGTATCGCAACGCCGAAAACACCACTACACATCTCGTAAATCGTCCCACAGCCACACTCTTGTTCCATCACTGAGTCCGCTCTGTGAAGGGCAGGCGGCTCACGACACTACCGCCTGCCCTTGCCCTTGGCAGTCTTGACGACCCTAGCCTTGCCTTTCTTTGGGGGCTCGTACTCGGTGGAGTGGATGTAGCCGTACTCTTCGAACATGATGCTGTTCGTCCAGAGTAGGCAGCGTTCCTTGGCTTCCTCCTTCTCAGCGTTGGCCTTACCACGCGTCGAGACTCGGAGCTTGCTGTCTTCAACCTCATCCTCGTCCTCTGCTTTGTCTGCTTTTGTGAGGTGCTTCTTCATCTTCTCCATGTACTCCGCAATGCGGTCACGGAAGATCTGCAGCTCCTTGCGAAGTTGCTTCTCACGGTGGCCTCGCTCATCCAGCCAAACGATCAATTTGTCAATATCCTCGGGGTCGTCGTAGTAGGCCCAATCCATGGATGTCGTGAGATGTGTTGAACCTTCTTCCTTCTCTTTGCGCTGTGGGATAGTGAACTTGAATCGCTGCATGTCTTGCGATAGAGCCGGCTCCTCCAAACATGGTTGGAGCTCCTCTGCATCCGGTCCTTGTACCCAGATGCGTCCATTGGCGTATCCATATTGTGCTGTAGAGCTGTTTGGCACACCACCGAATGGCATTCCATTATGCTCGAACCAGTAGTACTTGTTCAGGAATCGATCCTTGCCCAGCACCTTACTGCGATGCACCAGGGTTTCGCGGAGATCGTCGTCTAGCTCGTTGATGTTTGCTTCACACTCCTTAAGTTCCTCCTTCTTTTCGTCAACTGCCTTCAAAAGCTTCTCCCACTCTTTTTGCTTCTTGTTCTGCTCAGCCTCGATCTTTGCCTTCTTAGCCTTTTCTTTCCGGGCTTCTTCGGCTGCTGCCTTGCGTTTGTTCTTGGTGCGAGTCCTACTCTGTGCAGCCGATGCGTCTCCTGGCTCATTGACTTCCCCGTCAGCGACTTCGGTGACAGACTCGGGCACGCTGAGCATCGACACGTCTTCATTCTCTTTCATGTCCGAAGGCGATGCTGGTGTGTTTTCAGGTAGCTTGATCTTACGTTCAAGATCCAGCTTAAACAGCTCGTCCGCTCTGTGTGCAACGTTAGTGTGTGTGTTACATTGATATAGGTGCCAACTTACAACTCTTTGCGCTTCCTCTGGAACTCGATCTTCTCTTTGCGAAGACGAGTCATCTCCAGAGAAGCTGCATTCAGCTGATCACGGAAAGCCTCAGTGGTCACAGTCAAGCGCAAAGCCTGATCCAGCGCTGAAACGCGCAGGTTGACATCCAAGCTGCGATAGTTCTCCGCAATGCTCTCGATAGTGGGATCTTGATCGCCTGGCACGAGAGCGGCGAGGATCTCGTCGCAAGTCGCTTTTTGAAGAGGATCGAAAGACAAGCGGTATAGAAGAGCAACGAAGATTGCTTGCCAGCCTCCGTTCTGGAAGCTACGGATCTTTAGCTGTTCGATCCAATCGAAATCGGCCACGAACTCAGCAGCCTTGTGGGTTTCCTTTGGCAGCTCAGGCGTAGGTGTTTGAGGCTTCTCGACTATTTGTTGCACCTCTGACTTCCTCAAACTGCTGCGAGTGGTTCGCTTGGGTGGCTCTGGCTCTGGTGTTGGAGTTGACTCTTTGCTCGAAACCTCTTCATCTGACTCCTCCGCCTCAGCCATGTTCGGTAGAGGGGCTTGAAGCTTGCCATTCTCGTTGATGATCTGCTTGAGCACAGAACAGTGGACTTCCACGAACAGCTCGCAATCTTGATCTTCCGAAGAGTAGCGCATCGCATCTGCGAAATCATCAAAAGTGAAAGAATCAAGCATGTAGATAGTGTCATGCACATTGAGTGTTTCCCAAGCGCACAGAAGTGGACCGATACTTTTCATCAAGATACCGGTCTTGTCTTCCTCAGATGGCGCTTCAACATCTTCTGGTACGTCATCGGAGAAGAACTTCAGTGAAGGTCGCACGGTGCTCAAGCGGGGCTGGGAGATCTCCAGATCTTCGATAGGATATTTGATCGGTTCAAAGGGCTTGGCCAAAGGTGCTGGTTGTTGTTGTTGTTGCTGCTGCTGCTGTTGCTGCGGGTTTCGAGGCGCAAACTGTTGGTATTGCATGAATCCATTCTGGAATGGAAGATTAACAGGCAATGCACCAGGTGGATGATGCATGATATGCGCAAGATTCGACGGTAGAGCGTTCTGCGGTATGTTGAGAGGGATACCTTGTGGAAGGTGGTGAGGCGGTCCCGGGTGGGCAAACTGGGGTGGTGGTCCTCCCTGCATATGCTGCGAGAAGCCCTGAAGGTGTGGGTGCATGAGGTGAGGTGGATGCTGCATGTGGGGAGGATTTGTTGCGAAGTTGACGAATGCATGTGGGCCTTGTCCATGCTGTGCCGGTTGTTGAGGTCGATGCCCATTTGTTTGAGGTGCGTGTCCATTAGACAGTTGATGCGAGTAGGTCTGCTGGACAGGCGACCCTGTGCCGTTTTGCTGAGAGCCGTTCGTCAGCTTCTTCTGCGCCATCACCGCATCTCGTGTTTTGTTGTCCGGAATCTTGGTAGGGATCTTGTAGCGTTTCGCCAAATGCTCCTTCGCCATCCAGGGTGCACCAATCCACGACTCTCTCGAGACTGTGCTACGGAGAAATTGTTTTAGGATCAGCTTGGAGTAGTACTTCCTGTCCCTTTGCAGGTCCGCAGCCTTGTACTTGGTGATGGGCTCGTTGTTGTCGTCCATTGTAATGACGTATGTGTAGGCCCGATACTGTTCATCTGGTGACCGTGTGAAGACGTTCTGGTGTAGCTGGCTGTTGTCGGCGATGTCTGTAATCACACCGTAGCGGCGATTGACAGGACCTTCGACCTCGATGCAAACTCTGTCGCCAACCATGTATTGTTCTTTGAACTCCTGCGAAAGGTTAACGCTGCAATCGAGTATAAACAACACTCATTGCGGACTCACGTCAAACACAAGGTTTACTAGAAAGCCAAAGTTAGCCACAAGACCAGACGAAGCAGTACGAGAAGATCTCACCCAGGTCATCCATGCGTGAAGTAGTCCTGAACTGGACATAATGGAGGACACGCGACCTCAAAGCATCAGGGAAGATGCTGTCAATCTCCCTTGACGCCTCCGTCTGCGTTTCCGTTACCTTGATGCCCTCCCAGACTGGCTCGGAGCTCACCTGGCTCTCCATGGCTTCGAAAAAGGTGTAGCCTGAATGCCCGGTTGACTCGCAGGTGAAGAGTTTCTGTAAGGCGTGTAAGAATCGTGAATGTTGCTGGTTCAGCCTGTGGAGCCCCAGTGCCTACCTGTGCGTAGAAGTCGCATCTGCTCAAGTGTCAGTAAACACCGCACAACTTGACGTCATTCTGGAAATGTGCCGTACCGCCTTAGATATTTCTCGTAATCATTATAGACCTCTCCTGTTTTCTCGATGACCCAGACCTGTCGGCCATGTTTAGTGTGTCTCCCCAGAGCGGTTCGTGGTACGCTCATACCTCATCGTGATCGGTGATGTTCTTCGGCGGAGGGTCAAACTTCACTGGCTTGCGTTTGAAGAGCACCTATCTGAGTCAGAAGCTGGTCTTTTCGAGTTTCACATATGACGCCGCACCATATTGCTGGATTACGGGCTCATGTGAAGCTCTTGCGCGCTCTAGCAATCGCGTTGCGACTTTCGGAACTATCGCGCAGCCAGAGTCGCGTCGCGTGGGCTCGAGACAGTCGATTGAGCTCAGAATTGTGATCGGGCGACCTGTCCGAAGGGTATTCGATGTAAACCTGAGCTATCGCGCGCGCTCGACTATAATGTCGTAAAAGTTGTCGCAAGCCTCGTAGGTCCGAAATGCGTTCCGAGACGCGTCGTTCAGTTCCGAGGGCGCGTTTCTTTGGGTCGTGGTTGAGTCCGTGGAGATTGTGGACGCGGAGGTTGAGGCGATCGAGGGGTGAGAGCGGCAGGATGACGAGAAACAATTCAATGGGGGGGAAGGAAAGTTATAAGGTAGTCGTGCCGGGTAGTCCATGCCTTGGCGTGGACCTTCCCTAAATCGGCATGGACCTCTCTCCAGTCCTCCCTCACACACGCCTACCTTTTGCACACCGCTGCAACTCCAGCACCGGAGTATTTGGTCTTGTTTTGATCGTAGAGATGAGTTGAATTTAGATGCGAAAGCTTCTAATAGCTTGCATCTAATTTATAAGTGATGTTCGTAGACATATAAGGATGTACGTCAAGCCGGAGGGCTCATGCTCTTGAGCCACCAAGCAAACCAGTTGACAGGTCTGACCCACTTGACCCTGAACATAGCCGTCCGCTTCACCACTCGAACAGTCGACGGTGATATATGCCTCTGGCCATCTCAAACTGGGCTCCTAGGCTTTTGCGCAATATATCAAAATGCTCAGACCTACTATCAAATATTCGACACCACACCTACGACCTCTTGGGTGTTGTAATAGTCAATGGAGATGCTGACAGCTAGAAGACAACTCGATGTGATTCAAATTGGCACGTAAGAGTCTCTCGAGGGTACCGAGCGTTTGTGTTGATTTTTTTCGAGATGTTTACTTCACCATGAGATAGGATGGAAGCCGATCCAACACGGACTGCGGCTCGTACAACACATCAAACGGGCCACTGTATAGACTTGGAACAAATCTGATCGAATGCATTGAGCCCTTGACTGCTTATGTGTCGAAGTAGACGACTAGGAATCCCAGCCAGCTGCTGACTACGCCAATGGCTGAATATGAGCTAATGAACATGAGAGGGAGAAATTCATAGCGAGACCCGAAGACGATGCCATGAAACAGCGAGCAGTAAGCAATCAATGGGATAGACAGAGCAATGTAGAGAATGGAGAAGCGGTCAAGCAGAAAGAGGCGTCGTTCGGAGGAGCTAGGCGATGGTCAGTCAAAATTCACAAAAGTTGACGATAGTACTTACGCGGGTGCAAGCCTGTCGAATGTCAACAGGAACAATACTAGCCAAAAGATGGTGTACACCGTCTTGATGGGGAATTCGGCAGCTGTGAATAACAGTGGAAACAGCGAAACGTGGCCGGATACTGCCAGAGGTCGGAAAGCACCGAAATATCGGCGATCACGGAGCGCAACCAAGCTGAATGGGATGATGACAAGCAAGATCGCCTTCTCGTGAACGTGCCAGCCGAACAAGAAGGAGGCGTAGCCGCAAAGAGTGACCGCGCCAACAAATGTCTCCCATGTCGGCTTGTACAGAAGGCGCAGAAGAACAGGCTGTTAAGAATTAGCGCTTAGTTAATAGAGTATGAATGTTGAGCTTACGATCTGGGTGCCCAGAGTTAAAAGGAAGCATGTAAGAGGCACGATGTCAGGGAGTACAGCAAACGATGAGTCTCCAACAAGTCCTCGAGTAACACTGTTGACCGCATCCGGATCTACGGTCAAGCCAAGCTGAGGGGCCACTGAAACGTATTAGTTTCCCTCAGGAAGCATCTGGGAGGCATCAACGTACAATAGATGAGCACTCTATCGGTGAAAGAGTACATTGCCCAGACGTTTGGAGCCCAGTAGGCATGGCAAAGTCCACGAGAAAATGGGAACAAACGCTTGAACACTTGCTCGAGCTGTCCCCAGAGCGCAAAGGGCCCGAAAGCACTAGCAAACACTGCAATGATGCCCACGCCCAACTTAACGGAGTTGAAGAAGCGAATAGTGAAGTACGGGAAGCTTTGACGCTCACCAAGGCAATACGCACGAAGGAGGAAGACAAAGTAGGCAGGGGCCAGGTAGAGGTAGATGTGCTTTAGGCACAGAAGCGCTGCGAAGAGGATGCCAGACAGAAGAACGGTTGACTTGTTCCGCGCCAGCACCATGGACAGAATGAGAACGCCGTAGAGGAAGCCATTGTACTGAAAGTGGATGTGGTCGATGATCAGAAGGCCAGGCGAAAGAAGAATGGACAGTGCAGCTGCGTGTGCAGTAACTTTCGACTTAGAGGTCTTGACGTAGCTGGACGATCGTTAGCATGATCGAAACAGCTGGAAGAGATGATGCAGTACAGATGCAAAGCGTAGACCAAAATCAGCTCCGTAACGATGACAGTAGTTCGCTGAAAGTAGACGGTCTGCCAGCTATCGTAGTTGAGGTCCTTTACATTTAATAGCGCAGGCTCAATATACGCAGCAGCTTGAGACATGAGCCATTCAAAGTAGGCAAAGAATGGCGGATAGTCGAGTGTCCATTCTGATGTTTTCTATGAACCACGTCAGACCACTTCCTACACCTTGCGGACCTTCCTGTCGAGTGCTCACTTCGTAGTACCATTCCTTGATAGACAGTGAGTGCGTCAGAGCGAGCCAGTTGCGGTGAACTTCGAAATCGGTCGACTTGCTGCCAAAATGGGTAAGCACACATGTCGATGGCATTGCCAATTTTCGCCATTGCACCTACTATGCAGGAAACAGCAGCACTTTCAAGGCCGTTGCCACGACGGCGCACTGCGCAATCGACGGATACAGTTCTGACATTGCGACCTCGAATGTTGGTGGACGAACAACAGGCGAAAAGACACGACTCGGCAAGTACTCGGAGGTTTGAGTTTACGTGGTTCGGTGGCCCATGCGCCTTCCGCTTGGAGAAAAGGAACTTTGGAACACAGGACGCAGTTTACCATAGCAGCTCTGCAAAAGTAAATTCCTTGTCCCGACCATCACAAGCACGGCAGAACTAATCTCGCTGCAGTCAACAGAGTGAAGCATGATGTCGAGGCAAGTCTGTCAGCAACAAATTATCAACAACCGAACAACGTGACCACGCTCCTCTTTCATGAAACGACGCGTTCGCGGCGCTTTCCGCTAAGGCACCCTGACGTGTCCACGGGACTCGCGCCGCTGTGATGAGCTCTGGACCCCGTCGACAGAACAAGCCGCCAGAAGCCAAAAAGACGCCGGGCCGTGTTCGTTGGTTTTGTTGCTTTCTGGAAAAGTGGCCTGGCGGAGCTCTCGTTAGTCAGGCACGAGTCCTGCAAGCACCCGCGCACTGCAGTCAGCCCTGGGAAGGTGATCAGCGGCCGCAGCTACGTGACGGCTCCCAACCCTCAACGTGAGACACGCAGAAACGTCGCTGCAAGCAATGCAGCGCCACATCGCACAGGCGTCGGCGACGGTTGGTGGCTCCAGTCTGCAGGGCGCCGGCAAGTGTTGCTGGATGGTTTGCGCGATTCGTTGCAGGGTGGTCATGGCATGTGCACGTTTAATTCGGCGGGCACGCCAGTCCTCATTGGGGGCTTCATTTGCGCTGCCTTCTCCTGTCTCGCAACACGGCGAGAGCATTTTCCACCCACCTCTCTTCCTTCTCCCCTCCGACATCAGGTCGCGCTCTCTCCTGCGGTCCTTTCACTCATTATCTACGCTTCTCCCAGCTCTGAGGCCCTTGGTAAAGTCCGCCTCTTTGCCTCGTTCATTCTTATTGTTCGCTCTTTCAGCATTGGCGACCGCAAAACAAGCCCTAGGCCAGCATCTGCACGCGAGCACGCAGCCTTTAATTCTGTCCCGTTTGTGGCCATTGCTCGAGATCAGCAGCTTATAATCTGCCCCTAATACCGTGCTTGAACCCTCCGCTCGACCTTGCAATCCTGGTAACGTCGACGTCTGCTTTGACCCGGTATACCATCAAGCAGCCCAGCTGTTGGACTCCTTTGACCTTCGATTCGGTGCGGTCCACCCTGTATTAAGTACTCACTTGCCATTGTGCCTTGGGTGTAAGCACTCCCCTTTTATCTAGGACCCATAGCCATCTCAAGTGGGACCAGTCGACTGACAAATGCCAGATTGTCTTGCAAAGCATTGACGCATTAGCCTACGCTTCGCATCCTTCGCGACCATCTTGCAACCGGTTGCACGTTCACCTTCAGCAATACATATTTCGCCGTCCGGTCCATCGAGTCCCGGACGCAGTAATACATCGTTCACCACGGCTGTACTATCTCACAACTCGCGGGACAGCTTCGGTCTGCCACCGCATCTCCTTGGAATGCAACACGAGGGAACTTCTTCGGCACCTACTGGACCCCGTCTGCAGACTAGCTTCCAAAGGCAAATGAACGGCCAGATGAACGGCGGTCACCATGGTTTCTCCCATGGAGCCTTCGCTACGAACCAGCCAGGCTATGCCGACAGGCACCCTGAGAGGTCGAACAACATGTCCATCAACACTGGAAGGCTGAACCCTAGCAACCAGAATGGTGCTGATATGCAGACTCCTGGTACTGGGTACGACATGAACTTTACCCCTTTGTTGCCCTCGCAGCTCCTTCTGGGCAGTCCCTTCCAGCCAGGATCTCCTTCGGCTTTCGCTTCACCTCAGTTCCAGAGCTTTGGCAACTTCGCTGGTCAGAATCAAGCACAGCAGAACAACCAGTCTAACCAGATGGGTAGCTCCTTGCAGCAGCCCCTTTCACCCCAGCTATACCAGAGCCTTGTTTCGCCCACGAGCTTGAACGGACCTGGTTTCTTCAATGGACCTCAGTCGCCCACTGGATTCTCTGGCTTCGGTGCCCAAGGTCTTGGTGGATTTGGCTCATCTATGCCCATTGCTCCGGGCCTGGTCTCTGGCACCAGCAGGACTGTCTACTTGGGCAACATCCCCCCCGAGACTTCTGCTGAGGAGATCCTCGGCCACGTAAGAAGTGGTCAGATTGAATCCGTCAGACTCTTGCCCGACAAGAACTGCGCGTTTATTTCCTTCCTTGACAGCAGCTCCGCTACCCACTTCCATTCGGATGCAATCTTGAAAAAGTTGTCGATCCGGGGTCAGGACATCAAGATTGGGTGGGGCAAACCTTCGCAGGTACCGACATCGGTGGCCCTTGCTGTGCAACAGTCAGGGGCTTCCCGAAACGTCTACCTTGGCAATCTGCCCGAAGATGTCTCCGAAGATGAGCTGCGTGAGGACCTCAGCAAGTTCGGTCCCATCGATACCGTCAAGATCGTTCGTGAGAAGGCCATTGGTTTTGTTCACTTCCTGTCGATTGGTAACGCCATCAAGGCTGTTGCTCAGCTCCCCCAGGAGCCCAAGTGGCAGGCGCCTCGCCGTGTTTACTACGGCAAGGACCGATGCGCATACGTTTCCAAGACTCAGCAGCAGAACGCTGCGCAGTACCTCGGTATTGCTCCCGGTTACGCTCATGTTCTGAACGGTGCCGATCGTGACATGATCTCCAACGCCCTTGCTCAGCAGTCTGTGGCTGCAGCAGCTGTGGCGACATCAGCTGGTGGTGTCAACAACCTGGGCAACCGTACCGTGTACTTGGGCAATATTCACCCCGAGACTACCATCGAGGAGATCTGCAACGTTGTTCGCGGCGGCCTTCTTCACCACATTAGGTACATTCCGGACAAGCACATCTGCTTCGTGACCTTCATCGACCCTACCTCTGCTGCATCATTCTACGCGCTGAGCAACCTGCAAGGTCTGATGATCCACAACCGTCGTCTGAAGATTGGTTGGGGTAAGCACTCCGGCGCTCTGCCTCCTGCTATTGCTCTGGCCGTCAGCGGAGGAGCTTCGCGTAACGTGTACATTGGCAACTTGGACGAATCCTGGACCGAGGATCGTCTCAGGCAGGACTTCTCAGAGTATGGTGAGATCGAGCTTGTAAACACACTCCGCGAGAAGAGCTGTGCTTTCGTCAACTTCACCAACATTGCCAACGCTATCAAGGCCATTGAAGCCATCAGAGGCCGTGAGGAGTACAAGCGTTTCAAGGTCAACTTCGGCAAGGACCGCTGCGGCAACCCTCCTCGCCAGATGAACAACCAGCAGGCTCAAGCTCAGCAAGCCGGTAGTGATGGTCTGCAGTCCCCGTCGCCCGTCAACGGCCCACAGCCTAACCGCGGCATTGGTCCTTCCGTTTCACCAACAGGCTCTGGCGCCCCTGGCTCCGGTGGCAGCACTAACGGCCCGTACCCCGTTCAAGCACCTGCTCCGGCCAACATTTTGAACACCGGTAACAACAACCCATTGATGATGTACCTCCAGGCCCAGCAACAGCAACAACAGCAGGCTGAGGTCAGCCTTCAGCAACAGCAGCAGCAGCAGCAAAGCCAACAGCAGCAACAGCAGTCCTACCAGTCTCCTCAAGCTGCTTTCTACGGTGCTGACCTGAACTCGACATCGCAGCCTCACCACTCGCACACATCGCACAACAGCACTTCAAGCTTTAGCCTCATCAACGGCACCTCGAACGGTAACAGCTCTGGTGCTACCACTGTCGGCGGTCTTCTTGCTCCTTCCAACCTCAATGCTCGTGCTCAGCACTCTCGCGCCGTGAGCCTTCCGGTCTTCACTCAAGGTCCCTTCAACCAGCCCCTGACCAGCCAAGCGACGCAGCAGAACTCATTTGGTAGCTTGAGCTCCGGCATCGGTGGCTTCGGCAGTGGTAACGGTGGCTATGGCCTTGCCATCCAGGGTGACAGTGGTCTGAACGGATGGGCTGAGGAGGAGGTTGGTGCCCAATAAACGCTGGACGCACACGCAAAACCGGGCCAGACCAACATTTGGATAAACCCTTCACATCTTCTCTTATATCCCCTTTCTTTGCATTTTGACCTAGGGAACGGAAGGCGTCACATGTATGGATCTGATCTGATCTGATGTCGAGTAAACTGTTGTAATCTGAACGTTGCTTTGTTACATCCTTAATCTGCATTTTTGTCGCTCTTTCATCTGTTGTAGTTTAGATACCTGTAGGGATCTTAGAGGTGAGACGATGTACTAATGGGTCTATCGAGGCAGCATGCGAATGATAAGCTGTCACTTTTTAAACTATCTAATCGGCCTTCAATCTCTGTGAAGTTGGTACCTATCCAACTTGGCTAGCCTTGCTTCGCTACTTCACGGCTTCCCTTGCTACGCTTTCTGTCGCCGCGCGGTAGACCACTTGATAGGCGGTGTTGTGTCTGTCAACATCTCCAGGACCACACGGCGGCTTAATCCTGGCCTAACCATGCCTGGCCTAACCATACCTGGCCTTTCCCTCGTCCTCTGCAGCATGGTGAGGAATTATCAAGACAAGACCTCATAAAAACCATGTGAGCTGGAAATCCTGGTTCACCAGCACACGAGGGACGAGCAAGCCACAACGCCTCCACGACCATTGCATGGCCGCTTCTTTCTTGCTAGTGTCTTGATCTTCCTCAGCCCCTCAATCTCAAAACATCGCACCACATTCTGACCACAGCGTCTTTCTCCTCGCTCCTCCCACCCTCCTTAGGCACCATGAACGCCTCCCTCACCTCTGCTCTGCCTAAATCCCTACCCTCTTTGATCTTTCCCCAAAACTCTCGTATCGTAGCCTGCACAAATCCGAAGTCCAATTTTTCCTCTCCGTTGCCGTTCAGGCCAGTACCGTTTCCTGCCGTGTCACTCTCTTCGCCTCCAGCGATCGTCGAAATGCAAACGACTACCCCCGGACTACTCACTCCACCGCCTTGCGCCTCCCTCAACGCGCGCACCTCGCCAATCTGAACGGTGAACGAGCCGCCGGTGTATGTAGCTCCGTTCTGCACGCTCAACGTGTGTCGCGGACTCCATAGCGCTGCGAGTTGGGTCCTTAGCAACAATGCTTGTGCGTCGCTCTGCTGCGCTGGTATAGCTGCGACGCTGCCGGAACCTTTGTTTGAGTTTGGAGGAGGGGCAAAGTGGATGTACGCCCGGTTCTGACTGAGCGATGTGTGCGTGAGGAAGTGTTGGTATGTGTGCGCGAAGGGTGTTGGGTCACCGGAGAGGTCGGAGAAGGAGCGAGGTGGTGTATCGCGGAAAAGACGATAGGTTAGCGCCCATGGTGTGCTGCGCGTGAGCGTGTGGAAGTGCGTTTCGAGAGAGGATATTAAAGTGGACGCAGTAGTGGAGGAGTCGGCGGGTTGGGCGGTGGGGGTGGGGATGAAGTAGAGCCTGGGAGAGTCAATGAGGTGTAGAAGAGTATGTTGCATAGGTCAATTGTGTGCTGGAGGATGCGCGGCGGATGCTGCTGGGTTTGTGGTCACGTACCCGCTGTACTCCATTGTTGCGATCGAGTTGTTGGCCTGCAGCCTCGCGCATGTGAGAGCTCCAAGACGCTGGTGACGGCTCGGATCGACCGCATGCTACCCCTGCTAGCGTCAACGTAACCGAGTGACGCGACGCGTCGATACAGACTTTAGACAGCCAAGCACTCCACTATGGGATGTCTGAGCCTCCATGACCCGCTATGGGGGCGTGCTGCCCCTTCTCGCTATCGTCGAATGCCTCTTGGTGTTCAGTATTGCTGCTCTGGATTTTCTCGTACTTTTGCGCTCTCTATCGCTGTCGCTATCTTTACCCCATCATCCGCTCGTTCCGAGCAGCTGCTCAATTAGTCTTGACTAGTCTCCATCGTTCCTCAAGGCCTTCTATCTGCGTGTCTGGAGTTCACTGTACTCCCTCTGTTATATCGCAGATGATTTGGATATCTTAGACTTCTACCTTGGCCGCTATGAGCCCTATAATACGACGCATTGCAGTCCTATGCATTTCTACGACCCTCCTTTACCTTGCCTTTCGCCAGCTCACGCTGGGCGCTGAATTCCCCTTACCGACCACTACATCTTCGACTCGAGTCAAAGGGCCAGTGAGATGGAAAGACATACCTCCCAAATACCCAGTGGCCTCGACGATTCCCTTACCAACGGGCACATCCTCCGCTATTCCCCGCATACAGCATGAGTTCGGCGTCGAGACACAACACAATAAGGCAGAAAGGCTGCATAGACAGGCTGTTGTGAAAGAAGCGTTCTTGCACTCTTGGAACGGATATAAGAAGCACGCATGGCTGCAAGACGAAGTCACTCCGGTAACAGGAGGCTTCACAAATGGCTTTGGGCAGCGTGGCGCAACACTAGTCGATACTTTGGATACTTTGGCTATCATGGGCCTAGATGAAGACTTTGAAGCTGCCGTAAAGGCTGTCAAGAGGATCGATTTCACCACAAGTGCTATCCCTCGTCTAAATGTGTTCGAGACCACGATACGTTATTTGGGCGGATTGCTGAGCGCGTACGATGTGAGCGAAGCAAAGCACCGTGTCCTGCTTGACAAAGCAACGGAGCTGGGAGACATGTTGTATGCAGCTTTTGACACATCAAATCGCATGCCCATTGGGCGTTGGAACTGGGAAAAGTTCGTTGTACCCTACGTAAACCCGAGCTCTGCTAATCAATGCCAGCGCTGCCCTACGCATGTATCAAGAAGCTGATGGCCAAGGACTCAGTGCCGAGCTAGGCTCATTGACACTCGAATTCACACGTCTTACACAGCTGACAGGAGACGCAAAATACTACGATGCCGTAGCCCGCATATCCGCCCTGCTATCCAAACACCAAGACCGCACCAAGATCCCCGGTCTCTTCCCCGTCCGCATCAGCCCCGCGCGCGAAGACTTCTCGCAAGACAAAACATTCACAATGGGCGGTATGTCCGACTCGCTATACGAGTACCTCCCAAAACAGCACCTCCTGCTCAACGGTCTCGACCCTCAGTACCACAACCTCTACTCCAACGCTATCCGCGAAGCCAAACAGCACCTCTTCTTCCGCCCGCTCAACCCACAGAACGCCGACATCCTGATGTCCGGCTCCGCACACATCAGCAGCGCAACAGGCAGCACCAAATTGACCCCTGACGGTCAGCACCTCGCCTGCTTTACAGGAGGCATGGTAGGTCTGGCCGCCAAGGTCTTTAACCGCACAGTCGAGCTGGAAACAGCGCGGAAGTTGGTTGATGGGTGTATATGGGCATACGACAGCATGCCAACGGGAATTATGCCAGAACAGTTCACACTTGTACCGTGCTACGGCGAGGAAGACTGTACGTGGCGCACGGAGAAGTGGAACGAGGCTGTCAAGTCGGCGGGGTTTGACGAGTATGCAAGACAGTTAGATGCTGCGGACATCATCAAGGAAGATGGTTTGCCTCCTGGGTTTGCTAGAATCCGCGACCGTCGGTATCTATTGCGGTACGTACACCTTCTCAATTCTTTGAGTGGGAGCTGATGACAGGTATGCAGACCAGAAGCTATCGAATCCGTCTTCGTCCTCTACCGCATCACTGGTGACCCCTCGCTCGCCGATGCAGCATGGCGCATGTTCGAGTCCATCAACAACGCGACAATAACCGACATCGCACACTCTGCGATCGCAGATGTGACTTTGCCCGTGGACCACGCAAGTCAGAAATTGGACCAGTGTGAGAGTTTTTGGATGGCCGAGACGCTGAAGTACTTTTATCTGATCTTCAGTGAACCGGAGCTGATGAGTCTGGATGAGTTTGTTTTGTGAGTCTTGAGTATCTCGTTTTGATGAGAGCTGTGCTGACAAAGGAGCAGTAATACGGAGGCACATCCGCTGCGCAGGCCGCTGGCGACGTAAAAGAGTATTGGTAAGTATAGACTGTTGAAGCATACACGGAGACAGCTATGGGAATGGATCAGCATCAACAGGTTCTGGAGAATACACAATACCATGGGGTAAGCTATGCTGTTAGTTGAGGCAATACGTCAATTACAATATACATCTTTTAGCAACGCCATTCTTCTATCGTTTTTCTATCGTTTGTTTCAATCAGCTTGTTGTTGGATGTCGAGATTGTCTTATGGAGGTGTGGGCATGGTGCGTGCTTTATCCTTGCCAGGAATGGGGCAGAGCAGTACGGGGTGAAAGTATTAGTGAAATAACCATGACGTTGTTCAATCGTCCACAACCTTAAAACGGTCGGTCTGGAAGCCCAAAAACCATTTATTATACGCCATCGCAAGGACTGGGTAAAGCGAAGCTAACGTCCATTAGTCAAATATTATCGAGTCGTATTGCCGTCATCTCACCAGCACTGCGGCCAAGCTGAAACCATCCACACTATAAACGATTCTTCTTCATTCGTGAGTTACCCAGGGCTATTTAGCATCTCAGCCGCTCAAGAGTGACTGATATGCCTGACGTTATCCAGCGCAATATAGGTCCGCTCAGCAACCGGCTCACTGCTCGCAAACGCAAACGTAACACTCTGCAAATTCCTGAGTTCCTTTACCTAGCTCCCGTAGGATTTGCCTTTGGTGCTACTTCCTCTTTTGTGACGTTTAATGGTCGCTAGGACTATCGGGTCTATGGAATACTGCGCTGAGTTGCTATCTAGTGAGGAGAAGACGACTATATACTGGCTCTGGAACGTGCTAGTCCAGAACAGTCTAAGCAAAGGTAATAAAGTCTTGCATAGACCGAACAATACCGCAACAACAAGTCTAAGCATGACTATCACAAAGAGCGCAGCGTTCGTCTCGAACACGCACAAACCCATCACAACGTCATATTCAACGATAACTAGCCACTGAAGTATGCCTAAGCAAAAGTTCCATTCATCTGTAGTTGAGACTTATAAGATTGTTGTCCCTCATCGCATTGTGCTGCGTCCTGTCAAAGTGCCAGAGTGCATGCTATCATATAAAGTATTCGCTGCGCAAAGTCCGCATGTGCAAAAGTGATACTTCGCAAGTTCCACTGAAACATTTGTCATTCTTGCGAGAATTGCGATATGTCGAGGTGACAGAGTGGCTTGTATGTGCCTGCAACTTCGTTCTCTGCATCAACTTCTCTCCCAAAAGAGTGGTTGTTCGACGAGCCCCATCGCCCCAAGACCCTCGGCCATTTCATTCATCTCATGATCGAAGTTAAAACTCTTCTCGAAGACCCTGTCTGTGAACTTTGTCTCCACCTCTTTCTTCCCAGCCCATAGTGGCATCCCGTCTCTATCGTGAACTACGGTAAGCTGTGACGGTACGTCCGCGCATGAATCCGCACACTGGTACGCTTAGACAGCAGCAGTCTCGTATGCGTCGTCGTGCGTGAATCGTGAACGGATGTCCCATGCCACCGGACATTTCATCGCCTGGGCATGCGTAGTCCATAATTTTGTAGCGACTATGTAGCCAAGTTCTTGTTGGTCCGGGTGGACATTATTAGGTAAGCGTATAGGTTCAATGGTGATCTCGTGGGTACAAGAGCCAGTATCTACAGTATATGATAATGGTCTTTCTGTACAGATGGGCTCCACTCCAAAGTTCTCACACAAGTGTCGCATACTCTGTGCATGATAGCGTGCGGATGAGAATTCGCAAAGGCGTTCGAGAGTTGGCTTTTAATATGAACACCAGATGGGAAGAACTATCGCTAAACAATGTATAGCTGACCGGCTGTCGATGCCATACTGACGTGAGAATGTTCTCTATTGTGCGAGAATGAACTGTTGTCCCGACCAGGGGTTTTTTTTTTAAAAGAATCGATCAACCAAGAGGACTTATCTGCTTACAATTGACGCAAACCTGCGCTTGTTCTCAGTCCTTTGTCATATCCTCTTGATGGTTTTCTGTCGAATCTTCATTGTTAAGAACTTGATAGAAGTGTCGGATGTTTGCGTGAGTGTTTGACTGCAGCCCTGATTAATGTTGGTGCTCACGATTGCTTGGGCGCCGTGTAGACGAATGTTCATATTCTGACATCTCCAAGTCGAAGTTTATCGGCCCAGTTCGGCCTATACTTGCTTTTCATGTGCGTCATGAGATCGGCCAGGGACGCATTGAGCGCCGCAGAGCTTGGCCACTTCCAGGATGAAAGTTCGAGGACATGAACTGTGTTGGAGTAGAGCTGGATGACGTTGCCCTCGTAGATCTCAGGCATGTTCTGGATGATAATAGTACCAGCTCGGTATACCCAGTGCGGTGTAAGAAACGTGTATGTACCGCCTAGGCTTACGACAGCCTCAAGCACATACCTAGCGAAGGTAAGAGTTAGTAAGGATCGATGCTTGGTTCGACGGTAATGAGAAGCACTCACCATGCACTGCCCCAGCTGGGGTCTAAGAGGAGTACGGTAGTATGTAGAGCGATACGGACGACGGGAAGCAGTTCAGCCTTCTCGTCTAAGCGTGGCAGAAGCTTTCTCACATTCGACTTTACCGTCGAGTCGCCGTTACGAAACCGATGCTGTAATCGAAAGAGCGAGCACATATACTCAGCGGGCCTGGTCTTGTCAAAGCTTAGTTCCCAATGCTACGACCGTCAGCGACTATGTTTCAAAAGCTCGATGGACTAGACCCACCGGTTCAGGAAATGTCGCTGGTCGATCTAAGGTAGAGGCGATCTCGTTCTCTATGCTGAAAATGGTCATGTGCATATTTCGAAGCATCTCTGCATTACTTGGCGTTGATCCTTCTTGTTCTGCTTTCGCCCCAAGACTGTAAGCGATACGTGCAGCAAGAGCTATCTGCTGACCGATGTTGCCTGACTTTGGATCGAACAAGCTGTTTATAGCCATCAAAAGCACTGCTCGAAGCGTGTCTATGGTGGGCTCAAGAGTTGCCGCCTCAACGTGGTCCATAGCCTTGTTGTAAAATTTGCCAGCGAGATTGCGGTACTTAAGGCAGTTTGCCTGGTAATGGGCCTGTTTTCCTGATGATTGCCACAGATCCCGAGCGTCCTGTCGTTTTGCACTATTGGGAATAACGTGACAGGCGATCGAATAGATCATGTTGAGTGAGAAGGTTTCGATAGGTGCAAGGTCTGTAGGAACACCCAGACTGAGATATCGTTGCGACACATCGATGATAGGGTACACTGGCTGCCTATGAGATTGTCACCCCTGGTTAGCACACAGCTGAGATGCGTGCACAATTGGTAACACATACATGCACTCCAGATACTCTTCCACCAGCTCGTGTAGTTTCTGCGGCGAAGTCTTCCATTCAAGAATGAAGTCATCTTCTTCGTCGAATGGAGAGCGAACATAAGTGGACTGCAACCGCGGTGACTTCAGAAGACACGATTCTGAGCCGAGGTAACGGTAGCTGTCCGCTGCATACGCAAAGTGATGTTCATATTGGAGACTGGTGCCTGGCAGAACTGGCTCAGGTTTTGCGGCCGCGTTCAAGCTCGCACTTTGTGGTGTGTCCACTGATGCGGCAGGTGATAGGTTGTTTCCTGCTTCAAGCCTGCGCACGTGATCGACGAGCTCAGATATGTAACTGCACACTATAAGGGCCTGTCCAAGTTCAGTCGACTCTCAGCCATCGTACCTGCGAGGTACCAGCGCGCCACGACCATGATCGTAGTATACGCAATCAACGCCTGCTTTGGTGCATTGTCTGTTGTTGTTAGCCCAGGTAGCCAGCCGTCGGGATGGAGCAGCAATAACCGGCATTTCGGGAGAAGTGTGTCGCAGCCACGGCGGCATTCCCGGCAGCGCTTACATGCAGGCAAGCCCTGTTGCGCACATGAGTTGATGATTCGAGTTTCTGGGCTAACAAGGAATACCTGAATCACAGCGTCCAAGTCAACCGCAGGTGCGTTGCTGTTACTAGTATTGGAAGCCATTCGGGCGATGTCGGGTGGCAAAGGTCCAAAGCTTCAAGAGTCAGAACTATCCAGATATGTCGCCATCACAGATGCAAAAGGCGGCAACAGCATCGATGTGCGATGAGCTGGGAAGTGACGAACTGGGATGACCGTGATGCGAGGGAACTGAGTGAGAGTCTTATCTGGCAAGCGCCGCCCATTGCAGAAGGAACTGCCAACCGCGGATCATCGGCACCCTCACTTGCGTACGCGCAACGTACATGGGTACTTGCATATACCCTTGAAAACGCTGCATTCTTCAAATGCAAGGACAGACAGCTTCACTGGAATATCAAGTAGAGACGTGGAAATACGTTGACGAATACATACAAACGTGGTCGTTGTATGAGCGCGCTAACCCAAGCTAAGCCCGAGGGTGCCAAATAACGACTCGGCTGACCACCGCGCGAATCGCCCCAATTCTTGAGCCTTGACCTTGAGTTCCCAGCATCATCACAACCATCACGACGGGCTCCATACCGCCATGAGCCTTGCGAAATCTCCTTGTAGATGCGTAGCGCCCACGTTGCACGATGCAGAAAAATAAAGTGCGCCGTCGTGTTCTCGCTTGCGCCAGGTGCAGGAAGAGAAAGCTTGCGGTGCTTACCTACGATGTCTCACTATATGGCCATCATACTAACGTATGGTAGTGCGACTTCAAAGTGCCAGACTGCACTCGATGCGTGGATGCCGGTGCAAGATGCGTTGGCTTTGACTCCTCGACAGCTTCGACTCTGCCATACCGGAGCATAGCTGATCATTTGGAAGCTCACATTGCCCGGCTGGAGGGAGCTCAGAGCCCATCTTCATCGAGACGCTTTGGTCAACTGTCACCAGCTACCTCATATGCTTCCGAAGCGCACCCAAGCTACTATGGTGCGGAGAAATGCGCTTTTGCCGACAGTCTTGTCAATCAAGCCATGGAAGACATCACTCCCCCGTTTCTCGGTGTCTCCAAAGCGAGGCCCATTTTACAGTGCGTTGTTAAGGGGACACAGCTGCCATCCAGGAAAGGACCTGTGGGATCCACTGATCTCGACGAAAACCACCCGAGGTCAATCATCAACCCGCCGACTATAAGTTTGTTTCGCGATTTGATTGCCGATGAAAATGGCGCGAAAATTCTTTTCGAGAACTATCTTGAACGAGTAATCACGCAGTATCCCATATACCATCGGACTGATGTAACGACAGCCTTCAACTCCATCTACCCACAAAAGACATCAAAGTCATGCGATGATTCTATTCGTAATCAGTACATCGTATGCATGATCATGGCCATCTCCTTGAGTACGCACGCCCGGAAGAACGTGGTGAAGGCCAACCAGCAAGCGTACCAACTCGTTAGATGCGCCATGCAATGGATTCCCAAAGTTGCAACGAACGACATTGCCGGCCTGCAGGCGATCCTCCTCCTGACGCAGTACATCTTCCTGAACCCTAGTATGGCAGATCTTTGGCTCTTGACGGGTCTAATAAGCCAATCGGTGATAGATCTGGGTCTTCATCAAGAACTGCCCAACGACGCCCAAATTTCTGACTACCAACGCGATATGCGCCGGCGCTTGTTTTGGTGCGCATGGGAGATGGAGGTCGGGGTATGCTCCATCTTTCTGTTTCCTACCAGCCTACCCATCAAGGGTATCCAAGTCAAATTCCCTCTGGAGATCGACGACACGGCTATCACTCAGCACGGGACCGTCCCCGAAGGGCGAGTGTCGAAGTTCACCCAGCGAATCATATGCAGCTTTCGACTCATCGAAGCAGAGTCCGTCTCGGTCATGTGGCACGATGAGCCCATTCCGAAGCGGTTTCATTCTATCGAGGCCTGGGGACAAAGCTGCATTGACCGCATTCACCAATGGCAAAGAGAGATTTACGCTGCAGCACGCGCAAACCAGGACCCAGGACTATTGGCAAGATGGGAAGAGATGATGCTGTACTCTGATATCGCTGTGCCATACGTCTACTTCATGCTCAACCGGCCCTCGAAACGCCTCCCGATTCCCACTACAGATCAGAGAATGATTGCATTGGCAAATGCTGTGAAGATAGCTGCAGGCTACTTTAAACAGTCAGAGGCCGCTTCTGGGAGGATCAAATATGTGTTCCACCCATGTCATCACGTCTTCCATTGCGCCATTGTCTTCCTGGAGGGCCTGCAATATTGCAAACAAGAGGTCCTTACCACGTTCCGCTGGGAACAAGTGGAGGAGTCGATGAATGTCTTCGCCGAGTGTTTTCGTTCGATTCGCGAGCGTTGGACGGCTGCCACCCGCTGTCTCGAAGAGTATGAGAGATCCCTGGCCCCTGTCAAGAAGGAGTACATGGACCTGTACGCTTCCAAGGCAAGCATTAGCACGCTTGTAGTGCCTCAATCTGCTACGCCAACGACATGTGATCAAACTATGCACGAGAACCTGGGCCTCGCAACAACCGAGCCTGGAGGGGGTCTCTCCCACTGGAATCTCTTCAACCCTACTGCAACATCAGAGCCAATCGAGCCGCTGAATGCATACGCACACACCACTACGCCTCGAGATTGGAACGCTGAGTTCCACTTATATCCAAGTATTGAGCACATGCATGGGATGGAAGCACAATGAGCTGCACGTCTCGATCGTCACCAAAGTTGCGGTTGACTGAAGGACAGTCAACACCGTCACAACTTCTGAAACCTCGGAATCGCGCTCCTTATCACCGGCTTTCGTACAAGCCCATGCAGAGGTGGAGTAGCAGAGTCAACTGGACAAGACGTGTGCAGGGAGGGATAATCACACCGGCACGATTCAGGGTCAGGTATGTCTATTGCAGTTGCCGTGCCTGGCTACCTTCTCTCCTTCTGCACGCACCGTCACCGGTCTTCTGCGAGATCTGGATCAGCCTATACAGGTCAACGACCCGTTGTTCAAACCTGTACATTCATTGCGACCAAAAGCACCTTCTACGAAGTGTAACGAAGGCTGAGGTCAAGCCATATGCCGGCATTCCTAGTCACGAGTCGTCATCCTGTGGCACAGTCGTTGGTTTCGGCATACGAACAGAGCAAGCAGGAACACTGCAGCTTCTGCATACTGGAGGTCACATAAACCACGACTCGTTTGACGTGGGATCCTCACAGATATCTACTTGCATGCAGCGATAGCTGGACCACCAGTTTGCTGGGAACGTTCCTACTGGTACACGTTTCTGAGCGATACCTGTCAACGCCTCATCATACGCGCCGAACCGAGAGCACCCCTGGGAATGATCAGTGGACACACCTGCACTCACACATCTAGGACAAGTGTGTCGCAACAGAATTGAATGCCTCACAGCAGCAGATCGAAGACCGGCTGCCGTACCTAGGTACTGTTGCAGATTATGCAGCTCTGCTACGACGCATACCTACTATCACATAACAACATGTCCCATTTCTTCCAAAAGACAGACCGGGGTGCACCGTAGAGGGTTCTTACAACTGGCTGGGAGGCAGAACTATAACATGTTGACACAGGATGCTTGCCTGTCGGAGTCCGCTCACAATTGCATATCGATAGTCTCCTCCGGCTCTGTCGGTCTGCCCAATCTCACCACCGCCTTCTTACTCCTCAGATCCATCACGATATTGAATAACGTCGCGCTCCCAGTCTCCTTTGTCTGAGTCCTACAAATCGAACCCGGCGCATTCTGCTCGTCCTCGAACAGCTTACTGAATGCCTCCCAGCTAGGCTCAGCACCCAGCGACGCTGCATTTGCCGTCATTGTGGGGACTCGCGTCAATGAGTCCTTCAGCCACACTGTGTCTGTTTCGCCCAGATGCTCTTTCAGCAGATGGTTTGCATGAACAATCCGCCCCGCAGCATCTGACTCGCAGTGTGCGAACGTTGACTTCGTGAACTCCAGACCTAAAGAGGTATTCGGGTCCCCGAGAAGTATGTGTGCCGAGGAGGCCATGCCATATCCCTCTAGCTTTTGTACAGCATTTTCGACAGAACTACTCTCAAGCGCCATACGCAGCCCAAAGTGTGCTGGCAGACGCGTTGAATCGGCGCCATGGACTCTGATGGCGTTGAAGAGAGTGCCTACGCCTGCGCTGTTGAATCCGATCTTGCCTATGATGCCGGCTTCAGTGACCTGGATGATGGTGGGCTTATCTGGCTGTGTGATCTTAGTGATGATTAGGTTTTGCTTCTGCTCTGTCACCCACTGTTTCTTGTCAATATCGCATCTTCAGACTAAACCTCACTCAATACTCACGTCCCAATTCTGCCCCAACCACGCCCTCTTCTCAGTATGCCACGCCAGCGCCGTACACCCATCACTGAATAGACCGAAATTGATCTCGGTTCGCACATTGATGGCTACGATGTCCAACAGCTCTTTCCCAGCACCGTCGGCTATGCCTTGCATTTCTTCATGGTATGCTGGCCATTGTGATTTTGCCTGTCGCTCGAACTTGGATGCATGTTGCAGGACTTGCGGCCACTCCATCTTACAATTCTTCAGAAAAAGCTTTGTGTAGAAGGTGATACAGCGATCGACCTGGCGTTTGGCTGCTTGGCCATGTTCAAAACCTATCTATTGTATATGTGAGCTGGTGGAGGCAGGAGCATGTGAGGGGAAAGGCAATGACGCCACGCCTTCTTACCTCGTACGGTGTGCCTCTGCATTCAACGAACAGCATCTTGTATATCTCTCAAAAGATTCTTGAGGAATGCAAATCACCCTAACCGCAGGGTGTAAATGTCTTTACATAACGTTTACCCTGCTCACTGACACCGGATTGCCTCACCTGGAGTGATCCTCGGAAGGCTGTTGCCCCTCACCTGCGCTCACATCCGTCTATTCACCCCCACCTTTCGCGCTCCTCCATCACGCCACCTGTCGAAGAACACTATGCAGATGACGTTATCGTTTGGCGACATTTGCGAATCGGCCGACTTCCGGATGACTCCACTTTGATAGCCGTTGTCAATTTCTTATTAATGGAAGCTTAAGATGAACGATTGGAACATGTACCGACATGTAAAGAGCTGGGATGGTATCAGGTCGCGTCAATATCTCCGAAAGAGGGGTGAAGTCCTGGGAACTTGACAAAGGAGCAGCTCCCGGTTTCTGAACAGCTCCAACAGAACCGTGTCACAAATCGGTACGCCCAGGAATCGTGCAAGACCTTAAAACATTCAACATGCCAAAGCAAGCACTATGTCCTTACAGTATTGACATCGATGCAGTGAGCGACTGGTAGATTCCTGAGAATCGAGCGCTTGCCACCACGGCTTACTGACTCCGACATCAAGCTCAACACCAAGACTGGCGTGCCAGCCAACCCCACAGGCACTTCGCGCGGACTTCGCGGGCTTCAAAAAGATGAAGGTCTTTGTAGTTTCATGGTGATACATCTTGCTGTTGCTGTGTTGTTGTTAGTTCGTTGACGCTTTTATGGTTCGTGTCTGCTTTTGCTGGCGGCTCGCCACAACGTAAGCCTCACACTATATATACGATACTGTCAATGGAAGGACAAGTCTCGAAGATTGGCACGCGCTATTCTCGCTTGTTCACACTCTTGAGGTGTTCATTGACGACGAAACCCACATCTCCTCACATCACTGCTAACTATCCCGCACCCACGGTCAAACAGCAACATCCACCTCAACAACCTCCCACCACTCCCTCCCACCATCCGCGGCCCCCGAAATCCTCCCTAAAGCACCCACACCCTTTTCCACCTCCCGCCAGCTCCACAAAAAGTTGACTTCCTCCCAGTTGCGCATCTTCTTAACAACCGTCTCCTCAATACTCTTTAGCGCCGCCTTCTCAGCCTCCTCTTTACTCCAGAACAGACCCCTCGAATCTGCCGCCAGGCAGTCCTTGTCCTGAATGTGAAGGCCAACGTCGACTTGCACCATCGTCCTCGGCCCCAGCGGAGACAGAGCAGTGAAGAACATCCAGACCAGCGGCGTCTCGGTGTGTTGAACCATGTCTTCGGGTCGGCGGATCGTCACTACGGGCTTTTCTTTGGTGCGGTCGGTGAGGTGCAGCATGAGGTAGACAGAGGGCATGTCTGCTTCTGTGGGTTCGTTGTTCAAGTGGTATGTTCAAGTGGTATAGTTGGCTGCGTGCGGGCATGGAGTTTGGGCGGGGTGCGACTTGGAGGAGGAGAAGGGAATGAAGGGGTGGGACGAGGATTGGGGTGCGGATATATGTGAGGAGCAGGGGAGTTGGTTTGATTGAACAGCAAGCCATGGCCACAGGGATGGGTCATTCAGCCTTTCGAGCAAGCAGCGGTATTCTGAACGCCGCACGTCTTCGTCTTGCAATCCCGCCCGCCATCACTACGAGCTAGGCTCCCTCTCCGCGAACATGCAGAACATCTACATCCTCGTCCGCAAAATCTTCTCCGATCCCCCTGTCGACTCGCTTCCCACAGACATCCACATGGTCCCAATCCCCTTTGGCGAAAACGCAAGCCCTCGTCAACAAAACAGAAACGCACTCGAGTATCAAATTCAACCTTCCTTCCACCGGTCGCGAAGCAGTCTTCTGGGCAGCGAAGAAGCAGACCGTAGCGTATCAGGCCAAGCTGCTACACGCTGATACGAAGTTGGACAGCGTTGTCGACGCATTTCACCGGGCGATGAAAGAACACGAGGATAAGTTGAGGGACGGGACGGGAAGACGCTCTGTGCGGAGAAGTGGCAGTGGAAGAGTGATGAATGGGGGAAGCGTGGTGATGGCCAAGGACAGTGACAGTTTTGGAGTTTTGGAGATGTGCAGTGGGAGATCTGGATCAAGGAGGTTTGATCGTGATGCGCTGAATAGTACGTTGCTACACCCATAACGAACGACACCCGTGGTTCATCCTTTATCGTCTCGAGAACATACCGCCTGCCTTGCTGGCCTCGAACTGCTTGCTCACACTGCCATACTTAGCCTGCCACGCGAAGAAGTACAACAATGCGCCCAAAGGCTGTCCCACCAAACAAAAGCTTACCCAGAAGATCATGTTTCCCGCCGTTTTCCCATCGATGCCGCGAATCTTCTGAATAACGTCAGTCAACGCGATGAGCGGTATCTGGACCATCATGCCCACAAACGCGACACCGATAATGTTGTGTGTGGGCACACCGACGAGCAGCTCGTGCAAGACGCCCGAGAAGAAGAAGACGATGATCTGGGCGACAGGAGGAGGCACGCCACGACCGACCAGCGGCGAGTAGACGTGTCGCCGCATGAAGTTTGTGACGGGCTTGTTCCACGTAGTCCAATAGTTGCGGATGGAGGACACGTTCCACCAAGGTCCGTAGAACTCGCGGTCACCAAACCTCATGATCTCAGCCAGAGCGTTGAGCGAGGACTGAAAGAGGGCGAAGAAGCCGCACAGCCAGCAGAAGACGCTGATGGTAGAAAGCTTCATGACCCGCTCGAGGATCGCGGTGAGATTCAGCGTCAGGAGCTTGTCGAGAGAGTTCTGGAGGAGCGGCGCGGCGTACTGCGCGCTGGCAACCCAGACGACGATGCTGAGACCAAGGACTTCCAGCAAGCGGCGGAAGACGAAGCCCCAGCGGATGTGTGAGGTGCGTGGGTAGACGGGCTGGTAGACGAGCGTAGGTGCCCACCAGAAGTAGCACATGTTCTTGAAGTGGATGTTGTGGGGATACGGGCAAGACTTGTAGAGTTCAGGGAGAGGTTCGGCTTGCTTGGGGTGCAGGTAGGCGTGCCGTAGATCGCGGTTCGTGAAAGCGTAGGAGGCACATTTGAGGAAGACGATGACGGCGTGCAGCTCGCAAAGCGTACCAATACCGGGGTGGTGGATGTCGTAGTAGACGTATTTGGTTGCAATGTAGAGGTTCGAGACGGCGTTGACGCTGTGGAAGAAGGCGACCGTGTGCCAGGTGGCGTTGAAGCTCTTCAGCGCGGCAGCGTACTTCTCGGGTGTGTCTTCCTCCTTCTCCTCTGAGATCTTTGCGTGCGCTCGCTTTGCCTGCCAGGAGGCAACCAGCTCGATGAGGTATGTTACAAAGAGGTGGACGGGGACGAGGAGATAGAGCAGCAGCCCGGTGATGACGTCTGATCTTCGATAGTCGTGGCAGCTGATGCAGATGAGGACGCCATACTTTTGGAGGTTCACCATCATCAGTCGCAGATTGGAGACGACTTGTGGGAATCAGCAAGGGCTCCCGTCTGAGTGGGAGGGGGGGGGGGGTTGCATACTAAGGACCAAGATCATGAGGTTCCTGAAGCCAACGAAACTGGGCATATCCTCGGACTCATGGCTCAGACAGGTGATGCGCGTCACGGAGTGTGTTGCGAAGACATGGCGGTACTTGCTGTCTTTGCTGCTCTTGCGCCTGTGGGTTGAGCGGTTGGTCTGCTGCGTAGGATTGCCGTTTTGCTCCGTGTTGCGTCCACGTTGTTTGGTAGAATTGGCTGCGTGCGCGTCGGTCCCAGTGGACGACGACTGAGTGAGTGTCGCCATGACAGCTGACAGTCGATGCTCCGCGGGCGGTTCCGGCTCTTTATCAGACGATTGCTGGGCTGGTGAGGATTGCGTCTCTTCTGCCGAGGCGGTGGAACGAGACTCGGTAGACCGGTCGGACGGATTCAGCTACTTGGCCAGCAGCTGGGGGCGGAAGAAGAAGGCTCGGCCGCAGTGGTCGCAGTGGTCGCAGTGGTCGCAGTGCATGGCGGGCTTGGTGCACTTGAGGGAATAGATACGGCCATGCGATTGTTGGGGCTGCGGGGAATGTCGAGGCCCAGGACCACCGTTCCCTCTTTCCGATGGTCCCCGGCTTGTGGCTGCTCGTCGTCCCCGGCTTGTGGCTGCAGCCACTTGTGGCACTCGCGCGCTAGTCGGCGGAGCTGGACCTCAAACCTCCGCGCAAAGCAGTGAAGGGCGGTCGACAACGCGTCGTGACCACCGCAGCAGCCCATGGAGCGCTGATACCGCACACATCTCACCAGCGCGGTGAAGACGACGTCGCGACACACTAGTCCAAATGGAGCGCGAACCTTACCAGCACCAGTTTGAGGGCGGACCGCGCGCGCGACCGAAGCGTATGTCAACCCCAGCCGTCTGCTTGCAGTAAAGCAGTACTGACCTCAGCAGGCGCCGTGACCGATTATGGGGCCACAACAGTGCAGTGGATGCGCAATCGCCGCCCGCGGTACAAGAACATTGGCCTGCCTGAGATGGAGCGTCCGAGCGCAAGCTACATGGTCGACATGGTGCCTCCCGCTGCCCGCCTGGCCAGCGCCGCAGAGTCGATACCCGCAAAAGCCGTACACTCCTCCCTCAACAAGGTCAAACACCCTATCAACGTAGTCAAATGGACACCAGAAGGTCGCCGCTTGCTGACGGGGTCGACGAGCGGCGAGTTCACCCTCTGGAACGGCATGGGCTTCAACTTCGAGACCATCATGCAGGCCCACGAAGCTGCCATTCGCTGCGTCGAGTACACACATACCGACGACTGGCTCCTGTCAGCAGACCAAACCGGAGTGGTCAAGTACTGGCAAACCAACTTCAACAACGTCAAAGAAGTCCAGGCGCATACAGAAGCAGTCAGGGGCCTTGCCATTGCACCAACAGACTCCAAATTCGTTACGTGCGCCGACGACACAACACTGAAGATTTGGGACTTTGCGTCCAGCCAGGAGGAGCAGACGCTGACGGGACATGGCTGGGAAGTAAAGTCAGTAGACTGGCACCCACACAAGGGGCTGCTCGTATCGGGCTCAAAGGACCATCAGGTCAAGTTTTGGGACCCGAGAACTGGCCGCTGCCTCACAACACTACATGGACATAAGAACCCAATATCAAAAACCATGTTCGAGCCCACCCAGGGGAATCTGCTAGCCACATGCGCTCGTGATCACACAGCCCGCATCTTTGACCTGCGCATGATGCGCGACGTTCTTCTTCTGCGCGGCCACGACAAGGACATCATCACCATGGCCTGGCACCCCATGCACAAGAACCTACTCTCCACCGGCGGCGTCGATGGCAGCATCCACCACTACCTGCTCGACGAGCAGAACGCACCCGCAGGCACACCACCCACCCTGTCCCCCTACGACTCCGCCGATCCTCACAACGCGCCCGCACAAGCCATATATCCGGCACACAGCATCCAATACGCCCACGACTTCACCGTCTGGACCCTCGACTGGCATCCGCTTGGCCACATCCTAGCCTCCGGCTCAAACGACCGCGTAACCCGCTTCTGGACACGCCCACGTCCCGGCGACACAAAGTACCCCGAGGATAGGTACCACATCGGTCAGGAAGCCGCGGAAAAGAACGGGACCTTCGATCGCAGCCACGGGCGGCGCCAGCGCGCAGAGGAGGAAGAACAAGAAGCCGAAGACGAGGCAGAAGGTCTGGTTGACCAGAAGTTACCCTCCAAATCCGCAGGCGTCGGTTCTCTACCATTCCTACCTCCTGGCCTCAACCTGCCGGGCCTCGCGCCAGCGAACCCAGACGGATCTTCCAGCGCGCTCCCCGGCATCGGCGGCGTCCCACATCCAGGTGGTCAAGGCATGCCACCCCTCCCCCCTCCGCCAAGCGGCATGAGCCCCTTCCCCTCTGGTCCTCCGCCACCATTCCTCGGCGGCGTCCCACCAGGAATGGACCCCTCTCGTCTCGCAGCACTCATACAATCCGGCGCTATGCCCCCTCCCCCGCCTCTCCCGCACCACGGCGGTCCACCTTCGCAGCACAGTGGACCACCTAGCTTCCCTCCTCCACAACAGGGCAGCGTGCCTCCTCAGTTCCCGCCCGGACCGCCGCCGAACTTCCAGTTCCCGCCAGGCATGCCGCCCGGGTTTCCGCCACCTGGCTTCCCTCAAGGTGCGCCACCCGGGTTTCCTCAAGGTGCGCCGCCTGGGCTCCCGCCGCCTGGAATGCCGCCTGGCTTTCCACCACCGGGTTTTGCGCCGCCGGGGATACAGATGGCAGGCCAGAATGGTGGGCCGGTAGGAGGGCAGCAGAATGAAGGACAAGGATGGGAGAGAAAACGAGCGCCGTTGCCGGATCAGAATGATGCGCTGCAGGCTGAGATGCGGCAGGGGCGGTATCGGAAGGCTAGGTAGGACCTGGCTGGCGGTGGTGTAGACGAGAAGATTCAGGATGGGAAGGGGAGGCGCGGGAACAGAAAGAGGTGAAAGGGGCCGTTGGTGTATGAGTAGGCTGTTTGAGAACGATGATGATATCACAGTTGAATTCAGAATTTATTGCCGGATTTGCACTTGTTTGATCGCATGTAGAATTTGATCGCACGTAGAACTTGATGTGATTCAGCTAGTTTATCTTTGTTTTTGAATTCCTTTATCCAAAAGATATCTTCACAATTCTATCTTTTGGATGAAGGAACGAACTCAACGCCCGTACTTCATCTCTGCCTTGTACAGGTCTATCCCGACAACCAACTAACAGCGTACTCCGGCGCACTCTCCGCAACACCCCTCACCACCCCCAAACTCCTCATCACATCCTCCTCCAACACCTTCTCGGCGTGCTCCAGCACCACCCCGTGCCCCTCGGCCTTCTCCATCGCACCCACCATCTTCGCCAACCCCAACTTAACTCCCGTCTTGCCCTTCGCACTGGTCTGCAGGACCACGTCCGCGAGGCAGATGATACGGAGCAACCACGCGAAAACTTCGGGCTTACTCGCCCATCCCAGCGCGCCATCGGTCTCCTCCTCATATCTATCTGTCAAAACTGCAAGAGCATCATTCGTCCAAAGAGCTGCACTCTCGAACACGGAGGCCGGAAGAGAGGCAATAAGGGAGGGTGTGGAGAGTACACGACTCCACGATAAAGCGTCGAGTACGTCGTCTTTGAACAGGTTTTGTTTTTCCTGCGCAAAGAGGGCTGTTTGCGGCTTCGTCACTTCCTCTACTACCTCCGTGAACGGTGTGCTGAACAAGGGCGATGCGGGTGCGGTGGAGGAGAGGTGGCGCAGGGCGTGTGTAGCCAGTGCTCCGGACTTGGGAAAGAGAGAGATGAGGTGCGTAAGCAGGTGTTGGGTTGCCAATATCGGCGCCGTGGGCTCTCCCTTTTGCTTTGTTGTGGAGGAGAGGAAGGTTGAAGTGGCGAGTGCACCGAGGTCCCGAATCTCGTCGTCGTCGTCTTGCAGCATATCGTACAGAATTAGCCCGAGACCGAGGACATGCGGCGAGTGGCGCGATGTAGGTGTGCTTGCGGTCCAGAGGGAACACAAAGCGCAGATGGATTGTGCGGCGGCGAAACGCGTGTCAAAGGGATTTGTGTCGATGAGCGTCATGCGCAGGAGCCGGATGTAGCGGGTTAATGCTGAGAAAATGGTGTCACACGCTGAAGGGAGCGTGTAGTAGGTATGCTCGAGGAAGAAACCGAGGAGGTGTAGGGCGCTCTGCATGTTTGATGGTGGAGCGGAGAGACACTGTGTTTCTAGTTTGGAGAGGGTTTCGAGGAGTTGTGAGGAGGTGAGTAGGCTGAAGAACTCGGCTCGCCTTGAAGACCCATTGGCTAGAGCTTCTGCAAGTACGTGTTGTGCTCTTGAGATAACTTCTGGGTTCTCGGCATTTAGGACCACACAGTGGATGTGCGCCATGAGCAGAGATACCGGCTTTTTTGGTGCATCGGAGGAGACCTTTTCGATGATCGTCTCCAAAGTCTCGAGCGCAACACAGCAGGTATCCGGATCCTCAGCCGCCAGAAGCATAAGAGCATCACCGATGCTCTGGTAATCCTGTGCGACAATTGTGCCCAGGGACTCAGGACGAACGATGACACGGTCAATGATGAACAGCCTGGCCAACGCTTCGATACGAAGCGGGCTATCAGATTCACTGCTGATGCCCAGCTCATACTCTGGACCAATCTCAATGAACGAAGTGAGTTGTGTCCATGATGCCAGTACAGGTTTTGACTCCTGTCGCTGAAGTATGGACAAGCCGCACGTGCTGACGATGTCGAAGAAGACAGTGTCAATGAAGGGACATATGTTGTGTGTGAACCGTCGATCGACGCAGTTGATTAATTCCAGCAGTAAGGCCTCAATGCTTTGCGAAGCTACAGAAGGTCAGTAGGGCATTCATACTATCGAACAACGCAATATAGAAGCAAGCGGCTACAAATGTTGGGGCGAAAGTATTGTGGGAGCGTTGTACTTACCCAGACTCTTTTGATCATTGATCAGTTTCCTCATCATGTACTTAACGGCCAGCAGGACACCATGCCGGGTGTTGGTCGAGCGGTAGTCCTTTCCAAGCATCTCGAATGCCGCATCGTACATAATGTACGATGGAAGCAGGGACACAACTGTTCGTGCAGCCATATCACGCATGTGCCAATGCGGGCTTGCCAGAAGCTTTTCGACGGATGCTCGGATTGATCCAAGTTCATTTGTGGGCGGTCGCGCCTGCCGCAGGATTTGCAGTGCTGGGAAGACACCTTCAGCACCGTGGAGATCGAAAGGGTTACTGCTCTCTGAACTGTTTTCGAGTGTTTGCTTCAACGGACCACTTGGATCGAGAAGATCCGACAGTATGCTCAGCAGGCTAGGGTAGTTGTCGTACGAAAAGCGCGATGTCTTCGCCCGGTCCTGCTCTTTCCAGTCTTGTGCTTCACTGCTACCGAGCAGTCGTTCGATCAAGGCTTTGAAAAGCATCAGGCTGCAATTTCGAATTGGCCAACTACACATGCCATTAGCATCCTTTCGATCGAAAGTGCAACGTGACCCACATGTTTGAGTTCAGTGTCTTTGCTGCAAGCTCAAGACCTTGTGCGATGTATGCTTCTGATGCTACGCTGAGTTTGGAAGTGGTGAAAATTTCCTTGATGCAGTTGAGAGCATGCACCTGCGGCAGGCGACTCTCTTCGATATTGGTGTGTTGCGCCTCCACAGATGCTTCGCTGACGAGATCATTCATCGCACGAGCTAGCAGCTTGCCTCCCGCTTCTGGCTCGGCTGCGATGATGCTGGCCATCAGTGTAGGGATGCCAGCAGATCTTCGAGTAATAGCTCCAGCCTTGGCTTGCATAGACCGAAGCGTTTCCTGTGGGATCCATGTCAGATTCGATCGGAAGAACTATGTTTGCAAACTCACCTGATACCATGCATCTGGTAACGCTTGAAGTTCTGGAATCTTCGAGGTTGCACAACGACGACAGAAAGCCGCGAAGGTCTGAGCGACCGTTGAGTGCGCACCGCGATGGCGAAGCTCCAGAAGCTGTGTGAAGCAAAGCCGGCCGAGTCTTTCGAACACAGCTGGTGTAAGTATGCTCTGATCATCATTGCCAATCGAGGCTTTAGTGATGATGGTCCGTATCAGGACGCTGTCGCAATTAGCTGGTGGTGTATTCATTGTTCGGCGCACTTACCTGGCTTCTTTGAGGCCTCGCCATGAGTAGCTCAAGACTTCTCTTGTGTCAAGGTTTGCTGCTTCGTCTACCTCATCTGGGACGTTGCCTTCCGGAGCATCTGCACAAAGGACATTGTAGACAATAGACCAGAGTGTTTCGAAGCTTTCAATCAACTCATTGTGGGCTTCCACCCATGTACGATGAACTTCAATCTCCTCTTTTGCGATGGTGGAATAGAACGTATCTTGGTCTACGATGTATCTGCCAGATGTCAGCTAAGAAGCTTTAGTAAGAATTTACAGAGGTGTACGAACGTCAGTGCAGCATAGATACCATGCACTGGGCGACCATTGACAGCCTGTGATAGATTTGCATGAGCCACTTGGAGTGTTTCTGTCAACTGCCTTCTCAGACCATTAAAAACCTCAGATTTCGAAGACGGCAGTTCCAATGTTTCTGTAACGTTGGCGTTGGCCACAGTGAAGAGAAGCGAATATGCTCGAGCAACACCATCCGCCTGGTCGGCGCGCCCTGTGCGGACCATCATACCCTCTGCGCGGGCAATGAAGCGAGGGAGCGTTGATAGTACCGCACTCCTTTCGACATCGGGTAGCGCTGCGAGACAAAGCTGTAGGACTGAAATGGAAGCTTCCCTGATGTCGTCGAATGGATCCAATACCAGGTCTAGCAGCAAACGCATAAGACGGGTTTTCGAGATCTGCAGGCTGTGTGCCCAGTTCAGCTCTCCCTGCGCGGATTTAGAAAGCTGTGCGTGTGGAACTCCCGCATCGACACCGGATTTGAGAATGATGATCAAAGATCGCAAAGCAGTGATGCGACGCTGATAGGTACCGGTTGAACGCAGCTCCCACTCAAGGAACCTTGTGTACCATACGATGAATACCAGAGACTCCGTCAGTGGGTCTTCCGTTAATGTCCTGGCACTTGGGCTCTGCTGCTGGAAGCACTCCTTCGGTAAGGGTAACCGTCCCTGTTCCGAGGTGCGGCCTTTGATCAGGCTTTTCGATAGCGTAGCTGTACTCGCTCGAAGGCGGTCGAAGAGCTTCTGTGTGTAGCCATGAACCTCCCTTCGGAAGTAAGCATCTGTGTCTGTGTGAAGATGAACAAGATTGCGCTTCAGGGACTTGAAGATGCCACCGGTCATAGGCTTTGTGATAGCGGTAGAGTGTATTGAAAGAAACATTCCGGCGAGTCTGACCTCAGGCTCGGAGTGTGACATCCATGCGCCAAAGATGTCATCGGGCAGATGCAAGTAGTTGCCTTGGATCTCAATGCGATCGCATAAACGGTAGTCTGGATCACGTCAGCTCGCTTTTGACCTGCGGCTGTGGCAGTTGTGGATCAACTTACCGATGTCGCGAACGATGGTCAGCTCCTTTCCCGTCTCAAGAGCGGCCAACAGAATTTTGAATTCTTCCGACCTATCCAAGCCGTTGTTCTGCGATTCGTACGTACGCAGAGCTTGAGGTATGTCGCCTCTTGCCTGCACGTGCACGTCGAAACGTAGATACGAGAGCAAGCGAAGGTATTCGTCAATGTTTGGTAAGAAGCAGTGAGGGAAAACGTTGGCCTTGAACTCGCGTAGTCGGTCCGGCCATTGATGAAGCATATCAACGACCGGCTCTATCCATATCGGTGAGATGGTTGTGTTGTCACCTTGAGCAGTATATTCGGGCAGCCGGCGCGCCTGGATAAGGAAGTTCTTGACCAAATGACCCGCCGAGAGTGAAGTGTCATGGTGGACCACCCATGTGAGGAAAGCTTTGAGCAATATTTGCGGAGATGGTGTTCCTGATTGTCCAGTGAAGGTTGATTGAGCACCGTAGATCTCGAGCAGCTGTGCAATTGACACTACATCCCGGAGTAAGAAGTGTGCAAGACCTTGCACGGCCGGTTTGACCTTCATACGGTCTTGTCGGACACAGGTAATGTCCATGAAGGTTGCTGCAGCTTGGAGTCGGAGCTCGGACGCTCTTGTGCTTTGGTTCTTAGTTATGACGCTGGTGAGAAGCAAGAGCATTTGTCTCATGGACTTGCCCTTGGCATCGTCTGATCTTTGCAGGTAGATGTTAAACAGTCGAAGCCATATCGAGTCATCCAGGATAGCGTCGCGCGCATACTCAGTTTTCGATGCTTGGCAGGATTCAATGATTGAGCATAGTGCATTCGATGCTGCGGCTCTGTGACCAGGGTTTAGGTCAGGCAGATCAGCAGTCTCTAGGAGCGGGTCAACCAGGTCGCGAAGCTCTCTGGCAAGGTTAGCATCGATTGGGAGCTGAACCTCGATGTTCACGGACTTTGCATCCTTACTTCACGCCGGTGATTGGCTCCTTCTCTTCAAATCGAGGGATGGCTTTGGACGCATTTTTAGCCAAGTCTCGCAGAACCTTCTCCGGAGTTGGCACTCTCTGTCTCTCCTCGGCCTCTGCCATCGTTCTAAGCTGCGAAACGGTCGAGGTCGTGCGAGGCGTCAGGGCCACGGACCACAAATTTTGAGGTGAGGGTTGAATGGCCAAATGTGGCGAATTTAGCGTGGCCGTTAGCGTCGAATTGGAGCTGCCAAGAATTGACCAACTAGCTGGTACCTCATTTTGGCTCAAGAAGATCAAGAAATCCGTCTAATCTTGGACCCTTAGACATTGTTTTTCTGCTCAAGTTCATTGTGGGGTCTGATCTATGTCCTGGTTTGGCGCGCGCTTGAATTTAGTCCTAATAGGGGTGTACCGTATCCGTGCGCGTAATGCGCGGATTCGCGTAATGCGCCAAACCACCAAAATAGCTCCACCAAAAATGAGGCTGTAGAGCCACACACAATGTATTATCATGAGAATTTTTGGTGGAGTAGTCTATAGACCTATATGAACAGGTTTCTCACTCAAACTTTTGTGGCGCTCTGATTGGGTGGCTGCGGCTGTTATATGTTACTGGAGGGGATGGGGAGCGAGGCGCAGCAGCAGCACAACTACAGGCAGCTTGTGAGAGGGGCCAGCTGGGGATACCAACTGCTCTCTGAGATGGATGAATGGGGGGAAGGAAGGTTCAGGCTTGTTGGAGATAAGGGTGTAGAAGAGACTAAGTGTTGTCAGGCCTGGCTGATGATATAGTACTGTTCCGGCTAGAGCTCACCATTAGAGTGAGCCGTGATACCTTTTGGCTTACTTGGCTCAGTGGGCCAAACCTGAGTCTTGACAAGTGTAAGAACACCACAAGTGATCGAAAGGATAGATGATGAAGAAGGTATCAAGTGTGGGGATACCACAAAGGATCAGTGAGTTGAGGAATGAGTTGCTGGAGTGAATTGAATTGCAAGCATGAGTAAGAACTATCTAGAGGTGGGAAGAAGAGGGTTCATATATCTATGTAAGGAGGTGCCTTGCACTATGCCTATATATTAGATACTGTCACGGGTATATACTGTTCGGCTCCCAGTACCCATATCTATTGGGTTACTGTACCTTTTTGGTTGGTGTAGCTCAGGTGGGACCGAGCCTAGCCCTCACAGATACAGAGCCCAATATCAGCAGTTGTGCTGATATTGATGTACTTTTTGGCCATTTGGCACAATGGGGCTCTGTATTGTTACACTACTTGCTATATAATTGAGCAGAGGATTGCTCAGATCACTTGGTACTGAGCATACTGATCGTACCGAGTATACTGCTTGTACTGAGTATACTGCTCGTGCCGAGTATCGCCAATGCGGCCTCACTGCTCAGGTTGCTTGAGTTGCTCAACTAAGAGTGATGATCATACTGAGTATTGCCAACGTGGCCCACTGCTCGGGTCGATCAATACTACAGTTCCTTGGCTCCTCTCGTATTGTTGCATGGTCCTGTTTGTTCAGTGTTGTTGCGGGTTGCCCTTTGATTGTAACATCAGTTTGGTCCCACCTGAGCTACACCAACCAAAAAGGTACAGTAACCCAATAGATATGGGTACTGGGAACCAAACAGTATATACCCGTGACACACTGCCAACAGGCTGTTACAATCAAAGGGCAACCCACAACAACACTGAACAAACAGGACTACGCAACAATACAAGAGGAGCCAAGGAACTGTAGTATCGATCGACCCAAGCAGTGAGGCTGCATTGGTGATACTCAGTATGATCATCACTCTCAGTTGAGCAACTCGAGCGACTCAAGCAGTTAGGACGCGTCAGCGATACTCAGCATGATCATCAATCTTGGTTGAACTGAGCAGTGAGGCCGCATCGGCAATACTCAGTATGATCATCAATCTTGGTCAAGCAACTCGAGCAGTTAGGCCGCATCAGTATACTTGGTACAAGCAGTATACTCGATACCAAGCAATCTGAGCAAATCCTCCTGCTAAAGTATATAACAAGTAGACACGCTGCCCTTATGGCATTGTGTTCAACCTCGTCAATCAACTTTGTTGTTGGAATCTCACTTGCTCTTGAGCCAGATAGTATACTCTGTACTACTTATTGCTCCCAGTCATCACGGCCTCCGGCTAGACGGCTATTACCGCAACTATTACAAAGGCTACTACTGCCTTGCCCAGATAGTCTACCCCTGACCACCCGAGCCTTGCTTAGGTGACTGTCAAAGCCCTATGGACTCCCTGTACCTCCGCTCATCCCCAAGAACCAATCGAATAGTGTCTACAAGCTTTGCTTAAGGCACGAATCGCAACAGCAACTCGACACCATTAGCCAGGATCATGGAAGCGAAGACCTATTCTCACACCCGGCTATTATATGAAGGGCTGACCGAATATTGATCTAAAGAGAATGTGTCGTCGGAAGGCAGTGTTATTCATCATCGGTTGTAGTCGCGAGCGGTTTCAGGATTGGTTCAGAAGGTCGAAGGTGAAGGGTAGCACCAGCATTGAGCACATTGAGATCGCTGTCATCTATCAAAACGTTGTCAACTTGACTGTTTACGTACGATCGTTCCCGGATTTTAGCATTCTGATCAGTACCTGATAGCTTGACACATGCCGCAAACAACTCTGCACCTTGCCGATGTCATTATAATGACTTTCACAAGTTGCTGACCCCCCTCTGCCTGGAAACCATGATGTCATCTACCCACAAAGTTGTTCTTTGGGCCAAAAAGCTATATCTCATCATCGTTCCAATTATCAAGGGGGGTCAGCAACTTGTGAAAGTCACCGGTACCTACAATCACCACTGAATGTGGGGAGGTACATGCTGCACTTAGACATAAGTTTTAGCCATCCACAAAGTCTTTACCGAGCCATCGCAACCCCTGACTTGAGACAGAGCCTTTGTTTGTCCGCCGTAACGACTGGGTGCTTCAAGCGAAAAAACCACCGCCCCCCTCATCTGCATCCTTGTAGTGCACGCCACGCGCAAGCTCGCATGGGTCTGGAGCATAACCGATGGAACAGTGCTCCCACTCTTTGTCGTCCATGAGGTAGCGTCTAAAATTGAGAGCATGGTAGATGTTACCGAAGCGGAACTCGATGTAGTGGTGCTGTTGACGCATTAGTGTACCTCCCAAATCGACAGTGGACCGTAAGACTTACATTACGTGCGGTCTTACCTTGCTTGATGCGGTCGACATCTCTCGGAATCTGTTGCTTGCCGCGCGCGAGCTTGAACAGGGCACCATCTGACCAGTCGTCGTCTGCGCCAGTGGCTCGAACGCAGCGAGATGCGTCTCCGTTGATGCAGTTCTGGATTACGTCGTTGATAGAATTTGGTCCTGGCTGCTTGTCTACAAAGATGATCGTCTTCTTCGTGTCGCCTTGAACCTCAATGCCGTTCTCTGTAGCATCGAGATAGGCCTGACAGGCTTCGGGTGTAAGGAACTTGACGAGGGCATGCTCGGAGCCAGGCTCTGGCATGGAGATTGACTCAAGTCTACCACCCCACACCAGAGCTTGTAGCTGGGTCAGTGACTTGACCCCACCAACGCCCTTTAGAACACAAGCTCGATAGATGGTACCTATGCGGGTCAGCCTTCGTCACAATCAAAGCATACAACTACAAATGAAGATGATTGCTTAACCAGCCCACCAACTTTTCACTTACCATGTTCGCGCTTCTCCTGGGTCGGCCAAGCTTTCATACCTTCGAAAAGATCGGCTGCCGCCACTTTTAACGTGTTAACGGCAGGAGTCGGTGGTGGAGCCACGTCGGTCTTTGCATCAACCTTAGAGGCCTCTGATCGCCCTGCAGTTGGACTGTCGTCTGCTTTCGGCAGCACGTCGAGGACATTTTGGCATAGCCCCGTGACTTGCTTCAGATTGTCAAGCGCAATGTATTTGCTCTTCACCAGAGCGGCACACAGTTGCAAAAAGTCACCATTGCTATGAAGCAGCACCTTCTGGACAAAGTCTGCAGTCAGTGGCTCTGGGTTAAGCTTGACCTTCTTGTTGACGTATTTCACCACAGCAAAGATGTAGCGTGCTCGCAGCTTCTCTACCTCTTCTGGTTGGAGCTTCGTCAGGTTGGGGGTGTAAGCGATGTGCAGCTTGGTCGCCACGGCCTTGATGATGTGTGCACAGTCGCCAACACGAACGGGAAACGCACTGAAGTACGCCGCAGCCTTACGGAGATACTCTCCCTCGCACTCGTCTTGAGTCTCGCCTTGCCAACTGGCGGTGGACGGAGCTTGCTGCATCTCAGGTGTTGACCAGGCGTGAGTTGGCACATCCTGGAGGCGCCCAGGGTCCAGTAGTAAAGAGGGTGGATGCACCTGGCCTTGAGTCGGGGGGCAAGTTGAGGCAGAATCCTTTGTTGAGAGGGTGCCAGTCTCCAAACGGTCCTCAAATGAGAACATAGACTTGTCGGGACCAACGGGACAGAGCTCCTCGGCAGGTCTTGAGGGAACAGTAGGGGTTGCAGCTGACAATTGGGCGAAAATTTCATCTAGAGAGCTATTCGCGACGAGGTTTTGTGGAGGTATCTCAATCTTCGAAGGCGGAAGCGTAGGAACTGAAAATAGCGGAGGCACCACGTCAAGCTGAGTAATTTGTGGTGTCTCATTTCTGCACAAAAGATGTCAGTAACGTTCGAAGAGATGAAAGTCGCCAACACAAGGTTATCCTCAGGATCCAATGTACACACGTACTCCTTAGTTGCTGTTTGCTGTGGCTTGACCTGGACATGAGTAGGCGACGAAACTGGTGTCGGCAGCGTCGCTGCTGATCGTAGAGGTGCCTCTGGAAACGGCGCGCTGCGCGCTGGACCCGCAGCGCTCACGATCTTGACTGCATTCTTCTTGAGCTTGAAGGTACCTGCATTGTCAGCAGGTCGGACGGCGAGGTTGCTTTGTGCGTCTTGTGAAGGCCTCGCGTCCTGATGACCCCGAGGAGGGCCAGTGTTGCCGCGAACAGGGCCTCCGTGCAGCAGTGAACGATTCATGCTTGCAGTGACTGATGGTGAGAAGGGAGGAGGTAATCACCACATTTGTCGTTGAGGTGAGAGGGGAGGGAGAGGCAGGGAACCAGATGGCTCCACAGGTGTAGGCGAGGTCACTGCGCGCTTGGCGAAAGATCTGACGGTGAAGTGACCGCCTGAGAGATGCTGTTAGCCGGGGCCGACATGAGACGAGGTGAGAGAGATCTGCACGTACCTGTTGAGCTCCGCTGCTTGTTGACTGGAAAGTTCTCGAGACCACTCTGGTAGAGCTCGTCTTCGCTGCTGTTAGGTGGAAGAGTGGGAGAAATATAAGCTTGCTCAAACATGAAACAACAGGCTAGACATTGGCACAGATCGGGGATGATGTTACAGGAAGATAATTTTGGGATGAGAGAGCGAATGATATGGGGGAGAGTTGTTCGTGGCTGCCGTGTTCGGCGGCTGCGGCCATAGCCATCACTGTGAACACAAACGGGACCCAACTATGCTTGACCCAGGACATACTACCTCTCGTACTCTCAGGAAATCGCAAATAAGCCATGGGCTGACATCGGATCCTGGAGGCTTTCAGAGACGCCAACCATATCCAAGCCGTTTTCTGAAACCAACTTCAATGGAAAAAGTCTTTCCGGCATGCGATGACAGGATATTGCCATAAGCAGAGCTTCTAGAAGTTGTTGACGCCTCTAAGTGCGCCCAGGATTTGAGATTGGCCCTGATCTTATTGACAACTTTCATCGGTATGAGAGACTACATGACGCATTTGGAAATACGACTAGATCCTGCAACTACTGTAAACAGGAACGCAAACATGGTACGTCCCATGACATGTAGAACTAGTTGAAATGCATTAGACAGGAGAGACGTTTGGACACCTACTTTGAAGAAGGCCTTCAAGAGCGAAGAGAGCTACGCCAGATGTGCAGTCTAAATCATACGTTCATTTAAAGACTATCCAGCTTTGAGCTTGATGGTATTCTGTTCAAAACCCCTCGTACTACGAAGAGGCTCGTGTTTGAAGATGCACTAACAACACACAGCAAAATCTTGAGCAGGCCAGCGCAGCGCAACAAGGGGGATCTTCTGGTTCATATCTGTATAGCCAGGAAGCCTTCAGCAAATTGACATAGGGATCGATTTTGTATTGCGGTGCTGCAGGCCGTTGAACTTGGAACCCTTTCGATCAGTCTCCGACAAAGAGCCTCTTCGTGCATGCTGTACGTTCAATGGACGTCCCAGCTTCAGACAGGGTGATCCATCAAGACCTGGCGTTTCCGTGGCATCATGTTGGGGAATCTCTACAAATCTACATGTTTATAGTTTGCGGTTTGCAGAGAGATGATGGCTTTTGATGAACGTGTGGTGAGAGCGAGGCGATCGCCCATTCGATGTGTGGCTGGGTAGCGCCTGCACCGTGCATGGAGATCCCCCGACGTCACCGATCCGAACGGTGCCTGAAGCGCAAGACTCCACCACCAAAGTCCAGAACAGCTCGAGCTCTGCAGCCACGGAACGCTTCCTTGCTATCCATACATTACCCCAGCGCCGCAGTACCTGCTTCTAGATACACTGGGCCTACCCCGCGATGTGGGACGACGAGGACAACAACCCATATGGGTCCTTTGCCCGCCATGATTCCAACACCTCTGATGTTACTGGGCTAGCCTCCCCTACTGCCTGTAAGGCTTCAATATCCAATGCCCAAGCTGGAGCAGGCCCATAAGCTTACTGTGCTGTAGTGCCGTACCGACCAGCGACGCCGCCTTCCGAGACATCGTCCCCCGCGCAAGAGTCGCCCGAATATGTCTCGCAGAGGGACATGAGCGATGTCGACTATGACGAGGACCAGCAAAGCGGCGATCCTGTTGCACCTAAGAAGGGCGGGTATGATGCGCGCGTGGAGCAATGGCTGTACGAGAACCCAGGGCAACTCATCCTCATCACCGAGGCGGGGAAAGACAATGTCAATTTTATCCAGTACACTATCAATTGCGGCGTAGGGAAAACATATCCAACGGCAGAAAGATGGGCTAACACCATCATAGGGCCTTGAAGTTAAGCGCAGGTACTCTGAATTTGCTTCATTGCGAGCGACACTGGTCAACCTACACCCTACCCTTATCATACCGCCGATACCTGAGAAGCACTCGATGGCAGACTATGCCGCACGTCCTACAAAGGCGAAGGAAGACGCTGGTATAATAGAGCTGAGGAAGCGCATGTTGGCTGTCTTCCTCAATCGCTGCCGGGCCATGAAGGAAGTGATGGAGGACGGTGTCTTCTGGCGATTCCTCGATCCGCACACAAGCTGGGTGAGCTACTTTGGCCGAGGCTAGAGTCGATTTCCGCTAATCAATGCCGTCAGAACGAGGTGTTGAGCAGTGCGCCAGTCGCCAACATTCCCAAGCAGATCTTGAAGGCTCCCCCACTGAACACCGCGAACCCTACTCAAGCGCACAGCTATCTCCCCGTCCCATCGTCCTCGGCGAAGCTGAAGTCTGCTGGAGCGACATCCAGCTCAGGCACTCCCACATCACCACCCAATCACGCCGCACTACCCTCCGCCGCTGCGCATACAATACCTGGGCCGCAGGTCTTCGGTCGCTTTCCACCGGAGTCGCGGGAGCTGTCAGAAGAAGAGCTGGATCCATACTTTGTCAACTTCGAACAGTCCTCGAAGGAACTGGAATATCTGCTGCAGGGACCAATGGAGAAGGTCAACAGGCGGTTGCTCACGCACTTGGGAGCTTGGGGTGATGACATGGCAGAGCTGGGCGCACGCTTCAACGCATTCTCGCTGTCCGAACAATCTCAGTCGCTTGCCGCAGCGATAGAGAAGACAGGACAAGCAGTCGACTCCACCTACGTTTCAACTTCCGAACTATCCTCTTCCCTCAGCGCAAGCTTCGCCGAACCCATGCGCGAAAGCGCACAATTTGCTGGTGTCGTTCGCACCGTCCTCAAATACCGCATACTCAAGCGGATACAAGAAGACATGACCAAAGACGAACTTGAGAAGAAGCGCAACCTCCTTGAATCCCTCGAGCGCAGCGAAGCTGAGTCGAAGCGTTTGGAACAACACCTCAGCGGCGTCGGCCAAGTCCCGCCCACACGAAGTCGCGCGGCCTCACACAGCTCTCAACGAAGCGGCAACTCGGAGCCCAGACGGAGTGCGGAGGCAGATAGAGCGTCGATCGACTCGGACTTCCCGCCTACGCACGGCGATGGATCACCACCTTCAAGTCATCAAGGTGCGCCAGACAGCCCGAATGCGAGCGCATATTCGCCCCCGAGCAGCCCGCATAAGAAGACAGCAAGTGGGAACTTTGTTACGAATAAGCTGTTTGGGTCAATCACACATGCATTCCGGGGTATGGCGGATGTCGATCCTGAGAAGACAAGGAGAGATCAGATCGGGAAAACAAGAGACAGTCTGGTGCAGGTGAGCAAGCAATTTATACTCCAACCTTAAGAGGAGAGTGCTAACACATCATAGCTTGAGCAAGCCCTGGGTGTTGCAGAGAAGGACACTAAAGATGCAAGCTCTGGCGTCATGAAGGACTTGCGGAGATTCCAAGAAGAGAAGGAGAACGATTTGCGGCGGTACATGGTAAGTTCTAACAAGATTCCACGACATACTCTCGTCCATACTGACACCCATGCAGATGGAGTTCGCACAATGCCATATCGACTGGGCACAGCGCAACAAGGCCGCGTGGGAGGAAGCGAGAGTGGAAGTCAACAACATCCAGCACCCAGCAGACGAGTACCCGAGGAGCTCTAATGATATGTAGAAGAAGCAGTAGATGTAATAGCTCGATGAAGAGGATCGGGCGAATTGAAATCACTATCTCATCATTCTCAAGATGCAATGCAACGTTTCACATAGATGCTCGATTCTCCTGCAGCTCGCCAATGCAGGCTCCGTAAATCAAGCCTAAAACGCCAGATGATGCCTAAAACCAGCTCTTCTTACGAGGCCTTGCGACTGGAACCGCAATCTTCCTCCAGCCCTGCCCAACGCTCCATCTTCTACGCAGTCAACGCAGAGCTCAACCCCAGAATCCCCATCCCCGCAAACGCACTCGCAAAACACAATTTCCGGCTATGCGTCAAATCGAGCGACTCTCCAAGTAACTGCAAACTCACCATTGCCATAATTCCCGCAGTCACCGCAAACATACATCCGTACACCGTCTCCCCCGGCCCATCCAACCCCTTCTCCCCTCCCCCATGGCTTTTGTTCGCCACCCTAAACCAGAGCGCCGCAACACCCGCGCCCAACGGCTGACTCACGCCCCCAAGTAATGCGCTCCAAAACATCGCCTTCCATCGCGAGTTTATCGCAAGGTAAAGTGGGAGTGCCATAGCGAAGCCCTCAGTTATGTTGTGGATAAATAAAGCGAGGAATATGCTGAGTCCGAGGGTGGGGTTTGCGTGGTTTGTTGCGTAGGTAATGAAGCCCTCGGGGATTTTATGCAGAGCGATTGCGGTCGACGTTTGCAGGCCGATGGAGAGGAAGACATTGGTGGGAACATGGTGATGGTGTTGTGGGTGGGAGGCGTGGGATGAGGTGGTGGAGGTTGAGGAGAGGGTGGTGGTGCTGTGTTTTTGTGCGAGGCTGTGCGGGCGAGTATCATCAGTTGCTGGCAAGGAAGCAGTCGAGTTCTCCATCGGTAGCGGGCCGGAGCGTGTTGGTACCAGCGGTGTTGTTTCGTCGACGTCCTCCAGGGTGAGGGGTTGGCGGTCGTGCGCGTGTGGGCCTTGGGTAGTTTGGTGTCTGTTTACTGCCGCAGGGCGGGTGGGGTTCAGGTGCTGGCTTGATTTTGAGGAGTGTAGACGGAGGGGGCGCGCGTGCTGGATGTTCTTAAAGCACTCGGTTCCGCAGGTGTCCGAGTAGCCGTAGCATTGGCCGTTTTCGTCGCAGTGCTCTTTTTTCTGGCCGGTGACGAGCTGGGAGACTTTGGTGGAGATGGATGTGTGTAAGGAGGGCCTGCGAGGGAGTTTGGAGTCCTGGTTCTCGTCGTTGGTACCGTACGAGCGGCGACCGTCATGATCGTGCTGACCGTCCATCAGAGGGGCGTTCCTGTATTCTTGCATTGTTTCGTGCGAGTGCGCTGTTTCCTCGTCATCGACTTTACCCTCCTCTTCATCACCATGCTCGTGATCGCAATCAACAGTGGTGTGTGGGATATACCGATGCAGGAAGTCAGACACAATAGAAATGCCCAGTGCGCCAACTAGGAAGCATCCAATCATGGTCAGAACAGCATTTCTGGGGATCATGCCCCCTTCTATCAAGTACTTCTTTGCTGATGGCAGCATGCTGAAAAGAGAGGAGAAAATCTGCACGTGTTGTTAGTCGATGTCCGGCTTCCGCGATGTATGAGACATACCATGACGCCAAACGACAAACTTAATCCGGCTGAGAGGAAGGCATTGTTATCTTCGATCTTGAAGTTCTTCTTGCCAGGAAACTGGCGGATGACGAGGTCGACGCATATTATCGAGGCTCCGAACGTGCATGCTGTATGTTGGTAAGCATCTGCTTTGATCATCAAGTTCAATGTGAGCGTATGAGCATACCGATACCGCTTACCACCGACATAATCCATCCTCGCGTGTCGTTGTCGAGCATGGCTGCAGCTTTCCGCGCCTTGCGGTACCTGTACCTGTCTTTCGTGTTTTCCTCGTGACGTCGGTTCGGAAAACTTCAATATCGCGTCGTACAAGCCACGACGCCGGTATTTATAATATATAGAGAGTGATTATACGCGATGTCTACTTTCTGGGTGGTCAGGCGAGGCTTGATATGCGCGGGCGAGGTTTGTAGGCAGTCCTGGTGATGATGGCACCTTGATGGACACTCTGCAGATCATGCGCTAGCGCCGTAGGGCTGAGAGGATAGTTTCATCACGTGAAGCCATCAAAAACGTGGAATATGGGCGGTTTTATTGGCTGACAGTCGATGGACTAAGTTGTGACATTATGTTTGTTGCACGTCTCGTGGTGAATGTAGTATGTGTGACACGTACGAATAGAACTTCTCAAACTTCCTTTCAGTCACACACTCTCATGATACAGAAGAACCGGGCAATGCCCCTAGATCATGGGGGTGCTCAAGTCTACCCGCCGCCGTGTGGTTAGCTGATGAGTGTCTAGAAGACTACAAGTCAATTTTGGCATCTTGGGTTTTAGGTAGAAAATGTCTGGAGACGCCAGGCTTGACTGTGCGAGGAGAGGACGAGCCGCTGCTGCTACGGCGCTGCATCCAAGCTTTCCTGCAACATGAGAGGCACAATTATTTCAGAGAGGCGCAAGCTGATCATGCTGGGATGGTAAATCTTCGTTTCTCACTCGTGGACTACATGTGAATCTTTTGTCGAACCGCTCCGAAGAGCCTCCCTCTTATCTCGCCGAATGCGGCTGATGTAAATCAAATTCTAATACTCCCGACACGCTTGCAATCTCCCTGCCAAGCTGATGTCATGTTCCCAGTTGCGCCTTCGCTATGCTCTTAATAAGGATAAGGAAAAATGTTCTTTGAGAACGATAAGTGTAGGATAGATGGGAAGACAGGCCGTGAAGCGCAAGACTGTTGAAAATCTCCAGCCTTGAACGTGTAGTAGGAGAATCGTGATAAGAAGATTATGCGTTCGATGGCCGAGGGATGAGAATCTTGTGCCATTTACCCTCGCCGTCCTCTGGCCTGTCGTTCATGACAAGCAAATTCGGCCCGCCGCAGTAGCTGCCCGGTTTGGCTGTTCGAGTGACCTCGGCCCAGTGGCCAGCAAGGTCAGCACCTGTAGCGTTGTGGGCGAAGCCTCGCATAGGGTCGTCGTACTCCCAGACGGTATCGGTGACAGTCTGTCCGGGCTCGTCGCCCAAACGCGAGTTTGTGCCAGGAAAGCCGACCATGGGATTGAGGATGTCGTGAATTATCGAGTATAAACGCTCTGGACGGCGAATGAAGTTGAGCCATGACAAAGTCTTCTCGTCGTATGCAACTCGGATGTACGGGTTCATGTAAATGCCCGAGTCTGCTGGCATGCCCCTTCCAGTCATTTGGTATTGCAGATCAGCGTTGATCAAACAACACTCAGAGGCTTCCCAGAAAGTCTCCTCTTCATAGCGGAACCGTAGCGGAGCTCGACGATTCGGCGACATATGTTGAACACTCGTCGTGGTATTGGCGGGCTTCCCCTCGAACTGAGCCTGGTCTTGGAACCACTGGGCCTCGTAGGCCACCATGCCTCCCCAGCAGCTTCGTACCCTAACAGCATCCGTTTGCGAGAGCATGTCCTTCCTGCTTGTTGCAGTCCCAGCGCTTGTGAAGTACGGAAAGAAGGGAATTCCTGTGATGCGTCCATCAAAATCGCGCGTAGCGAAACGATCGTAGTACTTGAAGGCGTTGATGAAGTCGAGGGCGCAAGCTGCTCCATAGTTGGTGCGACCTGTTGAGTCGATGTTGGTCGCAAAGAGCAGCTGGACGGCGTCGATGGGGTGGAAGTTGACGTCGTTTAGGTATAAGATCTTATCGAACTTGACACCCTGGTGGTCGATGGGGGCCAGAGCTCGGTTGCGAACTTCAGCAAGGAAGGCAATACGCTTCAGACGTGTCTCCCCTGTGGGCAGGGTGATGCGAGGCAATGTGCTGGAATCGAACTCTTCGGCGACAATAGTCGATTTGCCTAACCAATTAGCTGCGCTCGTGTTCGAGAACTCATGTAGACATACAAGTGACGTTCTGACGAAAGCTGGCCAGCGACTGCTTGGCTGCTTCCGTGGGATTGTCCTCATAAATGCTCAGATGCACGTTGTCCGGACCCAAAAGGTCTATCAGCTGCAGCACCGACCTCCCCCAGCCGCCAGATGTCAGTTGGCCTTTGTCTTCGTACAGCGACGCCACAATGAAGACCTTCTCGCCGTATGGATTTGCTCGCCCAGGCAGGGTGCTATTTGCTGCCCGCTGTTGCAGCTCGACATAGTGGGCTGGGCGGTTGGTGTAGCTGGGGAAGAAGATGCCTGCGACGAGGACCAGGAAGGCGCAAAAATAGGGAAAGGCGAAGACAGTGTAGTAGATGGCACGCAAAATCGAGCGCTTCTTCCTCCGCGGTGTCACCAGATGTGTGTATGTAGCCCGCTCAGACAGCGTCTTTACGCCTGGCAGCCGCGAGCTCAAGTTGCTGAGCCATGAAGATGTCGACACGGAGCGCTTCAGCTCGGGGAAGTCCTGGGCCTCAAGCGAGGTGCGTGGTAACCGCTCATAGTCGTGTCGCGGGAAGTCAGACATTGGAATCGAGGATAAGGCGCGTCGGCGGAGCAGGACCCGCATGTGACGGGAACGCAGAAAGGAGAGACTAGCCGAGAGGAAGCTGCGATTACTTCAGAGCCATGCGATCGGGGAATGTCGTCGAGGCTGTTCCGGAGAAGCGTAGTAGGTGTCGAGGAGCGGCCAAGCAAGTGAAAGCCATTCAACAGGAGCTGGGCCGTCGGTCTTTTGTAACTCGCAATCTTACCCCAAGCACCCACCAAGCCCGCACTGGGGCGCAGCCATGCCAGCGTCTGGGATAGGGTCCCTGAGCAGCAGCTGGACGGACCCTTGCAACGCGTGTGACCCCACCAACACTAGAACAAGACAGTCACATTCCGTGGCTACACCTTCTGCGGTAAGCATCGATGTGCACCCATCACCGTGTCCTCTCCATCGGCGCCTATCATAGCTGCATCCGGCAAAACGTGTGGATGACTAAGTCAACTAGGAAGGCCAAACCGCTAGGTGACGGCTCGCCGGCCTCCCTGAAATCGGAGAAAGAGCGAGGGGGGAGCGTGCGCAGCCCTGGCTACGCCTTCAAGGCCTCCACCCAAGGAAGCCTGCTCTCTTACCAAGCCTTGTGTACGGGACACCTTAAATCGCTCACAAGAGGCAGACACGGTACGCAAGAACACACGCCCAGCTGCTGTGCAGCGGGAGTGCTGGAGCTACTGTGCGGCTTGGAGAGCCAACAATAGTTGTGTTTGCCGACTGAGCAGCACCAAACATCAAAAGCTCGAGGCAGCTCCACTGCGTAAGTGCGTATACGTATAAGCGTATAAGTGGTAGCAAATTGCGCATTGAAGAGGCTGATGTGAGCGGCACCTTCCGCAGCACCGCGCAGCTAAGATTTCTGGAACCATCAAATGCAGTTAGCACGCACCATCGTTCATCGATGCGTCTGCCGCAGCTACTTCACCATAGAAACGCATATCTCAATAACACTGGAGCTAGACAGTATCGAATCAGCCTCGGATAGTGACACTTTCGTCCGGAGTCCTTCGCAGCCCGACCCTCCGGATGCACCGAAAAGGCACGACTCGACACGTCGTACGACGCGCGGTCTTATCGATTGCAACGACACAAAGAGTATACATCAGAGAACGGCCTTGAACGTGGCTGAGTTGGGAGTTGCTGAGGATCTGGATTCTAGAGACAGAGCAGCTCTTGAAAGGTGAGGATCTACAGAGAAGCAACTACTATCAGTGCAGCCTTACACCATATTCTTACTGCCTCTGATCATAATGAAAACTAACCTCAGTGCTCATGGACTCCCTACTATCTCGTCCACCCCCCGCCCCAGCACTCATATCCCACCGAGCCGGCGTCATAGTATAGTCGATAGGCCTTGCAGTCACTGTACTTGGTGTTGGCTCTTTGACCACCACTTGTGGTACCCCACCGTCCGCAGCGTTCTTCACCCTTTTATTGTGGAGCTCGGATGTCGTCGGGCTGGCTGGCTCAGTGGACCTTCCCTGGCGATCCGAAACCTTCTCACGCTTCTTTGCACCTTCCTTGCCAGCAGATCCACTTTTTCCAGCAGCAGTCTTCATCCAAGAAGGATCCACAGCAATGTTGCGACTCTGCACAGAACCTCCTCCATTACCCCTACCTTCCGGAAGGGTTTCGCTGCGTGTCCTCCCTCCTCGCCTGCGGGGTTTCGAACCTGCTTGCCCAGCTATGATATTCGTCAGCCTTGACACACCACCGAGGAGCTTACAGTGAAGGGAAGAGTATTACTTGCTTGTCGCTTACCGTGTCCATTGTCCTGTCGTGTCAACTCCCATCGCAAATCCTCGGTATCGTATCGGCCTTGCCCTCTTTCGCTACGCGGCGAGTGTCGAGTGTACGGGTTTCCATCGCCTTGTGCTCGAGCTGTGCGTTGAGTGTACGCTGGATATAACGAAGAATCATTCCAGGAGACACGAGTCTTGCGAGGTGCACCAGCTGGTATACTGTCACGAGGTATGTCTTCGGTAGATGCTGACGACCGACTACTCGAGCAAGTTCCCAAATCAGTGCTGGAGGATCGTGGGTTCCTCTCTTTTCTGCGCTTCTTCTCTTTCTTGCGATCCTGCCTATCCTTCGCTTCTCTTGCCTCTTCGATAAAGGCAGGATACTCGCCCACAACCTGAAGACAATCACATTTGACAGAGGCAGGTTCAGCTGGCAATCGAGTCTTTGAAGCTGCTCCAGAGCTCGATTCTGACCGTCCTTCAGCTTGCTGAGTGCCTCCGCCACTTCTTCGCCGCTCGTCCAGTAGACCAAACCATTCATCGTATAAACCCGGATGACCAAACGATGGTTGCTGGTACTGCATCGTCATATCTGGACGTGGTGGTACGTACGCATAGTACGTGCCAGGCACCGCTTGCCGGAAGACTGCCGGAGGATACCACATCTGATCATACACGGTACCGTACTGCTCCCATCCGAGTGCTTGAGGGTGAGCAGTGGGTTGCATGTGTGCAGGTGCTGGCTGCGGCACATAAGCCTGCATCTGTCGCTCATCTGCCCACTGCGTTCCATTATGCCAGTTGTCGAAGCCATCTCCTCTCCTCATTGTTGCGTCGTTTCGAGTCCTTTCGACCGCCGTCTGGAGCACCCTCCCATTCGGCGTTTGCTTCTTCATGGCTGAACATAGTCCATCGTCTTGGTTGTGTTTCATTTTCTTGTCCCAATTACCGGACTCGACATCGTCTTTGCGGATTTTTAAGGCATTACGGTCGAACCACTTGTTGATCTTTCGACACTGCAAGTCCATGTACCGATGTACGAAGTAAGTGCCCAGGCATAGTAGCCCAGTACCAAGCACAGCGCCGACGACGAGCCCAGTAATAACAGCAGGCGTTAGCATTATTGTCGAAGAGGATAGTGAAGGGGTTTGGAAATACAAAGTATGGGGCAAATCACGTACATGGAAAGACTGCGTAGGTGGAATAGAATATTATTATGCTTACATCCGCATGCCTAAGAGCTTGAAAAGACAGCAAACATCGCAAGCTCGAGTCGTACTCGAAATACCAGACCAATGCCTGATACCCATCATCTAACCAAGTCCATACGTGTCTCCCATCTGTCACGTCCTGAGCTAGTCGTGATTAGCTCCCTCTGTACGACCTGCCAATCAACCTCAAGACCTCTCATTGCCGTCAACCCGGCTTGCGACTGCTACAGCCGAAGTAAAGCAAACGTGTACAACCCCCATAGTCTGTATTACCACGCACAGTGTGCAACCATAGTGCGACTTCGTTAGGCCAACTGACGATGTTAGCCAAACATCTCCGCCCGAATATCCACAACATACTTTGTGACGCCATTGACCCATACCTAATCGAGATAACCCATCTCCCCTCTTCCCCTTCCCCCTTGCCCTCCCTCTCCGCATAACCCATCCTTAGGCTGGAGCCGCCTGCGCCTCTGCCTGCCGCTGCTCCTGCATTGCCACAAACTCGGCATCAACAGCCCTACTGCAGCTGCCGTACAAGCACCAGAAGAAGAAAATGCAGAATGCAGCGACCAGGATGAAGGTGAGCACGATGGCGTGCGAGGCGGGCATATGGTAGCTCATTTTGACCACGCTTGTCGGGGCGAAGAGTGGCGGGGTGTGTTGGAATGTGTGGATCGGTGGTTGGGTGATTGGTTGAGGTGGTGGTGAGCTGCGAGTGCGATCGGGTTGAGTAGCTGTGCCCTAGGGGGTTTGGAGAGGTAGCTGATGGTATCGTGGAAGCTTTAGTGACCGCTGGGTGGCCGACGGGACGCAATTGTAAACTATCAGGGCTCCCAGGGTGCTCCGGGGAGTGGAGGTGAAGCAGAGCGTTATCGGTAGACATGGCTTGCTTTCACTTCACGATGCATACAGGCTATCAACCCTGCATCTATCTATCTTACAATCTTGTACAGTCCTATACACCCCCGTAGTATCATACAGCCATCTAGAATTCCCGCATACTATCCAAAACCTCCTTCTGCCGCTGCGTACCCATCTTCTCAAACCCATCAACCGACATGACGAAAGTGCCTCGCCCGCCTGTCAGCGCGCGGAGGTGGCTCAAGTAGCCCACCATCTCCTTCAACGGCACCCTCGCCACGATCTGCCTCTGGCTATCCGCAAGCTCACCCCCAACATCGCCCGTGCCATTCGCGAACGGATCGGGCGGCGTGTATATCAGATTCGGATCAATCCTTGGCAAATATTCAGTGGATGTGGAGGCAGCGATGGACTCGGAGCCGTCGAGCGAGAGCACTTGGCCGCCCCGTGCGGAGGAAATGTCTTGTACGACGGGGCCGAGGGAAGATTCGTGGACGAAGATGGTTGCGTTCATCACGGGCTCCATCAGTGAGGGTGCGTTTGCGGCGATGGCGGAGCGGAGGCTTGCATTCACGGCTGCGCGTGTCGCCATTGAGAGTGCGGCCGGCGTTGTGTCGGGGAAGAGCTGTGTGTCAGCGTCGAGGTCGATGCGCACCCGCGTGTTGGCGACGGGGAAGCCGTTGAAAGGGCCGCGGGCGAGGGCTGCGGAGGCGCCGGCTTGGAGGGAGTGCAGGATACCTGGAAGCGAGAGGTGTGGCGGGATGTGCGCTTTGTGGGATGCGGAGTCGTGGCGGGAGAGGTTGGGGTGGGAGATGCTGAGGCTGTTGTTGTCGAGTAGGGTAAACGTTGTTTCGAAGGGACCGTCTTCGATTTCGGTCTCGACTTGCGTGCCGGGGATGATCATGCTGTCCTCTATAGGCTCGACGGAGGCGGTGATGGTGGCTTTTGCTTGTTTGCCGGCGATGGGCTTGTCGAGTTCGTAAGTGTAGGGTGATGTTACTGAGGTGATAGTCTCGCGGTACCCGATCTCGATCTTGCCGATGCGTGCTTTCGCTTTGAAGTCGTTGAGGAGGCGGTCGCGGGCAATCTCAAGATGCAGGTCGCCCATACCCGCGAGATGCGTCTGTCCTGACTCTTCATCAATCGAGAGGTGCAGACTGGGATCTTCTCGCAGCAAGATCGCCAGACTCTCATGGATGTGCTTCTGCTCGCTGAGACTGTGTGGCTCAATGCTTGTGAAGAAGACCGGCGGCGGTACATTGATAGGCCTCAACTGCAGAGTGTTCAGTCCACCAGCTGGTGTACCTCGCATCTGCAGGCCTCTGTACACGATCAGTGTGTCACCAGTTCTTGCATGCTTGAGACCCGTGATTACACCGATCTGGCCGGGTCCGATGCTGTCGACTTCCACAGCATCGTTTGCGTACATTTTGAGCAGACGTGGCGCACGTTCTGCGACTCCCAAGTTCGTGTTATAGAGCATTGCCCCTTTGTCCAGCGATCCAGAGTAAACGCGTACGTACACCAGCACACCTCGTTTGGTGTCATTGACTACCTTGAAGGCGAGGGCGCAAGCTGCGAGATTCTTGACCTCAGGGGTCGCTAGATCTTTCGACTGCTGTGACTTCTTTGTTGACTTTGCAGGTTTGGCGTTTGCAGATGCATTGAGTAGCGTGGACAGGGTGCTGCTCTGACCTGAGATGCTGATCTCTGGGTCAGGGCGCTCGAGGGGTGATGGAAGTAGATCGACTGTTGCGTCGAGTAAAGGCTGAATACCAACATTCCGGAAGCTAGCTCCGGCAAAAACAGGTATGACAGCTTGTGAGCTCTGCAGTGTGACTCGTCGGAGGGACTGCCAGATGTGCAAAGCAGGTATAGCCAGATGATCTTCATCATGCTCAAGGAAGGACTCGACCATAACATCATCGTGCTCGCTCAGTGTTTCGACAAGAGCGACTCTGGCCTTCCTAATCTCTTCGGCAAACTTTGCATCGGTCTTGTCCAGCTCTTCAAGGCCATATGCCCGAATGTCTCTTCCGTCACCGCCGGACTGCCATAGCATACCGCGAAGATTGACAACGTCGCCGACACCAACGAAATCGCCATTGCCACCTTTCCACCATGGAATCTGACAAATTGCAGGCCAGCCGTGGAGCCTGACGCCAATTTCCTTCACAGTCCTCGAGAAGGCAGCACCGACTCGATCAAGCTTGTTGACAAAGATGATCCTGGGTATTTGGTAATTACCAGCCTGCGTCCAAACCTTTTCTGTTTGTGCTTCGACGCCAGCAACGCCGTCTAGAATGCAGACGGCACCGTCTAGCACACGAAGAGAGCGCAAAACCTCAAAAGTAAAGTCCGCGTGGCCAGGTGTGTCGATCAGATTTACATTGTGCGGGATCGATGACGGAGCGATGGACTCAAAGGACGCTGGTGCTGGAGGAGGGTTTGCGCCAGGTTCCTGGGGTGGCCAATGGAAGGTGATTGCTGCAGACTGGATAGTAATTCCACGAGCTCGTTCAGCAGGCAGGAAGTCGGTCACAGTGGATCCTTCATCGACATCTGCCAATTTTAGTCTTTTTAGATGTGGAATTATGGAACATGCATACCTCCTATTCTTCGTGTGTACCCACTGTAATAAAGCATGCGCTCCGTTGTCGTTGTCTTGCCCTACTCGGTAATCAGCGTTTGTCTTCCTCAACGCACTCACGATGACTACATACTGCATCGATGTGGGCAACAATGCCAATATTACGAGTGGTTTTTGATAGCAGGTCCGCTTGGGGAGTTTGGGTGGAGAGCAGCCTCCGTGGCGCCTTCACATCATGTCGAACGACTCGACGAGCACAACGCGCCCATCCAACCCACATACCAAAGTCTGCACCGAAGTGTATATATTAGACAGTGGTAGATGAAATACAGGCTGCACGTGATGACCAAAGTGATGCCGCTGTCAAGGGTCGCGCCTTGCCCGATGATGGCAAGGGCCGCTGCCAAGGATGTGGGTGAGCAGGCACGGCCGAGGAACGCTCAACGACGTCAATAGCTAGCAACAGCAGCTTGGTGCAATCAGCTGCTCTCTCCTCCACCATGGACTATTCTAACAACGATGAAGGGTATCCCGGCGGCTCCAGCCCGTGGGCATCGTCACCGCAACACAATCGCACGTCGTTCGGACAGCCGCCCACCAGCGACCTCCCCTCATCTCCGCTGCCTCCGCCGGCGTCACCGTACGGCCAGGACTCTGAGCAATATGGATACATGGGCGACAACACGCAACAAAACCGTTCGGGTATTGCTTCGACAGAGAATGGTGAATCGTACCCAGCGCCCCAGCAGCAACAGCCCAGCCAGGATGCGCCGCAGCTGCCTCAGCACCCAAATTCCCAACAACAAGCTCCTCAACCTGGCCAACAACCCCAACGATACCATGGAACACGTCCTCAGCGCCAACAGCAGCACTACAAGTTCCAAGCGAAGGTCACGGGACTCGAACGCAATGGCAAGAAGGACCCCATAATACGATTCGATGTATACGTATGTGTTTGGAGTACTATTGCGACGTCTACAGAGCTGACTTTGCTTAGACCAATTTGCCTAAGTTCAGGACCACCCAGTTCCGCGACGTCCGCCGAGTACACAGCGAGTTCGTAAAATTTGGCGAACACCTGATCTCCGCCTGCCCGGAAGCTATCGTGCCTGCAGTACCCCCAGCTACAACATCAGCAGGTGCTGGCACTGAGGAGGACGAGGCGCGCTTGAAGGCGGCGATACAGAGGTGGCTGAACGTTGTCTGCAGTAATGACATCCTGATCCGCGACGAGGAGATGGTCTTCTTCGTCGAGAGCGACTTTGGATACAGCCCAGTTGTGCGGAGGAAGCAGCCTGCCACTGGTGTTCGACGTAAGGTCATTAAGCAGTTTGCGCCGCCCCCAGACGACACGCCGGAGCTCGCTGCCGCTCGGCCGATTGTGAAGGCTTTCTATCTGGGTACAATGGAAGCGGAGCAAAAGGTCGAGAAGGTCGTCAAGCACAGGAGGAGTATGCACTTGACGTCTTCTTCCTTAGTCGTTGCTAACAGCATATAGATCTTGGTGTCGCCGAGTCCGATCTAGGCGCCAAATTCGCCGCAATGCACGCCCAAGAGACACATGTAGGACTCGCTCACGCGTACAAGAAACTGGGCAAGGTCATTCAGGCTACCGGCGACTTCCACGCCGCGCAGGGCACAGCGGAAGCAACCACCCTCGGCGACCCTCTCCAGTATCACAGCAGTGACGCTTTCATTGCCAAAGAGACCCTTACGAACCGTCATATTTTACTTCGCGAACTCCTCCAGGCGCAAGCAGCCACGAAATCGAAGCTGTCAGCCGCCGACAGACTGAAGGCCAGTTCCAGCGTAAAGCGCGACAAAGTCGACGAGGCGATCGCCCAACTTGACGAAGCGCGTAGCCACGAGCAATACTTGACATCAAAAGCGCAGCGTGTCACCGCGAACCTTCTGCAAGAGCAGAGGAAGTGGTTCGGTCGCACTGCAGCAGACATGCGCCAGGCGATCCGCGAATACGTCATCCGCGAGATCGAAGCCGAACGCCGCACACTCGCAACTCTCGAATCCGTCCGCCCTGACATTCGCGCAATCGACGGCAGCGGGGGTCTCTCACGATTAGGCCGCGAAGCACATCCCGCTCAACGACGCGCATCACTTGCAAACTCACAAGGACCGAAGGGTGACGCGTGGTCCGGTGTACCCAGGCGACCAGGCGATGGACTGAACAGGAGCGTCAGTGGCAGCATCCCCGCAGCGCTTCCTGAGGGCGACGAAGAGGAGGAGGAGGAATCAGGGCTTGCACGGAAGCGCGCGACGAGCAAAGCAGGAAGTACCAAGGCAGGTGAAGAGGATGACGATCGTATCGATGCGAAGAACGCAGCGAGCAGACTGGCGACCACGACTTTTTAGCAGCAAATCCGTGATAGGCAGGGCTGAGAAGATGTTTTTGTAGGATGAGAGGGATATTGGCAGCAGTATACCAATTGAGAGTCATGTCGAACTACACCAAAGGATTGTTCTGCAACAGTTGCCATCTTGATGTGCCGGTAGAGGTTGCATCGCCTGGGGGCTGTACAGGGCCTAGTCACAGGTGCCCCACACGACTTTAAAAAGTTTTGAATTCGTATCGCTCACAAAGCAGAAGAGTGAGAAGGAACACAATGAAGCATCTGCTAACACTGTACCTTTTAAAATATGACGATATAAATATTTTCAAAACAGTTTTTACCATCTGATCACTGAATAAAGCTGAGTGGCGCAGCGGAAGCGCGCCGGGCTCATAACCCGGAGGACACTGGATCGAAACCAGTCTCAGCTATCTTTTTTGAACACTTTTTTTTTCCCTGCTCTTGCGCTCCCTACAGCCCTGAACACCAATTGCACCGTTGCTGATGCGCTCTTCAACCAGGATCTGTATCAGGCATTCATTTTCGTGGACCGAGGGGAATGTCTGCTTACTTCATCTCCAAACAACAAGCGAGGAGGAAAACTAAAAAGCCGAAAGACTGAAGTTTTTGCGTTGTTTCCAGTTCAAGTAAGTAGTTTCGTGGTATATGGCATAGATATGATATTGTACAGTGTCTCAAGTCTAGCTGCAAATAGCCTTTCTTCTCTCGCCAACCCTTTGTAGGCTACAGACCAGCTACAAATTCCGCGGCCCACTCAGCGCAACCCTCAAGACAAGCAGCTCAAACCTATCAGCCCCAAGTCCGCTCCCATTGAACATGCTCCTCCAGCACCCCTTCCTCCTCCCTTCTTCGTACTCAAACAGCGAAGGAGACCCATTCTCATCATCACCTCCTTCTCCATTCAGTTCCTTTCTCAGTTTCTCAATTTTGCCGTTCAACTCGTGCAGGTTATGTGTCTGCCATTGCTTCTGCATCGCTCTTGGTTCCTTCTCATGACTCAACTTGATCTGCACGCGCTTCGCCGCTCTATTGGCTGCATCCAATGACGTATACACTTCAGTACATACATTCGGCAGAGGATGGTAGATACGTATTTGCTCCTTGCCTATTTTTTCGATATCGGCGTCATCGTCTTCGTCTTTGTCTTCAGCCTCGGACTCAGACTCGGATTCCTCGCTTGATCCGGCGTTGATGAGCTTCCACAGCCTGAGCGCATACACAGTTCGACTGATAAAAGGCGACGTGGAGATGGCTGAAGGAGTGAGGTTTTCGTGCACTCCCACTTCAGCACGTTCGACCCAAAGCTTCAATGTTAGGGACTTGCTGGGGTCTTCGGTCCCTTCGAATGTACCCTCGCACGCTGCCAGCCCGTATTTATCGATCTGAGTCGTCGTTGACTTGCACTGCATACCAAGGATTTCATGCTGCTGTCTCGCGTCCCGGAAGAGTCTATTTGTCTGCGCGTTCGCGTTGTCCAGGGATGTGAGCGGGTGAGCTGAGATCTCGGTTGTGAAGTTGCTGGATGATGAGAATGAAATCGTCTGGTGGATCGTGTATTCGAAGTATGGCTCCGCAGTGGGCGAGATGGTTGGAGATGGAAGCTTGATCTCGGTTGAATGTGTCAAGTTAGAAGGCTGAGTCGAAGCTGTTGAGATGGGGAGAACAGTTAGTGTAGCTTTTGGGTCTGTGCAGGTGTTCGAGGTTGGGAATATTTGCGGGGATGAAGCTCCTGTGGTGGTTTTGAGCTGAGAAAACTCCTCTGATGAAAATGGAGTCAATGGTTTTGGAGGTGTAGGCACAAACTGTGAGACTCTCAGAGGGGATGGTGCAGATGGAGTAGAATCTTCATGTACACTGTTGACAGACTTTGACGGTGCTGTCTCGACGAGTTCAGATGATTCTGTCGATCGCTGCTCCAAAGCAACGTCATTTGCAGGTTCAGATGGAGAAACCTGAGCAAGTTCCTCGGGCACAGGAAAATCTGGACAGTCGATGTTGAGATCCATTGGCTCAGGTACATCTGACGCCGTACCTTCTGTAACGCCAGCGGGTGCCAAAGGGATCATCGTTGCTGGAAGAGTATTGGCATGAATATCGAACTCGCCAGTCAAGGGCTGGAGGCGTTCGGAGACGTCAGGTAGAGTCGCAGTTTGATCACTTTGAATATTCAACCCTTCAGTCACCGCTGATCGCACCTCGCTCGCTCCACCTGTTGCATAGGGCTGTGCATCAAGTTGTCGTTCTGGACAGACCATCACCGCTACCGGTATCTCTGTTCGTGCACAAACCTGAACATATGCTGAGCGTTGTCCGGGTGCATCAAGCGCATGATTAGTAGATCGTTCGTGGCAAATATGCATTGCTTCAGTGGCAGCTGACGCCATGCTGCGGGAAGGAACAACAGGCGCCGTCGGTGGTCCATGTATATGCTCGCACTGAGCTGCTGTTGCCTTTGAACTCTCTTTGGATACCAAATCTTGGGCACTTGCTGTCCCCGTGAGTGAATCCGATCTTGTTGTAGCCTCTTGCACTGAACGTGACGCATCCTTCTGAGCTACATCCGAGACATTGGGACCAGGTGAGCTCATATTCATTGCATGAGAAGTACGGTATGTCTGCACTTTCCTATGGGTGACTACTCCCTTTCTGGACAGCCCCACGGAGCTCTGAGGCCTGGCATTGTGGCTTGCAGTTGACTTGGACTGCGATGGAACAATGGGTTCTTGCGTAGCAACTTCGGTATTTGGAGATGAGGTCGTGGGTTTAGAGGACAAGCTGGGTGTCTGTGGCTTTCGGTCATCGACGTTGTTGGAAAGATGAGCATTGTTCGACTGCTTGCCAGACGTGGTTGGAGCCTGGTTCAATTTGTTCCTTGACGCAGCCGGAAGGGTCTTCTGATTGACAGCGTCACTGATCGTGTTGTGCCTCGCGTTAGGGGAAGCCTGGTCGACAGGCCTGGATGCTTTGGACGTCAGTTCAGATCTGGAAGCGTTTACCTGCACTTGAGTTCTTGGTGAAGCTGAAGGAACTGTCGGGGCTGGGGTCTGACTTCCTGAGACAGATGCCTGGAAGTCCTCGGCACCTGAGGCGGCAGGCGCACCCCTCATGCTCGCTGGCTCCTTCTCCAGCCCATTCGTCTTCCTTATCTTCAACGTATGTCCGTAACTTGCACCAACCTCGGGCCTGTGTACATTCTTGATTGGCTTCGTCGACGCTCGCTCAGCCTGAGCTGTCCACCACCCACTACTAATGTTGTCTTGCTCCTTCGCTGCGCCAAGGTGCTCTGCTTTTGCCGTGTCCAGGATGTTGCACAGGGAGCTACAGTTTGCTACATTATCTGATCGGGCAGTTTTTGCTTTCCATGAAGTAGATGAGTTGAAGGTGCGCGAAGCTGGTGTTTGCTGCGTGCGCGCTTGAGTGGTAGTTACATAAGAGAAACTAGGCTTCTGTGGATGACTGCGATGCGCATCGGAGGACTCATCGGCTTCGTTTAGTGGGCGTCCCGCGAGTCTGGGGGAGGCGTTCGGCGTTCTGTCCTGGGCAGTTTGTACTGGTCGACTTCCTTTGGGGCCGGGAGGCGTACCCCTAGACGTGGGTGAGCGAACATCTTGCTGGGAAGTACCTCTCTGCGCAGATGATGTAGTGTTTTGGTGTACTCCAGTCGATGCAAAAACGTCATCTTGCGCCGTAGCAACAGCGGATTGCTTCTGTGACAGGGTGCTTGCGTGCGCGTCGTTCATCAGTCGACTTCGCAGATCACCTCCCGTCCTTGCCATCGAAAGCGGCGCTTCCTGCGTCGAGCTCTGCGCTACAACACCGCCTTGCTTCTTAGCCATCAACATCTTCAGCCGATCCTTGTTCAATGATTTGCCAGACTGGGATGTTGTGGTGGTATTTGGAGTCGACAGCTGGCTTTCGGGTGCTCTATCCGAATCTTGTCGCTTCAGGCTTGCTCTCGGAGGTATGATGCTATTGCCTTCGTCATATGGGAATTGCATCCCGCTTCTGGTGCTCCTCTCAGTAAGTCTTGGTGTCATGGTTATATGGCTATCAAAGCTAAAGCCATCGTCGGTATCACTGTAGCTATCACTCTCGCTACCCGAATCGATGACAAACGGGCCGAGCTTAGGCCGCTTTGCATTAGTCGGGGGTGCAGGAGGTGGCAGAGGTCGTTTTCTTGTGTCGCAGGAAGGTCGACTGACCGATGCTCCCCAAGTGAGCGAATCCATTCTGACCATCTTGCCCGATATTGCCAAAGCTGTGCTGTTCTTGGTCTGCGACGTCTGTTTTAATATCTTAGGAGATCTTGTACGTGATCGTTGTTGATGGTCACTTGTATCTGCGTCAGGGCCGTCACTCTCACAGTCCAGAAACTCCGCGCTCTTATACTTCTTCGCTTCCTGTTTCTTGCGAGTCGTTTTTCGCTTATCAAGCAGTCGAACTTGTTCTTGAGCCTCGTCTTGGCTCGAGGAGTAGCTTATGAATCGTGCTGTTGGTAGGTTGGCGGAAGGTAGACCGAAGCTTCGATTTGTAAGAGTCGAGGACTTCTTAGTTGAGAGCAAGTGTAGTGTAGAAGAGTGAGAAAGCGTGGCAGAGTTGGACCTCAGGTAATTGTCTGCACTTAATGCGTCAGCTCTGAAGAGACTACCGGTCGAGGTGAGAGAGCCGCTAGCTGGGGCCATAGTGAATATTTGATGGGCGTGATGTCTGGCTTCTGTTATTGTGTCTTGTTGGTACCTTCCAGGCAGAGTGTGGTCACTTTCTCCAAGTATAGAGTGGTATTGCGTGAGCTGAGGATCGTTACCGTCAGAGATCTGTCTGTCAGTAGAATCGAAGCTTTCTTTTCGTTTCGGTGACGAATCGATTTCCTCCCCGCCAGTTTGTTCTATCGCAACACCGCCCCCGGCCCCCTGCCATTCATGAGCCCAGTGCCCAGCCAGTGCGTTGCTAGGTGCAACATCATCAGGCCAAGGCGTGCAAAACAGCGAATCAGATCTATGCCTACTGTATATATCCTCGTATGAAATGGCGCCACAGCAGTCCAAAATTTACGTTCTATCCCCGGAGTGGCTTTAGAGAGGTCGAGCCTTCCAATGTGTTATGTTGATGGTATTGGTCTCGTGGCGCCTACTGACGTCGTTTGCATACACAGCTCATCATGCCCGGTTCGGACCAGGCATCTGCTTCACATTGGCAAACGGAGCTGCGGTGTATCACGCGAAATCAGCAAACGCCGTTTATCCAAAGGTTTGCCAGGTTTGGTTGGGATTTCGAAAATGTCCTGTGATCCCAGAAGACAACAAAGTAGCTCATATCAACGCAAGATCATTGAAAAGTACACTCAGCTCGTGAACTAAAGTAATGCCTTCTGGGTGAGTTCTTGTAAACTCCCGAATCTAGCATGAGCCAATATGTTATATAGCGGTTCCTGTGATCTGAGTTGTAGCTCGAAGGGATACACCCACTCAAATGTGATAGTATATGCCATATCTTTTTCGCAACACGTACAAGGTATTAGGCTTCTCGTTGCTTTTTGCCCGCTCAAGTGCAGCTTCCATGATACCAACACCTTGCTGTGCACACGAAGTCTGATAGCCGGGAATATAGGTGTGAGCATACCGCACTTTGTCCGTGTTACGCCAAAAATCGCGTTGTCATACTCATAAGGCTCGCTGATTTTGGGCTCGCTCTTGGAAACGAGCAGCGAGTAAAGCCCGCATAGCAGAGTCAGCACTTCCGCACTTCAATATCATTGATCTTCCGAGCTCGATGTTGCGGCGACAAGGATCATTGAGCGCGGTCTCGTGACTGTCCAGTTTTTCAGACGGTAAGGTGAAGATCTTTGGCGGGAATGAATCAAATTCAAAGTCATTGTGGCGACTTGGTGGTGGTCGAGTCTTCTCCTCAGCAATTGGGCCAGCGGGCTTCTTGGTAGCCACTCCTCCTCCATTTGACGTCTGCGATCGCGTTCCCCTGCGACAATGGCCGTGTCGTTATTCGCCAGCACCAATGGTGGCATTACGATATTCTCATGCCGTAGCTGGGTTTGCACGAATAGCATCTTTATGCACAGTTGTACGCGCAGAAAGAATTCGAAGCGTCTCTAATACGGGATATCGCACCAAATTCCTCCGTCTAGATCATTTTGTAATTCGAGACGTCTTTGTAGAAAACAAAAGTACTCAACTAGCTCTTTCTCGAATCCTGAGGGAAGCTCGTGTGGCGCAGTCTTGATAAAAAATGAGTAGACAGACGTCAGATTGGGGAAGCAGACGCCAAGGATGCAAGAGTTTGAAAGAATCGAATGACAAATGCCGGTAAATGCGATACAAGGATAGTAGTAAAGAGTGAAGTGGTGCGCGATGTGTGGAGAGAAGAAACCGAGGAAAGAAATCGCGACCCTGAATTGTTGGTTTGTGCATGTGGCGTACCGTGTCCGTGCGCGTAATGCGCGGATTCGCGTAATGCGCCGAACCACCTTTTTGTACCCATACTTCACTGTACAATTACTCAACGCCACAATGACTATGAAATCTGCCTTTGAAGAGATAGACTCTATGATACCATGCGATAAGATCCCGTGGACAGCGCTGGCTAAAAAACATAAGGTTGTGCGCTCAACCCTGTCTCAAAAATATCGACACGAGACGCGATCGCGTGAAGA